TCCTCCCCGTGCTCCTCCTCCCCCGCCCCCCGCGCCCCCGCCTCCCCCCCCCCCTCCCAGTCCCCCGACCCGGCCCCCGCGCGCTCCGATTCGTGGTACTCTTTCAGTTTATCGATTGCTTGACGCAGCTTTGCGTACGCGCCTTCAAGAACCTCATCGTCTCCAGGCGGATGCGCTTCGCGGGATATTTGCCACAGACGCTCGGTCTGGCGCACCATGATGTCGGCCTCGTTCCAATCGTCTTCTGCCGTCGTCAGGAGAATCATAACCTTGATCATGTGGTATCGAGGCAAATCGGGATCGTAGAGGAGTTCTTGTGCGAGTTTCACGGCTCCTTCGTAGTCATCGGCGGCGAAGAGCGCTTGGGCTTCATTGTATGCGCGGTTGTAGGACTGGGTTACCTAATAGATACCCTTCATGTTTGTAATGCACTTCAGTGTCAAGGTATTGAAAGGTAGGTGAGCCAGAAACTGTAAGTATGTGTATATTGGAAAGTCTCGCAGAACTACATGACATACCACCCGCATTATATCTTCCTACACCCTCCCCAACGGAAAATCGTGTACTCGTCACAAGACGAACACCACTGCTTAGAGCTCCTCGGCCGAGTGTTCGTGACAATTGCTTGGTCGCAATCGTCACAAACAAACCGGTACTTGTAGCGGTACGCCTCCCACATCTCCATCCTGCTCATCTTGGCCTTCCACGCCGCCACCTCCGTCCTCCACAACTCCCTGGTGCTCTGCAGATTCCTATCCGAAGTCCTCTCGAGCCTCCGGTGTCGCTGCTTCAACTCATTCTTCAACTCCTCCGTGTCCCGTGAATGCTGCTCCTTCATCTCAGCGCGCAGCTTTTCCCAGCTGAGCAACTCAAGCTGCGAACTCTGCTTCTGGAGCTGCAGATACAAACCTCTGATTTCGTTGTAACGGTCCCTTAGCTCCATCTGTTGCGCTTGGTCTTTCTCACGGACGGCCACTTCCCATCCCTCCCGGGTCTCACTCAGTTGCTGGTGGTGGTTTTCCTTGTCCTTTTCAAGATTCTCCTTCACCTCCTGACCGGCGCTCGTTTCATCCAAATCCAAACCCTGGTCGACCATTTCGCGTTGGATGTCCAACGTTACCGGCGTGGCGCGCTCCATGAGGTAATCTATGATCCTCTGGGCGGACACGCGGCCTTGATCTTGCTTGAACACACGAGCGCCTTGACTGATGAGGTGGCCCCACAGATCATCCTGGCTTTGAAGCTGGTGCATCCGCTGACCACCGATCCCCGTAGGACAGGACTCCCACATCGTAGTCGCCAGAACCACACTCCCGAGGTCTCCAGTACCACAAAGGTTCCGGAACATACGCAGATTCCTCATGCCCGAGCCGCTGATGCGGGTGTCGGTGATGCGGTGGAGGTAGATGATGCCAGCGAGTTTGATTTTGAACTCGTACCCGAGGGCCAGCCAGTCGGCAATCTCACGCAAGATGTCGGTGTCGGAGCGGAGGTGCGAGTCGTTGAATCCGGGGGTGTCGACGAGGAAGATCTTCCTGCCATCAGGCATGAAACATGGCACGATTTCGACTTTGCTTGTGCCTGATAGGAGAGTCAATATGAACCGACCCACGACCAAACAAACCACTTACAGGAGTTGAGGTCATGCCCGACGTTGAGATTCTGGAGACAGAAGTGCTGGATGAAAGTCGTCTTCGAGCACCCAGTGACTCCCATCACAGCTATCACGATGTCGCTGGGCCTGTCCAGCATCAGTCCTGCGGCAGAGAAAATGAATCGGAAGTGTGCTTACGTCGGTGCTTGGCCGGAGGCGTCGTTGGACGTAGAGCTACCGGCGCCATTCGACTGGCTTGCCAGGCGAGGCTGGGCCATTGCGGGTGAGCGGTTAGGACTGTAGGGATATCATGAGGGTAGAGCAGAGCTGCTGTGCGGCAAAGAGCTGGAGATGCGATGGAAAAGAGCTTGGAAGGGATGCTTGCTGATCAGGACGGTCCTCTAAAGGCTGGCCATGGCTCCTTATGATGTCCAGATGCCAGCGCGTCGACGCCAGAGGAGAAAGGTCTTGCTACGTACGTCCTGTGGGTAGGGAATGGCGTGCTTTGAACATCTGACGCTTTGGACATGGTGCGTTGGCGGAGGAATAATGAGGCAGCGGTGCCGGCCTTGTATCAGGCTGAGGTACGTTGATACATGTATGATACTGTAACGGCGAGGCCAAACGCAAGATGTAGCAGACCTTTGCCATCTTGGTCGAAGTGTTCCTGCCTTCAAATTTGTCCTTTCATATTGGATACAGTATCTCGATAACCTGAAGTTCTCTTACCAGCACGGGTTGTAGCAAAGTGCAGGTCAGTAGCGAAGTACAACAAGGCCACCGCCGATGTTGTCAGTTGCCTTGTGGCTTGCAGCATGCATTTCGGGCGTTAATGCAAGCCCATGCAGCCAAATCGTAGTCCGCTGTAGCTCGCAAGGCTGCGGGATGGCGGCCCAAGGCTGATCCATATGGAGAGGTGCTGTCGGCATTGTGCGCGATCCAGTCCAGTACGGTGTCATCGTTCAAATGTTCGAGGCCACAGTCACAGCTCTCGTGATAAAATGCCCGTCGCTGCACTCCAATAGCGTGCTCGAAAACGATCGCTCCCGTCGCATAGAGCCGGCTCTCGCTGCAAGTTGCTGACGCCGTTGTCCTGGGTGTCGATGCTGAGGCCTGGAGGCCTTTCTGAGAACGAGGCTCGGAAGTCCGGAGCATGTTTGACATATACTGAACCTGTACTCATGCGAAAAGTGACCAATTGGTTTTTTTAAGATGATACTGAATACTTAGGCTGCATCTAAGCTACTCGCATCAGCAATTTTCATGATCCACCCAGCCATTACATTGTCAAAAAGCCCACACGCTCGCTTGCCACCAAAGCCCACAACGAATCGACCATAGCAAGCAGCAACGCACCCACCCCCCAAACGCCACATTTCCAAAAGCCATGATTTTGTTCAGGTCGTCGTCATCGCAAAAGCCATTACACTCAAACCACCACCACCACCACCCCACCAGCGCTCCACTCAGATCTTACAACCCGTAATTCGCCCCCGCCATGTTATCCCGCAAGTGCCGTCCGTCTATTTCATTTCTCGAACGCTCCGAAATCGAAAAAGGGTATCGCATCCGTTGCAACGAGGGTATCATCGCCATGAGTAGCAAGCAGCATATCGACAAGTTGAAAAGAGTAAGAACCAACACCTGGAAAAAGCTTCTGATAAAGCCTCGCGAAAATCCTTTTACGCCTCCGCGGTGATGAGGCCGGATTGCAGCGTGCCGTTGGCAGCCTTGTTGAGCAGCTCGAAGGGCGGGCGCTTGACGATGCCGCCGGTGACGGGGAGTTGCGTACCACGGCCACTGAGGTAGGAGTCGACGTCGCGCGCGGCCTGGCGACCTTCATTGATACCCCAGACGATCAGAGACTGGCCACGTCGGCAGTCACCAGCAGCAAAGACACCCTCAATGTTGGTGGTGTAGTGGCCAGGCGGGGTCTTGATGTTCTTGCGCTGGTCCTTCTCGATGACGCCGCCCATGACGCGATCCTCTGGACCCAAGAAGCCCATGGAGAGCAGGACAAGATCAGCGGGGAAGAACTCCTCGGAGCCCTCGAGCTTCTTCATGTCCCAGCCGCCGGTGGCGGACTTGTGCCATTCGACACGCTGGGTGTTGATGCCCTTGACTTTGCCGGTACCGTCATCCACAAAGTCGGTGGACAGGATGCAGTACTCACGCGGGTCGCGGCCCATGTGTGCCTTGACTTCGGTGTGGCCGTAGTCGACGCGGTAGATGCGAGGCCACTGAGGCCATGGGTTGTCGCGAGCACGCTCTGGTGGTGGCTGCGGGAGGAGCTCGAAGTTGATGACGGACTTGGCACCGTGGCGGACGGAGGTACCGATGCAGTCGTTGCCGGTATCACCACCGCCAATGACGACGACGTGCTTGTCTTTGGCGGAGATGTAAGTCTCATCCTCAAGCTTGGAGTCCAGCAGAGACTTGGTGTTCTTGTGCAGGAACTGCATGGCGTAGTAGATGCCCTCCAGCTCGCGGTTGGGGATTGGCAGGTCGCGAGCGACAGTGGCACCAGTGGCAATGACCACAGCGTCCTTCTCAGCCCGGAGGGACTCAAGAGTGACATCATCCTCGCCAACATGGACGCCGGTCTCGAACTTGACACCCTCAGCAGCCATGAAGTCGACACGGCGTTGGACAACCCCCTTGTCGAGCTTCATGTTCGGGATGCCGTACATGAGCAGACCACCGATGCGGTCAGCACGCTCGTAGACGGTGACTTCGTGCCCGCACTTGTTGAGCTGGTCGGCCGCAGAAAGACCTGCTGGACCAGAACCAATAATGGCAACAGTCTTTCCAGTCCTGGCTTGTGGTGGAGCAGGAACCATCCATCCCATCTCGAAACCACGGTCAATGATGGCGCACTCAATCGACTTGATACCGACTGGGTCCTCGTTGATTCCAAGCACGCAAGCACCTTCGCAAGGCGCCGGGCACACACGACCAGTGAACTCCGGGAAGTTGTTGGTCATGAGCAGCCTGTTGAGAGCGTCCTGCCACTGATTCTGGAATACCAGCTCATTCCACTTGGGAATGATATTGCTAATCGGGCATCCAGTATCCGACTGACAGAACGGCACACCACAGTCCATGCATCTCGCAGTCTGGTACTTGAGCTCATCCTCATCCAAACGCGAGTTGAGCTCACCCCAGTCGCGGGTCCTGGTCTTGACGTTGCGGTACTTCTCCGCGCGACGCTGGTACTTCATGAACCCCCTCGTCTTGTCGAGCACGAGAGCAGACCGCTTCTTCTCGGCCTTGCCGTCCTGGACACTCTCCTCGATGTCCATGAGCTCGTTCTTCTTGTGCTCCTTGTTCTCCTTCTCGGAGGTCTGCTCGCGAGACTTCTCGTGGAGGTTACGGACAGCGGCGCCTGGGAGGATGGGGAGAGGGTACTCGTTCTTCTTCGCCTCTTCGGCCTTCTTGGCCTCCTCTTCCATGACGCGCTTGTAGTCGGTTGGCAGGACCTTGACGAATCGTGGGAGAACTCTGCTGAAGTCGACCAGGATCCTGGCTGCGAGCTCGGAGCCGGTGTAGTGGAGGTGGTCTTCGATCAGGCCACGCAGGAAGGCAATCTCCTTGGGCTCGTCGACCTGGCCAAGCTCCACCATCTCCGTGTTGACCTTGCTGTCGAACTCGTGGTGCAAGTCCAAGATGTAGGCAATACCACCCGACATACCAGCCGCAAAGTTGCGTCCAGTGGGTCCGAGACAGATGACGCGACCGCCAGTCATGTACTCGCAGCCGTGGTCGCCCATGCCCTCGACGACAGTGGTGACGCCAGAGTTTCGGACAGCGAAACGCTCTGCGGCAACACCCCGGAAGAAGCACGATCCGGATGTAGCACCGTACAAGCAGACGTTGCCGATGATGATGTTCTCTTCGGCCTTGTAGACGGCAGTCCGCGGAGGGTAGACGATCAAGCGTCCACCAGAGAGACCCTTGCCGACATAATCGTTGCAGTCTCCCTCGAGCTCAAGCGTGACACCTTTGGCAAGGAAGGCACCGAACGATTGCCCTGCAGATCCCTTGACATTGCAGTGGATGGTATCATGCTCGAGACCTTCCTCACCGTAGCGCCTGCTGATGTGGGAGGACAAAGTCGCTCCAAAGGCTCTGTCAGTATTGACGATCTCCGTTTCGATCCTGCACGGGAGACCCTTCTCGAGCGCCGGCTCGGACTCAGCAATCAGCTTGTTGTCGAGACGAGTGTGCAGCTTGTGGTCCTGCTTGCGAACGTTGTAGGTCGACACTCCGGAACGAAGGCTGTGTGCGGGTGTCAAGATGAGCGAGAGATCGATATTCTCAGTCTTCGCACTGCGGAGATCCTCCCGCGTCTTGAGCACCTCAGTGTGGCCGACCATCTCGTTGACAGTCCGGAAGCCGAGCTTGGCCATGATTGCACGCATCTCGTTGGCGACGTAGTAGAAGAAGTTGATGACGTGCTCCGGGGTGCCCTTGAACTTCTTCCGGAGCTCGAGATCTTGCGTGGCGATGCCCACCGGGCAGGTGTTAAGATGGCACTTGCGCATCATAATACACCCCATAGCAATGAGCGGCGTCGTCGCGAACCCAAACTCCTCCGCCCCCAACAAACAGGCAATCGCCACATCCCTTCCAGTGCGCAGCTGCCCATCCGTCTCAATGACAATCCGCCCACGCAGATCGTTCAACACCAACGTCTGATGCGTCTCCGCAAGCCCAAGCTCCCACGGCAGACCGGCGTACTTGATCCCAGTCCATCGGGACGCACCGGTACCGCCGTCGTGGCCGGAGATGAGGATGTGGTCGGAGCGGGCTTTGGCAACGCCGGAGGCGACGATGCCGACGCCAGTTTCAGAGACGAGCTTGACGGAGACGCGGGCGCGCGGGTTGCCGCATTTGAGGTCGTAGATGAGCTGCTTCAGGTCTTCGATGGAATAGATGTCGTGGTGGGGTGGTGGCGAGATCAAACCTACACCGGGTGTGGAGTGGCGTGTCTTCGCAATGGGGCCAGACACCTTGTGGCCAGGCAGCTCACCGCCCTCGCCAGGCTTAGCACCCTGGGCCATCTTGATCTGCAGCTGATCGGAGTCGGTGATGTAGTTGCTGGTGACACCGAACCGGCCGGAAGCGATCTGCTTGATGGCTGAACGCATGGTATCGCCGTTCTCGAGGGGCTGGCTGCGCTCTGGGTCCTCGCCGCCTTCGCCGGTGTTGGACTTGCCGCCGAGTCTGTTCATGGCGACAGCGAGAGTGGAATGTGCCTCCATGGAAATGGAACCGTAGGACATAGCGCCGGTGCAGAATCTGCGGACGATGTCGGTCCACGACTCGACCTGCTCGATCGGGATGGGGTTGGTGGAATCAAAGTCGAAGTCCAACAACCCGCGAAGTGTGCAGTTCTTGATCTGCTCGTACTCGCTCTTGGAGTATGCTTCGTAGGACTTGTCGTTCTTGACACGAACAGCATCCTGGATGTTCGCGATCGAGGTCGGGTCGTTGACGTGTGCTTCTCCGCCATCACGCCAATGGTACTCGCCAGTCTCGGCGAGACCTGGAATCTCGGTGATGATCTGGCTTGGGAAGCCCTTCTCGTGGAAGGCAAAGGCGTCTTGAGCAATCAGCTCAAAGGTCATGCCTCGAATACGCGTCGCTGTGCCAGTGAAGCATCGGTCGACCACGGGCTCAGCAATACCGAGCGCCTCGAAGATCTGAGCGCCCTTGTAGCTCTGCAATGTGGAAATGCCCATCTTGCTCATAACCTTGAGAATGCCACCATCGCAAGAGTGCTTGTAGTTGCCGATGAGCTCCTCTGGGGTCATGTTCTTGCGGATCAGGCCCTCACGATGAAGCTTGAGAATACACTCGATTGCGAGGTATGGGCAGATCGCGTCTGCACCGTATCCAACAAGGACACACATATGGTGGACCTCACGAGCTTCGGCAGTCTCCACAATCAGAGCCGCCTTTGACCGCCACTTGTTGCGCACGAGATGGTGGTGCAGCATGCCGGTGGCAAGCAGCGATGACACTGGGACACGATCGTGCGACATCTTACGGTCAGAAAGGACCAGGATCTTGTCGCCTCGCTCAATGGCCTCAGTGGCTGCGTCGTTGATGCGGTCAAGCGCATCGTAGTAGCCCTGAATTCCTTCCTCCTTCGGGAACGTAATGTCGATAGTGGCGACTTGCCAGTCTGGGTGGAGGTCGGGAATGTGCATCAGACCGTTGAACTCCTCCACGGAGAGCATAGGAGATGGCAGGTAGAGTCGGTGGCATTGGCTCTTCTCGATGGTGAGCAAGTTGCCCTGCGGCCCGACGTATGTGCCCAGCGACATGACGACTGCCTCTCGAATAGGATCAATCGGAGGGTTCGTGACCTGAGCGAAAAGCTGGCGGAAGTAGTCGTACAGGAGACGAGGCTGCACCGCCAGACAGGCGAGCGGAGCATCGTTGCCCATCGAGCCGAGAGCTTCCTTGGAGTCTGCCGCCATAGGAGCCAGAAGCAGCGAAACCTGCTCCAACGAGTATCCGTACGCCTTCAGCCTCGGGTCTTCCTGAACGTTCGTCTTCGTCAGCTCGTGGGAGAGATCTGTGCCCTTCTCCAGCAGCTTCTTGTGGATGTTTGGCAGCACCAGGAGCTCAGACTCCATCCAAGACCTGAAGTCCTGCCTCGACGCGACCTTCTCTTTCAACTCTCCATCGTCGATGATTCGGCCTTCATCGGTATCGACCAAGAGCATGCGTCCGGGCTGCAGGCGTCCTTTCTGCACCACAGAAGATGGCTCAACCTGGATTGTGCCAACTTCTGAGGCACAGATGATCCGGTCATCGTCCAACACATAGTACCGGCAGGGCCGTAAACCATTGCGGTCAAGGTTCGCACCACAGTAGCGCCCATCCGAGAAGACGAAAAGTGCTGGGCCGTCCCACGGCTCCATCATGCACGCAGCCCATTCGTAGAATGCCTGCTTCTTGTCATCGATCAGGTTGTTGCCCTCCCAGGCCTCTGGCACCATCAGCATGACGGCTTCCGGAAGCGAGAGAACTCCGTTGATCGTCAGAAGCTCCAGCACGTTGTCGAATGCCGCCGAATCAGAACCGCCGTCCTCAATGATCGGGTATAGCATGTCCAGCTCTTCACCAAAGTGGTCCGACTGCAGCACACCCTCTCTTGCTCTCATCCAATTCTTGTTGCCTCGAAGGGTGTTGATTTCGCCGTTGTGTGCAGCCCACCGCAGTGGCTGAGCTCGGTCCCATGACGGGAAGGTGTTCGTGGAGAATCGAGAGTGGACAAGGGCAAAGTGGCCTTCGTAGTCGACGTTCACCAAGTCGTGGTAGTAGTCGTACACCTGCGCTGGCGACAGCTGGCCCTTGTAGACAATATTCTTGTTCGAGAGAGAACAGAGGTAGAACCAGTTGTGCAGCCCGATGACGTGGGTGACGCGCTTGCGGAAGACGTAGAGCTGTCGCTCAAAGACGACCGAATCGTAGTTGTCCTCGAAGTCGGCCTTTGGCTGGTTCTCTTCGCCGTACCACGACTTCATGACCATGAACGGCTGGAGGATCACGGGCTCCCTCGACTTCGCAGCCGGCCCAAGCAGCTCGCTGTCGACGGGGACCTTCCGCCACCCCAGCACTCGCAGGTTGAGCTGGTCTGCGATATCTCTGAATTGGTCAATTGTATCGGCGAGCGTCTCCTCATCCGGCTTGAAGAAGATGTTGCCCACTGCGTACTGGCCCATCTTCGGCAGCTTGTACCCTTGCTCCACCTCGAAGTTCTTGACGAAGAATCGGTGTGGGATGGAGGTCATGACACCAGCACCGTCGCCATCTCGTGCGTCCGACCCGACAGCACCCCGATGGGTCATGTTGCAGAGCAGGTTCCGTGCTATTCCAAATTAGCATGTGCATCTTCCATCATATTAGGACGAGGACATACCATCAGTCACGATCTTGTGGCTCGGCTTGCCCTTGATGTTGGCCGCGAAGCCCACACCGCAGGCATCCTTCTCGAGCTCCGGGTCGTAGAGACCCTGCTTCTTGGGCAACGCACCCGCCCATGACTTGTTCTCTTTGTCATTCTCGTAGGGGTAGATGTTCACCTTCTCCTCGTCGATGTCTTCATAGTCGTCGTCGATGATGCGCTCGTTTACATCGTCCGCGAAGGAGACGCGACCCATTCTATCGGCGAAAAGCCGAATGGGTCGTGCGGGTGGCGTAACTCTGGTGGCGGCGCGGTGTCGTACTGGGTCTGCTTCGGTCTAGGGTGTAACGTGTCGCAGGTATGGGTGTAGGTGTAGAGGAACAAGAGGCTGGAGGAGGTGTAGTGTCAGTGGAGGGTTCAGGTCACGCGTTGGCAGCAGTCGAGGAAGAGAGGCTCGAGTGCATGTGAGAAGCGAGAAAAGATTGGAGCTGTGCTCGGTGGGGAAAAAGATAATGCTGCCCACGCAGCGAGTCGCAGGGTTTGGGATGGTCAGCGAACGATTGGCCACACCGACGCAGCACAGAAGGGCGAATGTAGGTTCGACGGGCCAGGGGGTGTGCTGAGACAAGATCGTCGAGGGATGATGTCGTTGATGTTGCGGAGGAAAAAAGCAGCGAGACCGCTCGTTATCGCCTCTCACATCAACACACGCGGCAACAAGCTTCACTTCTGGCGGGCGGGGGGCATTGGCTCGGTTGTGGATGTTGCATATGCACGTTGGACGATGCAGGAAGACGATCAACTCACCTTGCTCGACTGTATACTGACCGACCGACGGGGGAGCGTGTGCAACGGGGAGGGTGGAGGAGAGGAACAGAGGAGAGGAACGGCGAGGCGGGTTTTTGTTCCCAGCCAGATTTCCGCCGGTGGGGATATTTCACTTCTTAGCGTGGTGGTAGGGAATATTACTGCTACTCCACCGAGTTCTTCCGCGACGAGGCGAGGACGCTGTGCTGGGCTGTAGTACATGGTGGAGGAGAGGCAATCAAGACGACTACAGATTGACATATTCAAAGCCTCATCAAGCGCATGTTCAGTCATTGTCTGTCGAAGAACTGTCGACATCATTCAAACAACACCTCCCGCACAGACATCCACCTTGCGCCCGCATCGCGAACATACTTTTTCTCTCTCCGGCAATAACAATCACATGAAAAGGCTGTATGCCCATCCCAGCTGTGGACCCAACCCGCCCGTCCTCCGCGACCGCTCTCCCCTTCTCGCCACCGCCCACTCCCTCCCATCATCCCGTCTCCCTCAGCGCCCTCGCCCGCTCATGTCATCACAGTAAAAATTTCCAGACGCAGCACCTGGGGAATCCCAGACACCTGCAGCACCCGCTAAGGATTAGGCTTGCAGCTCTACCCAGACCTCAGATGCAAACACCTCCTCGCCCATTCGTCGAGCAGAAATAAGCGTAACGGCAATCTCGCGGCAAAAGTGTATATCCTGCAGCTCTGAGGTCAAAGGTGCCGGGCAGTGCGATGTCGGGACACGCTTACTCTGGCGCCTCGCCATTGGATGGGTGAGCGGTGTCTGGGCCTTTTCCGTGGAGTCATTCGAATGTGTCTTCAAGACCGCAGACGCCTTATCGCCTGCATATGACAGGATATTCGTAGCTCACTCATATCGTTGCGGCTCGCGGGCTGTGGATGCTATGACATGGATTTTGCTTCTGGTCCCGTTGATCGCCTACGGCATCTCTCGCGGCGGGGATGGGGATCATCTGAGCTGGTGCATACATATAGCGTGGTTGTCACCGGAAGTTTTCTCTGCGTTGGTTGGCGCGCCGTTCATCCGCTCTTCATCTGGAGAGGCAAGACGAGAGACTTTGCTCTCAACGCCTTTCCACCTGCCGAGACTCCTTCCATTGCGCGTCGAGACCGACGACGGCTGAAGATGTAGCCGACGAGAACTGACTCTTCGAAATCCACGAAAACGGCTCATCGGTAGCAAGAGGCAGCCCAGGTACTTTCTTTCGGCATCTGTGGTGCTGGTGGATGCTTTCTTCCTGCACACGCCGGCCGAAGTCGGGATGCCAATTTCAACATCACCTCCACACGTCGGGTGAAGGCGAGTCTAGAATTTGTTTTGCGAGATCGTGCAACAGGCGGATGAAAAGCAGTGGTTGATCAAGAGAATGGATGACGATGACATTTGGACGACGAGCAAAAGGAACATCGAAAAAGAAGTCTGGTGATGCTGTCTTTGGAGTTGCAGCATATCGGTAGAATTGTGAGTGGTATCAGCTAGACATACAATACTCGAAAACAACCATCACCCTCCACCACCCCCTCAATACTCCGTCGTCAATATCTTCTTCAAGTTTGTCGTCTCCCTCTCAAACCCATCAATCGCCACATGACTCTTCCTCACCTTCGCCAGCAAATACTCCACCCTCCCCGCCAACTCCCCCGGCTGCTTCGGCAGCTCCCCCAGCAAATGCAACTCCTGCTCACACTTCTCAATCGTCTGATTCTCCCCCTTGATCGCGTCCCCCAACAACGCCAAATCCATCTTCGCCGCCAACACCCGATCCTCGACCAGCTGCTTGAACGCGGGTTGGTAGACAGGTTTGCCGGGCTTCACGCTGTACGGCCGGCCGTTAACCGACTGCACGGAGATCAGCTCCGCCTGCTCGAGGGCCGCGAGGGCTTTGTCGCTCTCGCTGCTAAAGGGCGTGGCCATGACGGCTTCGTTGTAGGGGATCATTTCTTTTTCGGCGAGTTTGCGGATCAAGGTCCAGGCTTGTTGAGAGGACCATTTGCGGTCTTCGGCGCCGGACATGAGGAACATTTTTAGGATTTCCGAGGAGGATTGGTCGATGATTTCTTTGACGGCTTTCGTGGGTGTCTCGCCTGCTTTTATGCGGCGTGCGAGGAACTCGAGGTCGGTTAGTCTGCCGCCGAGTTGGCCAATGACCATGTCCAGCTCGCTGAGGTCCTGTCGTTTCTGGCTGGGGGTGAGCTCTGGGACCTCTTCCTCGTTGCCGTCGTCGTCCTTCTTGGTCTTTGAAGGCTCTGCATCGAAGTCTAGGTGGTTGATCACGTAGCGTTTGGCGACCTCCGGCGAGCAGTCTGCGAGTGTGATCTGGCGGAAGACACGATCCGGCAATGCCTTGCTCAGACTCTTGGTGAAGCTGATGTCGTTCGTTAGGAAGACAACATGAGCGATGTTCGAGGTAGTCAGCTGGGCCGCCCATTCTGCCAGCTTATCGTACACCATCTGTGCGCCCGGTTCGCTGTTCTTGTGCAGGAAGTTGTCGATGACGACCACTGGCCGGCGTTCGGGGTGTTGTTCAAGATACTCGTCGTCACCCAAGTTAGCATCTTTGTCATCCTTCCTTCGGTCCTCAAGCGCAATCTGCTTCAAAGCTGCCGCAGTGTTGGTGTAGATCTTAACGAGCTGGGTTTCCAATGTCTCCGAGAACCCAGCCTTCATGCCAGTGACGCCCTGCGCAGCCAGATCCAGGAGCCCAGAAATGTTATTAATCCAAGAGAAGACTGGCCTGTACCCAACTTGGTTCGCCGCTGCTGCAATGGTATTCGCGTCGCCACGGGCCTCTTGAACGGGCTTGCAGTCGAAGACCAAAAGCCTATGAGCTTCCTGCTTATGCGCAAGGGCATGATCAACCACCAATTCCCTCTTGCCGCTACCTCGAGGCCCTTGCACGACGATGAACGTGTCGGTGCTTTCCATCAACCAAGCTCTGATCTGGTCAATCTCGTTCTTTCGATCGTCCCACAGCACCCGCATCCCGCCTTCCGAAGCATCACGGCCGCTCAGTTGCTTCACGCGGTTGATCAAGTCCTCGCTCTGCCGCCGGAACCATCGGAAGACGGTGTTGTCCTCGATGTGGAATGCTCTTGAAATGTGTGCGCGGATGGAGAGCGTCCTCAGCGGGTCGAAGATGACGATGGAGATACCTGCTATGAGCGCAGCGAGGAGCGGGAAGAAAATCCGAGGGTGATTGAGTATCCAGTCCTTGATGAAGCCGAACCTTTCCTTCTTGGCGTAGGTGATGCGAAGAACAGTCCCATGACTTCCGCCGCCCTGATCATGAGGTACTTGATACCCATGCAGGCAGTTCTTCGCCATGACCGCCTTGCGTGGCCGCGAGTAGTCTAGATATGCGTACCGAGGAGACACCTTGGAATCGGAAGGCTGCTTCACCACTTCCGAGAGTCTGCCATACGGTCTAAAGAGGCTGTAAAGCTGCTCCTGGCTAAGCTCCGCAGCCTCAATCCCGGGATACGCAGGCAAGAACTCGACCATCAGCCGCTGCGACGGAAACCGGAACAGATCCTCTATCCAAGGCTTCCCGATCACGAGTCTGACGGAGACATGCGACAGAGGGTTCCACCAGGGCCGTATAGGGTTCTGTTTGAGTTGTGATCGGACGGCCTCAGACACGGTCTGGTTGTCGACATTGGCATCGTGGCGGAACTTCACGAACGCGCCGCCTTCTTTGAGGCGCGGCAAAATCTCAACCACCTCGATTTGACCGAGACTTCCGTCCTTCGTCGCACTCTCAACAACCTTCGCTGGTGATACTGCTCCCACGTCCTCCATCTTCGCTTCGTACCGCAGGATTGGGGATCTCCGCTGGAGGCTCCATAATGCGCGATATGCCCATTGTAGATTGAATGGTAAGAGACTGTTGAAGAATAGGATGCCCTCGTTATGGCCGATGGAGATATGACCAGTCTTGCGCTCTCCAGCTTCGTTGGCCGCAGGTCTCCGTGTTATTTGTCCATAGCGAACGGTCGGCCTTGGCTGGCGAAGTGCTGCCTTCGCTGAGCCTTGTAGAAGGCGCCTAGTGATCATCGTATCCAAGACATTAGCTGTTCTTCACGTACCCCTCGAACAGGATACTGATGCTTTGAAGATGTTTGCAGTACATGTATTCGTAAAGTTGACACAAGGAGTTCGAAGTGTGAGTCGTGTGACGGGTGTGGCGTAAGTGGCGCACCAACCACGCGCTTCGCAGCCATTGCAATTAACGCGAGGAATAGTAGTGTCACAGAGTCGTATTTGAGCAATAGAATGGTTGGAATGTGTGCATGTCGGAATTGTTCGGCTAACGTTGCAAGTATGCTACGCCATCCTGCTAATCGTAACACTGAAGAGGCCTGCCATGCATTCTGCTTGAAGCCCAATGCTCAATGGCCCGAAGACCCGCTCCAATTCCAGCAGCAGTCCTGACCCAGTATCCACTTCCACCATAGCTGCTACACTTCATCCCTTCCTGCCAGCCGCCGCTCCAGGACCGCCAGCCTTGACCGCACCTCTAGCAGCAATTTTCCTGAAAGCATCCTCTCCACTCGCGCCCATCTTCCTGCTGACTCCTCCTACATTGCTCATCGTGCTCACCGGCGCAACCGTGTACGTTCCCACACCGCCCTCCACTCTTGCACGATTGCCAGGAATCGGCTGCTCTAGCACCTTCTTCCTTCTCTCCGCCGCCACGATAGCTGGGTTGCGCGCAGTCGATTGCTGCGACGAGGCCTGCAGCTGAAGAGGATCGTAGGTCTGCGTTTGAATGTTGGCGCGATTGTGGATGTTCTTCTGGTGGCGTTTGAGCACGATACGCATCCATTCTCCAATCAGCTTCTCCGCGGCGCGTTTGATTTCCGGCTGCGGCTGGGTGGATTTGGTGTAGAAGAGGACGACCTTGCCGATGCCGGACGAAGTGAGGGCTTCCTTCGAGAGGTGTAGCTTCGACAGAATCTTGAACAGTTCGCGCTGGATCTTGTAGTTAGGTAGAGCGGCGTCGTGGTCGGCAGGTTCCAGCATGAAGCGCACCGAAGTCAGGATCTGGCTTTCTGGGTCTTCGAGCTGTGCTTGGATAGTGTTGCGGTTCATCAGTTCTACAACCTCAGGAAGGATGGCGAGCTTGTGTGTAGCGACCTGGCCTTTAGCGCGTGCATCGGCGTCGGCTTGACAAGCAGTGGCCATGCGTTGAGCAAGAGATGCGATCTCTGCGTCAGCAGCTGCTTCAAGGTCGATTCCACGGCCACGGCGGCGATTTGCGCGTGTACCAGCTTTGAGGGCCTCGTCCATCTTGCGGTCAAGGGCGCGGCGGCGACCTAAGCAGACATGTCAGCACGATGCGCTGCGAACTCATCGTTGATGATGATGACTTACGCTCCTCGGGAGTCAAATTCTCCTCTTCCTCCATGGTCGGTGTCCTGGCTCTACGCGGCCCCTTCGATGGTCGCCCTTCAGCGCCGCCCTTGCTCTTCCTCACCCTCTTGCCCTCCATCTCCGGCCCGCCCTCGAAGTCATCTTCATCCACATCGCCATCAGCACCAGCCTTTACCTTCCTACGCTTTGGCTTCTCACGCCTGCCCTCCTTGCGCTTCTTCTTCCTCTCCCGCTCTTCCTCCTCAGTCCGCTTCCGCTTATGCACTCCCAACAGCCCCACATTAGTCTCGTCCACCGCAACTGGCTTGTCAGGGATATTGAGCGCATCTGCATCGAAGTCCTGGAACTGCTCCTCATCTAAGTCATCTAATTCGGATTCCTCATCGTCGTCTTTTGTAGGCTCAGGCTGCTCGTCCTCTGCGGCGTCGTTCATGGCTTCCACTGTTTCTGGCGCTTCATCATCCTCGAAAGCGTCAACGTCGGCGGTGGGGCTGCCCATCGGTGCGTTTGGCCGGTCCTCTTCTTCCACGCCGGGCTGAAGAGGGTCGCCGGGGTCGTTGTTGCCGGAGGGTTCTTCGTTGGCTTGAAGGGAGGGCGAGCCTGGAGGCATTTCAAGATCTTCCATGGTGGCTAATGCGGTGCTGTGCGTGAAGTGTGTGACGAAGCGCGCCGCGTCGGTGAAATCAGAGTTGATAAGGCGCCGGTGAATGAAGTTGGTGTTGGTGGTGAACAGAAGCAGTTGTCTCCTTCCACGCCAGGTCCACGGTCTTGGCGCTGCGGCAACCTCCGCGAGCTTGACTCTAAACCTCACTTCATCTTTCATCTGGTCTTTGACAGAGAAGACACACTTGAATACTACCATCGACCACCTACTATTACACATCCAGAACCCATCATCATGTTCGGCGGACGTGAGCGCTACCCTCTTCTTGCACACCTCGCCCTTGTCACTAACGAATCCGCACTACAGCACCACCCCAACCCTCCGCAGAAGAGCTGGCCCAGCAGGAAGCAGTGGCATCGCAGACCATCTACGGCTCAATGGGCTTGTGTGTGATGATGTACTTCTGTACGTACTGTGCGCGAGCACCCATCTCGGATGTTGGGATGCGATTGATTGCGACGAGAACTATTGAAGCTGACAAGTTCACAGCTCCTTTCGTCGTCGATTACGTGCGAAGACTGGTTTGAGCGCGTGCACCGGGGTCGCAGAGAAGTGGTCTGAGAGACGACGAGCAGGGAAGACGGTTGTTCACAAGATTGGTGTACGATATTGGGCAGCATAAAGGCGCATAGCGAGGGTGTTCATCGGAGAGAACAGTCGGCGGTTGCGGCGTGGACTCGACTCACCCCCAAGAGTAAATCTGGCGGCGCGGAAGTGAAAGAGCGATGTTGAAATAGTGTAATATATTGTATCAATGGTACAGACTTGAAACGCTGTTGTAAGTTCACTCAAGCAATCGCGCAGAGTCCATCACTTATGAGCCTCAGTTCACTTATGGGGAAAGCATGTGATACGATCCGCTGGCATGCACGCTGAAAGTATGTCAGATGAGCTCGACCTCAGACGCTCGATGAAGTGGACGCGGCCAGTGAATATCGCGGAACTCAGGAGACACTAAGGCGGCGGACCATCGAGCTTCAAGACTCGAATGCAACGGTGCTTCCGAACAACATGCCATATACGTTTGCGAAGGAACGAAGTACTGCGATGTGCAAGAGACTGCAATCAGTCCAATGCTCAAGACAGTAAGTGTGGCTTGACCTTCTCCAGGAATTGCACTCATTCAGCAATGCGAGCTAACATCTCCAACCTCACTACATCCCCCGACCCCCCCGCGACCACGAGCCACCGGCGCCACACTCCCCTGCCTTCAGTCCGAGCTTTCGTCGCAAAACCTATTTATTGTTTTACCAAAATTCTGTCTTCCAGTGCACCTGACGCAGGGGCGGCGTTCAGTTAAATTCTGAAGCCGTTAACACAAATGCACTACCGGGACTGGCTCACTAGACCCGAACATCCCGAGATGTAGCCAATTTGCTACCACGTATATCAGAAGTGTTCAGTTCGAATCTGAGCAGTAGGCTGTATGGGAGTAACTTTCGGGTGAAACCACAGGTGATCCGCAATCACGCTCTCTGTTATACCGGCGGCTCCGTTACAACGGGTGGGTGAACTCGCTAAATTAAGGAATGTCCTGCTATCTGACTAGTAAGCCGCGATGCGGAGGGGAGAACCGTCACGTTCTCCCCTGAGAAGCTGCCGTGGAGGGGAGAGCGGTGACGCGTTCTCCTCTGAGAAGCAACCGGTCGAAAGCAGTGATCGGGGGGTTCCTTTTTGCACTTTTCCTTCCTCAGTTATTGGAAGTCTCTTTTCACACTTGCTGCCTGCCGTTTCTTGTTGTCCGCAGTGTCGTTTTACTTCAAGCTCTGAGACATCATTTTGCAAGGCTCCTCGAGTACAAAGGTATACAACGGCGGACATGACCATTCGTGAGTCGTCTTGGTTTATGACAGAGCGTGGGTGTACCTATTCTCTTTGCTCGGCCACTTCGCAACCATCCAGGAGAGGAGCGCTTGTGGCTACATGGCTACCTCTGATGGACAACGAGGCAGCCATGTCCCATTCATTGAGTCCATGCGCCAATCCTCTCTCGTCAACGCTGTCTCCTCTGGAGGTCGACTTGCTTCCTTGGGCCCAATACCATCGTACGCCCGCTCGCTTCCACATTCGGCAGACGTTTTCCGGCAATTTGGCCGCACCTGCTCAATGCTTCTGTGAGGCTAAGATAACGATCGCGCTTCAGTCCACAGTATTTGCGACGTCGAGACAAGGATCATCCGCCACCAAGGCTAACGTTTCGATCTCAGCGAGCGGCCGCACTTCAGCACGCAATCAGCCTTGCCTGCGTCCACGGAGCGAGGACAGCAAATGTCCGCCGCCTGAGCAACGAGGCCAACGACGTTTCCGTACGACGAATCGGACACAGGGGGTGGTTCTACCTGCTTCTTGCCTCCCTTTGATCTAGAGACAGCAGCTTAACCGAGCACGGGCAGTCCTGAAACGAGCGGAAGAGCCTGCTTTCGACGACGCAGGATGGGCGGCAGCTGTAGTATGCCATTCACGCCTTACAACAAGTGGGAAAGCGAGGAAGCTGCAGAGCATAGCATTTCTCCGCCAACTTAACGGGGATGTGTGAACAGCTCGACATGCCTGGAGATGATCACATCGATGGGCGTTCAATCGTATAGTAAGTATGCGTGAGAGTCATACGGCATTGCTCATGTTCCTCCTTGTGGCCCGCAAACACTGCCGGCAGCTCTTGTTTCATGCTCCCAACCTCAGTCCTTCCACTTCATGCCCGACAAAATCTTGATATGCTGCGAGTGGCGCCGGTCGAACGACACAGAACAGACCTTGCGCAAGAACTGCACATGCGGAAGCAACAAATCGGTTACTCGCCATCTTGCTCTTCCTCGTCAGCCGACGCACCACCTTCATCTCCCCAATCATCATCTTGCTGTTCCTCCGGTGCGGAAGGCGGCGCTTTTGCCACCTTGATCATACACTTGTGCATTTTCGGCCGGCCTCGCCTCCCGGTATACAGCTTCGTTGGTCGGCCTCGTCCTGGTCTCAATGAATTCGAACGATCCCGAGTGCCTGCGGTTGGCCGCAAGGCCATGTCTTCGAATGCATTGGTCACTGCTGCTTGCGAACGGAGCATCTGCTGCTTGTCGAGTTGCGAGAGGGCCGACTGGCATCCTTGCGAGATCGAACGACCGCCATCTTGTGCTTTTCGAGAGCTGAGGTACACCGGAGTTGCAGATCCGCATCGTAGGGGCCGGCATGAGTGAGGGCGCCTGGCCGAGCGCTCGCGATTACTTGCTGTGGTGGAAGAGGTGGTCGATCGCTTGCTTGCTGTGCACGACGGGTACGCCCTGCCGTGCTCTTCCGAACGCGAGTTTCTTCCCTGTTCCGTGTGCGTCTCGGGACCGGACGCATGGTCGTGTCGGACTCTTGCTCTTGCTCGATACTCTTTCGAGCTTCTTCAGCGGGCATGCTGTACCCGGATCGCGACGTAGAGATTTGGGTGTCGGCCCTCTCGACTGGGAGAGGATGTTAGCCACATGCTGCAGTGGACTTTGGACTTTACTAGGTTTGCTTACCCTTGCAACGGAAACAAAAGAAGTAGTGTCTACCCAAGCTCCCAGCGAGTCGAGCTGCAAAGTCTTTTGGGAAGATGTAGGGCTAGCATGATGCGTGGAACTGGGGCCTGCTTATAGATCGTGAGTACAGGATGAGCAAGAGGTAACGGTGTGTGAACGTACGGATTGTTGTCCATGGATAGGATCCCGTCTTTCGTGAACCTGGTAACCAGCACGGCGACACGCCCTGTCGTGGGTATCTTGAAGTGAAGGTCCTCTCCGGCCGGACTAACGTCTAGCCTTGTCATTGATGAGAGTCTGGTATACCAAACGATTAATTCGTACTCACCATCGCCTTCTTGCGTTGTGCAGAGTACTGGCGAGCCTCAAGACGGATGTTGCGGAAGGCCCTCCGCGAGCTCAGGCGAATCCTTGGTGTAGAATTGAGGCAGGCTGCGCTAATTCAAGAACGGTCGCATCGTCTTACAGTTTGCTTTGGATTCCACCTGGAGCAAGGTGTCAACAAATGTGTTAGCTCGGGGGCTACGGTGACTTGGCCAACAAGCGACCCATGGTGCTAGATTGTCTTTTAGAGGGCCACCTACGCAATAGCTGAACGTACCTTGACTCCTTGAGCGACTTGGTAGCGGATATAACCGTTGTCACATGGAGAGACGTGGGATTAGTAGGTTATAGGAATAGAGAGGCCAGACAGTGATGAAGAAATGAGGCAGTGAAACCGACACAGGCAGTGGTAGACGAGAGACAGCGACGAGATCAAGTGCCTCACCTACTCCATTGAAGAGAGACTATTGAGAGCCGTACGAACCTCGTGGTATTGTATCCGGCGCCGTGAGGGGCCAGCCCACCTGATTAGCCAGTTCGAGTACCACCCCGTTCTCGTGGAGCGAGCTTCATACCCAACCCTGCGCTTGTCTCAGAAGTACTTCACGCTCTGGAATCGACGCTGTTCGAGGAGAACCGGATAGGGAAGCGTGGAACGAGGGATGGGGATGTGAGGGCGTTAAATGGTAAGCGAACAAGGAGTCACGAAGTTCTGCTTGAATTCATGCATCGGATACTGTACACCCCCCGCCTCTACAGTCTATTGCGAAAAAGCATTATGCGCGAAGATCTGCTTCTTCCTGAGATGTACTGGCGTCTCGTTGGCCGGCGTCCCGGGTATTGTCTTCTCCAACTTCTAATCATGGGACATTTGTTAGCATCCCAATTCATTGATTGGACTCCACGTAGGCTCCTGGGCTTGACCAGAACTTACCAGGTTGTCAAACACACACTTGTTCAGCCCCCGCTCCAGTTTCCTGCACTGCCATAGCTGCTGGTTGTTGTTGTCCAAGCACGTCCAGTGCTGCCGGAATTCCTCGAGACAGCTCTTGTTGATGTCGTCGAGCCTGCCATACCCATTAGCTCCAGCCCCAACCGTTTATGCGTTCTTTCCATAGCCTCAATCGCCCTGGATGTCTCGGACTCAACGTACACACTCGCAGCACACCTCGTAACCTTCCTCCCCTCCTTCAAGCACTCCACTTCTCCCCTCCCGTTCGCCTCCGTCTTGCATTTCATGAAGTCATCATTGTACGGTTGGCACCGCGCTCCGATAAAGTATGAAGCGCTCATCAGCGGCGCAGAGGATGCACCAATCTCTTCGACCTTGGGGATGTTCGCCGGCATGGGCGTGGTGTCGATGAGGACATGTTGGTTGAATCTAGAGAGCCGTTAGTCGGGCGTGGGAAGGGAATGTGTAAGAGCATTACCTTGGCTCGCGGGCGGCCATGTCGGCGGTGTTGGGCGGTGTCAATGGGTCGGACGGGACGCTGTCGGAGGAGAGGCATCTGATCGTGAGGTTGGAGCTTGCGGAGGTGGAAGCAGGTGCGGGAGCGGCCGATTGGTTGGAAACTTCGCGTACCTGAGAAGCAGCAACTTCGCGTGAGGTCGAGCGAAGGACAATGGGAACGTCTGCTCTATAGAATCCTCTGCCTCTTCTTCAACCTGTCTGCGCGGCCCATACACCCTCGTACTGGCATAAACGACCGACCACGACAGCTCCGAGGCCACACCGGTGGACAGCGCCGGCACGATGAGCTCGCTATTCGGCAACACCGCCAACCAGAACCAGTCGCAAGGCACAGGACTCTTCGGCGCAAGCACAAATCAGAATCAGAACCAGAATCAGGGGACTGGACTGTTCGGCGCAAGCACAAATCAAAATCAGAACCAGAACCAGAACCAGAACCAAGGAAGTAGCTTGTTTGGAGGCGGTACAGCGCAAAATCAACCTCAAGGCACAGGGCTGTTCGGTGGGAACGCGAATACGCAGAATCAGAATCAAGGGACTGGTCTGTTCGGCGGCGGTACGACGAACCAACCGCAATCGCAGGGTACAGGCCTATTCGGCGCCAGCACAACCCAGAATCAACCACAGCAGCAACAGCAACAGCAGCAGCAGCAGGGGGGTGGGCTGTTCGGCGCTCAGAACACTGTCTACAACTCAGGCCAGATCAGCAACTGGGGCGGTCAACCACAGCACCAGCAGACCACCAACGAGAACACCGCCATCTTCGGCAACTCCACCGCACAACAACAACAGCCCAACCCCAACCCGAATGCCTCCCTCTTCCCGGCCCCTCAACAGCACCGCACAGCCGCCGAGCGCACTTTCCCACATCCCCAGCAAACACATCTCTCCTCCCTACTCCAGTCCGGCCTCGGCAGCAACCAAAGTGCCTTCGGCTCGCTCGGCGCAACACAACAGACCGACCTCGCGCGTTCTCGCCTCGCAGCTGCAGGCATCACCGCCGTTCCGAACGAGAAGAGCGTGATCGAGCAAGTGCAGACCCTGGTGCGAAAATGGGATCCCAACAGCCAGGACACACTCCTCCAAAAGTACCTCTACAACGCCGTCAATGCCGCCTACGCACCCTTCTACTACCGCAACCCCGAAGAAAGCGAACGAGACTGGGAGGAAGCGCTGTCCAAAAAACCCGCCCCCGTCGAGAACAAAGACGGCGACAACGTAGCCTTCATCCCCGTCCTAGTCCGCGGCTTCAAAGCCCTCGGCGAACGCGTCGAATACCAAGCCCGCACCGTCAACGAAATGCGCGCCCGCCTCCACGAGATGAACAACTCTCTCAACGCCATCATGGCCACGCACCAGCAATCCCTTACCGTCCGGCTGGAAAACGCTCGCCGCCAGCACGCCACGTTATCCCAACGCTCGCTGCGTCTAGCAGTGAAAGCACAGGTCCTGCGAAACCGCGGCTACCCCCTCGACGTCGCGGAAGAAGCTGTGCGGAAATCGCTGCAAGCGCTCGAAGCGCGGGTGTTTGACCCGCAGTACTCTGCTCGCGAAGAGGAGGTCTGGGCCCGAATGGTGGCGCTACGGGATCGGGCGCGGTGGTTGGAGGAGGAGGGGAAGAGGATTGCTGCGCAGCAGAATGCCAGCGGTGGTGGTGGGGGGCAGAGTGGAGGGCAGACGGTGATTTCGGACGAGGTGGTGGCGAAGGCGAAGAAGGTGCTGGCGGATTATGAGGGGCAGATACGGCATCTGGGGAGGGAGTTAGAAGAGTTGAAGAGGGAGTTTGGGGAGTGGGAGCAGTCGAGGCCGTGAGCGTGGAGGGGCTTGGAGTTTGAAATGTTTCATGGCGCTGTGGAATAGGGTACTGTCATCCAGCGTGGCGTTCTGGTCAAAGCACTTTTTTCTGGGGGGACTGGAAGGTGAGGCATGATTGAAGCATCAAGCTACATCTACACGAACTTCAAAGCGCTGCAACGCCCTCACTACCTATCTCCAAAAGCTCGTCATCTATCTCATGCGTTCACCACATCCTCGCCCCTCCCCATACCCCTTCACCCCCTCCACCTCCACCCCATTATCCCAAAAATGAATCGTCGCCACCTCAACCCCAACCAACGGATTCTCCTCCCCGCCAAAATCCCCCGTCGTCCCCACCTTGACATCATACCCCAACGCCACATACCAGCTCTCCCGCCCCGGCGCGGCGATGACACTACAACCCACGCCTTCCGCTCTCGCGAGATCGAAGCCGTACTGCACCATCTGCTTCCCGTACCCGCGACGCTCGGCGGGGGGCGAGACGCCGATGCGGGAGAGGTACCAGTTTTCGCTGCGGGTGCCGCTCCAGTGGTGGTCGACGAAGGGGCCCATGCGGGAGAGGACGTCGAGATGGGTGGGGTTGGCGGCGCGGTTGGGGTAGAGAAAAGATTCCATGTAATTGTAGGCGGTGACTGTGTTGAGCATGACTTGGTGGTATAGGCCGGGAGGGGATGGCTTCGCGCGCCTGCGTACCCAGTGCGCTACGCCGGTGATAGTGTCCTTGCCGGCAGGGTCGGATGTGTAGGTTACGATGGAGCGGTGGTCCGGGCCGGAGTAGTATTCTGTTCGTAAGGCGTGGAGGTAGAAAAGGGACATGTCATCTGGATATTTGTCCCGGTGGGGATGCATGTAGCTTCCGAACAATCCGGTGTCGAAGAAGGCGGCGGCGAGGACGCGGGAGGCTTGGGGGATGTCTTCCCACCGCATCTCTCGGAGAGGCATGTTGATTGAGTTGTGAGGAAGGAAGAAGATATGCTAGCGATTGGGATGAAATAAAGAAAGTCTGGCCCCATGAAGTCTGCATCCAAGTAGATATCACCTACCTTATTTGGCCACTCGACAGGCCTGCATACTGTGGAGACAATGTAGCGCCCTACAGGCGACATGTCGGCTATTCATCGTCTCAATCGAGAGTACACACGCAAAGGAGCGGCATTGCATGGTTGTTGTCCTGGGAGAAGACCGGTGTTGGAGGAGTGCATGTGAGGTCGAAGGCGCTCTTAGTCATCTCGACTTCACGCGACTTTCGAGAATTGGTCTTCGTCCAGAGCAACAGCATTTCTCTTGGTGTAGCAAGTTCAGCATCTCTGTCGATCGCAATGGGCTGGCTGTGGTCTTCATCGACGACTGGAGATGGCCAGAGATCATCAGATGGGCGGGCAGACGGCGACAAGCCTCGAGGATTCGGCCTGAACGAAGAACAACGAACGCGCATCTTCGGCCTGGCGAGTGCAGACAAGACGCGAGACGCAGCAGCAGAGAAGGAACTGGCCACCTTCCTTAACTCCGTGTCCGAGCCAGACGCCTCAGAGAGCAAAGCAGCTACACCCGCAGCCAACCCTTCCCACGAAACATCGCCTCCAGAACAACCCCCCCACGACCGCATCCTCCCCGACGGCAGCCTCAACATCTCCCCCTCCGCCCTCTACCCCCGCACCATGTCCTGCCGACAAGCCTTCGACCAAGCCTTCTACTGCCAATCCCTCGGCGGCAAGTTCAACGACATCTATCGCTACGGCCACCTCCAAGACTGCAGCGAGCAATGGGGGGCCTTCTGGTTCTGCATGCGGACGCGGACGCTTTCCGGGCCGGAGAAGGAGATGCAGATCCGGGAGCATTATAAGCAGAGGGATGAGAGGAAGAGGGGGGAGTTTGGGAGTAGTGAGGATGTGTGGGAGATTAGGGAGAAGCCGGTGTTGAAGGCTTTTTGGAGGGATCCGGATGCGGAGGATTGATGGGGCGCATGAAGAAGGTCTGGAGAGAGACTGCGAGCCGGACAGAGCTGGAGACTGGAGTTGTGCTGAACGGGCCGTGTTTGATGACCTGCGTACTATACCAAAGCCCAGCGCCGACTTCGTCGACAGCCTTCATCCCGTGCTGGTCGATCCAGTTCTCTGGAATCTTAAACGAAATATCGTGGACAGGAGACAGGGGATGCACCACGGGCAGAGCGACAGTTGGGGGGCATCTAAGGCATTCGAGTATGTCGGGGGCAGAACTGCCCCGGGGGCGAGGTCATGCGTTGACGATCGGGGTGTGGAATGGGGTGTTGCAGAGTAGCTCACCGGGTGCAAGGAGATGCTACTGGCTGGGAAGAGCCGTCGCTAGCTGACGTTGCATAACACCCCGATCACCCCATTTTCTCCCTCCATTCCGGCCACTTGACCCACCATCGCGAAACGCAGTGGCACGACAGCATGTCGGAGGCAGAGCATGCTTCACAAGGGGACGCGCCGGGGGAAATGCGACACTGTATACACTATACTCTGCTCGCATCAAAATATCCCAATGCCACGTCTACCCAAACACAAACGCACCCACCCCCCAACCCCAGCTCCACCGCTCCCCCGTCGTTCACACATCATCATCATCCACAATCCCCACCAATCGCCTCTCCGCCACCTCCAAAATCTTCTCCGCCAACACATCCCTCTGAAACCGCTGCGCCACCTTCCCAGCCGCCTCCAGCATCTTGCCCGTCCGATCCCGCATCAACGTCGCAATCTCCAGCGCCTTCATGCCCCTCTCCTCGCCCTCCCGACACTCATTCGCCAGCAGCTGCAGTAACACTTTATCCACCTCCCGCTCCAAGACGGGAACTTCCTGCTTCTGCGCGTGCGTCGCGTTGGTGTTCTCCACGAGATCGAGCTGCAGCGAGTGCTCGAGCGCTTTGCGCACGAATTGCTCTTCCAGCTGATTGCCGTGCGTCAGCTCCGCGTCGTCGTCTTCGGGGGCGGAGATGGGGATGCGGAAGTCGAAGTCGGAGAGTAAGGGGCGGGGGAAGTAGGGGTACGCTTCGCCGCCTTTGAGGATGATGCAGTGAAATTTGTTGTTCGCTACCGCGACGGGCCAGTAGCTTTCTTCCTTCTTGCCGCTTGCTAGCCGGTCGAGGGTTCTGGTGTCGAGGAGTGGGACCCATTTTGCTTGCCCCGGGGTGCGCCAGTGTTGGAGGATGAGGAGGACGCCTTCGCTGTCGTAGATGCAGGGGTCGCCTTTGTCGCTGAAGAAGACGCTTTTCAATTCGAAGCCGTCGGGGAGGGCGAGGATGTCTTCGCTTTGGTATGTTTCGTCGCGCTTGACGTTCTCGATCGTGTAGAGGAGGCGTGTGGAGCCGTCGCCGCCGACGGGGCCGTTGCCGATGGTCATTACGTAGTCGCGCCAGCTGGCGCAGGTGACTGCTGGTGTGCTCTTTTGGCGGTACATCTTGAGCGGCAGGCCGTACAGGCTGTAGATCCGGACGTAGCCGGCTGTTGTGGTGGCGACGATACAGGAGTCGCTTAGGGATATTGAGGTGATCTTCTCGCCGGCAGGCATGTTGATGCGCCAGTCTGTTCGAGATGTCCAGCTCTCGTGCGGTCGGTAGTAAATCACTGCCGGATGCTGAGCGGATGGTGGACAAGAAAAGAGCGTGCCTTTCTCGTTCAAGCAGGCTTTGTCGTACAAGTAAGGATCAGTGAAGTGGAAGTCACGATGCTCCTGGCGGTCATAGAACTCGACGGTGACGGTGTTGTGCGTCTCTTGATCCACCGTCCAGACAAAGCCCGTGAGGTTCAAGCAGAGGTACCGTCGGTTGCCCTTCCAAGGGGTACTTCCAGGCTGGAATGCTTCGTGAACCCTCGGCTGCCACACCGAGTACGCTGCAGGCCGCTTCGCGATCGGCCCCTCGATGCTGTTGGCAATACGCTTGCCGTTGCGGTTCGGCGCTTCAGCATAGCCGGCCCCGTCATCATCTTCGATGAAGTCGGCACCATCCTGCGACATAGCATCGTCCAATAAGCTGTCGACATAGTCGTTCTCTGAGGGTCCATCCCAGCCATTGACGCCAGGCTTACCGTGGCCTGGTGGTGCCCTTATTGCATTACCTGAGACGTCCGACAGAGGATCGCCGTTCATAGGCGCAGGTTGAAGAGCGACCTTGAGCAGCTTTGCATGTTCGCCTGGTACCACTTCCGCTCTCATGAACAGTTCGCCGTTGGTGTTGGTGTAGGACAAGACATTGTCGGTCGGGTGCCACTGCAGGCACAGAATGACATCTTGAATATCGTCAAATGACTTGATGATCTTCTGCGATCTCGTCTCCCAGAGCACAAGACTCTTGTCAGCTCCAGCAGTTGCAAGCAACGCGCCATTTGGCGACCACGCTGCAGCTGTGATGTCGCCACGATGCCCGCCTTTGAAAGCTTTCTGCAGCTTCCAATCTGCTCGAGCAACCACCTGCAGATCTCTCGTCGCAGTTGGAGCCGCAAAAGCTCTGCCATCCGGGTGCCAGATGGCTCTCGCGCTGGCGTCTGCGTCGTTCTCCAGGATCTTAATCAAGCCGTCGATTCGCTTGAGAAGTTGCGGCTGCTCTGAGCTGATGGAGTAGATGTAGATGAGCCCGTCTGTACACGAAACTGCGACGGTGCTGTTGTTCACATCGAACGAAACGTTCTTCGCGGAGCGTGGGTGTTCCCGTAAGTAGAACACTTGTGTCATGTCTTTCGTGCTGACGACCTTGACTTCGATTTCACTGCATGACCGTCAGACCTGCATAGCATCTATAGTATCAAGAATACATACTCGCTCGCCACCGCAGCCCACTGACTATCAGGGGACAATGCAATATCCCGAATCGGCAGAGTACACCTGATGAGAATCTCCTCCAAGCTGTTGGTGAGCAAGGAGTACTTCGTAACAGAGCCATCTTCAGACCCGACAAGGAAGAAGTCGTTGGCAGCTGCGACAGCAAAGTGGTTGTCCGTCCATACGTCTATCACCGGTGGTTCGTCGTCAGAGTTGTGTGGGAAGACGCGGAGCAGACTGTTCGAGCCGACGGTGACAAGTTTGCTGCCATTGTTGGAGTAGCTGCAATATGTTGGTCCTGGGGCATGCGCCGGTCGTCCACGCAGTCTGGAAGCCATGGTATAGTCCGATGTTAGAAACGTTCTCTGGACATGAGGTTGAGACATCGATATGGAGACGCGCCTTCCTCACTCGACGCGTAGTGCTAGTCCGAATAAAGTATAGCGTCGCTTTTCGCGTAAAGTGCTTTGGGAAGTGCAACCCAAGCAACCACATCCATCCTCACTACACCTCTTGCACAGACTTCCACCGACTTCACCACTCTTCACACTTTCCGAATCGCAATCGCATATAACTCACTCACAACATCGCATAGAGCATACCACCGCGCATCCATCCACAATGAGCAACGAGAACTCCGACCCCAACACCACCACCATGGCCGGCACCGACACGCCAATGGAAGAGCAAGTCGCGGACAAGGGCAAAGGCAAAGCCCCTGCCCCGATCGCCGGCGACGAGATGCAAGACGTCAGCGACGAGAGTGAGAGTGAGGAGGAGGTACACCACCCTCTCTTTCCGACGACCACTTCAATTAAAGCACCCGCTAACTTCTGCTGTTTTCTCTAGGGTGAGGCCGGCGAAGGCGAGCCCGAAGAAGCCGACGACGATAACATGGAGGAGATCGACATGGACAACATCGTCGGCTCGCGCACACGCGGCAAGGAGATCGACTATGCGCAGGCGGCCAAGGAGCTCGAGGAGGACGACGAAGATGATGAGGCTGATGAGGATTTCCGCGACGATGATATGATGGAGGATTGAGAGTCGCATGTCTTGCTACGCTGTTACTGTTTCATGAGGGAACGACTATGGCATGAAGGGTGGATATGTGGTTGCATACGCGAAGCGGCGGCAAAAGGACTAGCGGAGCATTTGCAGGGAGCATCTTAGAGGCGCAATGGCGCGGAGGTGCGAGGGCATGATGGCGATGCTGGCTCCGTGTCACTATAGCAGTGATGCTGTACAGCAAGCCCTGCACTATGAATGAAAATGGGTCCTTCGAGATGCTTCTTCATTCATTGAAATTTCTTGACCTCACTACAGAAATGGTAGCGCTAGTGATGTCTCAGAAAATCCTGATAAAGTATCGTAGGCATGGAGCCGCGAACAACCAGTGGGGTAGCGAAGCCACTCCTGAGTGCAAACAGTAATGCACCCATTGATCTCGCATACATCACGGCGGCTCCTTCACCCCCCTGACCCCACCCTCCCAGATTTCAAACCCCGTGTCTTTCTCCGGACCCCACGCACTAAACACAACCTTCGCCTTCCTGTTCCACCCAGAGACGTTCCTGTCCTCGCCCGGTGCGTACGCGCGCTCCTCATAGACCGGTTCTTTGAGCAAAGCAATCCTCGCCCCGAGCTGGTTCGTCCATGTAAGGCCAAGGCTGGGTGTTTTGAAGTTCGACGCCTCCGGATCGTCACCCCAGCCGGTGAAGAAGCGCTGTTGGTGATCTAGGGCCAGCGGGTCGTCTGTCGAAAGAAGCTGCGCTGGGGTTAGAGGGACGCCGGAGGAGGGGACGGGCTGGGACATGGCTGCACTCCTGGAGGTCTGCTGTTGGGGTGGTGAGGCAGGACGAGAGCGCTGTGTGGTATTTTGACTCGTACTGTTGTGAGCGTAGCCAGATCCCTCGACCAGGGTAAAGCGGTCTGCGACTTGGTTCGCCATCACCACCGCGACATTATGCGTGCGCGCGATGTCCCGCAGTAAAGCACCGAGTTGCGCGAGCTGGTTGCTGCGTTTTGCAAAGGACTCGGCGCCTTTGCGGGCTTTGGACTTGTCGAACTCGGCGCGGTAGTTGGCTGCTATGCTGTCAATGACTAAGAGGCCGATGTTCTGTTTCTTGATGGCGACGGGGACTTGGTAGCGGAGGATGTGCTCTTGGGCTTCGACATCGTGGATGTGTGTGCTCTGGATGCGGGATAAGGAGGGCCGTTCGGACTCTGGAAGGGACGTGAGGCCTGGGTTGGTCTTAAGGATCTGGGCTAGGCGGGTTGTCTGGAGAGGCGCCTCTGTGGATATGTAGAGCGCTGGCTTTCCCAGTCCGTATGGTGGCGGTAGTTGTACCGACAGTAGGAGTGTCAGAAGGGACTGCGTCTTGCCCACGGCGCTCTCGCCAACTATCTCGGTGAGATATCCAGGCGCAACGCCACCGTTGAGGCTGGCATCCAGAGATCTGTCCAAAGTGCTGATGCGGCCAGGAGGCCGGTCTTCACTCAAGTCTACCGGACCTCCCACATCCTGGCCATAGACTTGCCTTGACCTCCCAACAGCCCCATGTAGACCATCCAGCACTGCATCAACGAGTTTCCTCACCTCCCCAGCAGGCACCTGGGCGCGCTTGGCGACATCGAGCGGCTCAAGCGACAGCAGGTCGGCAGTCGTGATTAACGCCTTTTCCAACGATGGCAGAATATGGGTATAGGGTCGAATGTCAAAGTCGACCAGGACCGTGAGAATATCCGTCATGGGGAAGGAGAAGCATCCTGTGATCAGGTGGTGGTCTGTGGCCTTGCTGGGGTGTCCGGGTCAAAGGCAGCGCTGCACAACTTCCCCTCGTCCGCCTTCCGCCTCCACCACTCCACGCCTAAACTCGAGCAGCTTCCAACGTCATCTCTTCTGGGCGACACAATCAACTGACCTTTTGGAGCGTCCGGGTGTTCCTGTTCACGTGTCCCAAGCATGAATACTCATAAAGAATAACTGATCAGCGCCATATACTTGCCCTCCAACCTCACCTCTCGACATCGCAGCGGACCGCCTCTACTAAACTCTCCTTGGACCTACGCCATTAGCAATTACTCGAGCTACCCCTGCCGCAGCTCCTACAGCACGTTTCAACCTGCATACTCCAGCTTGCCTAGCTCCATATACTCCGTTTGTCCTTGCCCGTGGTCCTCTTCTTCTCCAACAGCCGCCTCGCCGGACGACCTCACCCGTCGGCAATTGGCCCGAGGTTGAACAGGTGTTCCAGATAAGGTGAGTGGATGTTTTCTCCTACACCATCTTTGGCTCGGTGCAGCGGCTTCACGACACCCACATGCTACTGGCCGTTATCCACATTATTACTACAACGCTCTAGGCCTTGGGACCGTCATCTTCCCCACGAGGCCAACATTCAAAACCTCTCCTTCCCACCTCACAACTCCACGTACTCGCCTCTGCCGGCTATGCAGACGTTGTCGTGAAGCCGTCGAAGCTCATCAATGCCGGCCTACTACTACCAAGACTGTCACTACTTCTACCGGACCCGGCTGCGTGGCCTTTCCATCGCCACGCTCGTGTCTCCATTACATAGTTAGCACGGATGCTTACTTACATTATGTCACCAGTAAGGACACTGCCATCAATCGACCAACGGCTGGGACGATCAACACCCAGAAAGGACTCCTTAACCATGCCTGAGCGATCTGAAGCCAACGCCAAAGAGGCAACGCAGAGCTTCAGCAAGGAGGAACAGAACCCGATCACCAACAACGGGGATCACAAGTCGAAGCCTGGTATCACGTTCGCAGCACAGGACAAGCTGCCGAAGCTTCCCATCCCAGATCTTGAAGCGACGTGCAAGAGGTATTTGGGGTCTCTTGATCCTCTGCAGACCGCGCGAGAGCATCATGATTCCGAGCGAGCGATAGAAGAGTTTCTTCGAACGGACGGACCTGCTTTGCAGGAGAAGCTGAAGTCGTATGCGGAGGGAAAGACGAGCTACATCGAGCAGTTTTGTAAGTTCACTGCCTGCTTTCAGCACTGAGATGCCTCTAACGCATGGAAGGGTACGATTCATACCTGAACTTCGACAACCCGGTGGTTCTCAACCTCAATCCGTTCTTTCTGCTGGAAGATGACCCCACGCCAGCTCGCAATAACCAGGTGACCAGGGCAGCTTCATTGGCCATCTCAGCGTTGTCGTTCGTTCGTGCCGTACGAAAAGAGGAACTGCCGCCAGACATGCTCCGGAATCAACCGCTATGCATGTACCAGTACTCTCGCATGTTTGGCACCGCTCGGATACCCACCGAGAACGGCTGCCAGATCGGCCAGGATCCATCTGCCAAGCACATCGTCGTGCTCTGTCGAGGACAATTTTACTGGTTCGACTGCATGGACGAGAACAACGACCTGATCATGACCGAGAAAGACCTCAGTCTGAACTTGCAAGTCATCGTCAATGATGCAGAAGAGACTCCGATCCAGGATGCAGCTCGTGGCGCCTTGGGAGTGCTGAGCACGGAGAACCGCAAGATCTGGTCCAGCTTGAGAGATCTCCTCGGTAAGGACGAGGGCTCAAACAACAGCGACTGCCTTAACATTGTGGACTCTGCACTCTTCATTCTCTGCCTGGACGGCACCGAACCGAAGAGCAGCTCCGATCTCTGCATGAACATGTTGTGTGGTACCTCGAACGTTGAGAAGGGTGTGCAAGTTGGTACTTGTACGAACCGATGGTACGACAAGCTGCAGATCATCGTGTGCAAGAACGGCAGCGCCGGTATCAACTTCGAACATACTGGCGTGGATGGCCACACCGTGCTGCGGTTCGCTTCAGACGTCTACACTGATACTATCCTACGATTCGCGAAGAGCATCAACGGCTTAGCTCCGTCTCTTTGGGCATCAGCTTCACCAGATCCATCGAAGCGCGACCCGAAGAGCTTTGGGGATGTGAACACGACCCCTCACAAGCTTGAATGGGATATGGTCCCAGAACTATCGACAGCGCTTCGTTTCGCCGAAACACGTCTAGCGGACCTGATCGGACAGAACGAGTTCGCGACTCTCGAGTTCATGAGCTACGGCAAGAACTTCATGACCTCAATGGGCTTCTCCCCAGATGCATTCGTGCAGATGGCCTACCAAGCAGCTTACTACGGCATGTACGGACGCATGGAATCGCAATACGAGCCCGCAATGACCAAGACCTTCTTCCACGGCCGCACCGAAGCCATCCGACCCGTCACCCAAGAGAGCGTCAAGTTCGTCCGCACCTTCTGGGCTGAGAACCCTGCCGAGCAAAAGATTGAAGCCCTCCGCAAAGCCTGCGAAAAGCACACCGCCATCACGAAAGAATGCGCCAAAGCCCAAGGCCACGACCGCCACCTCTACGCCCTGATGTCCCTCTGGCAACGCCAGGCCGAAGCAGACTACTCCGTCAACACGTCCGCCTCCCGCGAGCCGGCCAGCGTCAGCACCAACGGCGGCTGGAACAGCCCCACCGGCGATCGCGACCCAGACCACGACGGGAGCCACGTCTCCTCGCCGAACCGCAACAGCGTCGTGATGAGCGACGACGGCAGCCAAGCGCCCTCCACCAGCCCGCCGCGCCAGCAACACAGTCTCCCGTCCATCTTCGCCGACGCGGGCTGGGATAAGATCAACAATACCATCCTCTCCACCTCCAACTGCGGCAACCCCTCGCTCCGCCACTTCGGCTTCGGCCCAACCTCCGGCGATGGCTTCGGCATCGGATATATCATCAAAGACGGCTCCGTGTCCATCTGCGCCAGTAGCAAGCATCGCCAGACCAAACGCTTCATCGACGCCATCGAAGCTTACTTCATCGAGATCCGGAAGCTGCTGCGAGCCGGGCGGCAGAGGGGGAAGAGCGAGGATAAAGGCGCGAGTCGCGCGAGGGAGGCAGAGGAGAATCGCCCGCGCGGGCAGAGGTTGAAGAGCAGGGGGAGGATTATCGGAGGGGATGTGGCGAAGGGGGAGGCTGGGGGAGATGAGAGTGGGGTTGCTAGTGATGATGAGATGGGGGGTTGTAAGTCTTTCGTCCTTCCTCGTGATGTTGATGTTGTTGAGATTCTGGATGCTGACGATATGTGTAGATGGATTCTTCGACGCCGGCATGCTGCAGGCGGCGCTCAAGTCGAAGGAGGAAGGCGAGCGGCCGATGGAGAAGGTGGCGCAGCGGAGGGAAGTGGGGAAGAAGTTGCGGCTGATGGAGTATTGATCTCTTGCGATGTAATGGAGGTCCGAACACCGGGTGGACACGACAGTATGCACACGCAGCGCCCAATCCAACTATTTCTTCGAACATGGCCCCGTCATCACCTCCCCGGAACGAACAATCATGCCCCGGGCTGGTTCAAGCACCGCTGTAATGCCTCCTCCCCGTATGCGAAAGTAAGTTAACCCAGTGACGAACAGCGTCGTCACTCCGATCCCCAGCCCTACCCCGATACCCACCTTCTGCCCTGTCGTTGCTGGTGGTAAGTGAGGTAGTCCAGCCCCAGTATCTGCCCCTTGCGAGCCGTCGGGCACATGACTGTAACTCGGTGCCGCAGAGCTCGGCACATACGGCAACAGCGTCTGCACAGCAGCAGCTATACTCGGCCAGGCACTGGTGAAGAAGGGGTCACAGAGGCCCTTGAGCGCTGTATTCTGCAAAACGTCGCCATTGTTAGCAGCGTCCGCTGACCCCCTCGAGATGAGATAAACGGAGCACGCACTTCTAGTGTCTGAGTGCATATCGCTGCGAGCGCTAACAAATTCGCGGCATTGGCTTGCGCTTTGGCGTGCTGCGAGTCGATCCACGACAGGACGGCGAAGACGGCGAAGACGATTGCGGCGGCGAGCCCGATGACTTGGACGAACCAGGTCAGGAGGACTTGGGCGAGGGGCTCTTCTATTGGGATAGTATGCTGCTGTTGCGGTGCAGGTGGGCTTCGTCTTGGCTTTACGGAGTTTGCTGGCAGAGTCTGAGGTGTTGGGGAGGTTGTTGGGCTTTGAGGGACTATCGTCGGAGTCGTCGCCGTCGACGTACTGGGCTGGGCTGTCGGAGTCGTCGGTGGCATTGAGATCGAGGAGAGGGTGTTGGCATTGAATGCCATGCCAGCTAGTCATTATCTTGAAAAATGAGAGCGGACAAGCGAAGTAGATGTACAGCCCTCTGGACCCTCTCAGCCTTGCCAGCCGTACTGCTATACATCGGTAAGTCGCAACAGCGGTGGTATCTACCAATCAAGACCCACCGCTGCCGATAGAAGGCGTTCGTGGCTTGTTCTAGATTCCGTCTTTGAGTGTTGTGCAATGAGTGCGAGTCGTTATCCTCCACGACTTCTACCCTCCATCGTCTACGGTTGCGTCTGGGAGGTAACGACTGAAGGCAAAAGCAGTCAAGGAATGTCCGATCACAAAAGGCACATCTCTCGCCAGAGACGCACCCATCCATTAAGAAGTCTAAGGGGGTAATAGGTATACAACTACACCAAACACACCTTCCCATCTACCCAGGTAACGCCAGCCCGCTCATGCAAGAATCCAAAGCCTCGTCTACTTCGCCATCACATCCACATACCTCCCCCCCTTCTTCTTCTTCACCGTCCCCGCCTTCCTGCCCCCAGCGCCCGGCGGGCCTCCAGCTAGAAGGTCGTCGATACTACTCGCCGTGCTCAGACTGCTGCTCGGTCGCATCGGGGGCGCAGCCATGGACGGAGGAACCGCTGACGCCGCTGCTGTGTCACCGTTCACCGCTCCAACTGGTCCAGCGGCGCCTCCGGCGTCAGAAGCAGGCGTAGCACTCCTGCTCGGCGGTCCAGACCCAGGAACACCGCTCCCAGAAGCATTCGTGCCACTCGTTCCCGGCCTCGGCGGCGGGGGTCCCATACTCCCCACCCTCGACGGTGGCCCACTTCCACTGCCGCCCATCCCAGAGGGTCCCCGACTCATCCCCTTAGGCGGCGGCGGCGTCGCACTCACAGGCGCCGCGGCTTCCGCTCCACCCTTCTTATTAACCCATTTCTTCAGATTCTCGTCATAGTAGAACGAATTCTCCTCGCCGAGCTTCGCCTTGATCGGCCCCGGGGACGCAGTCCCCTCTTTCTTCCCTCCAAACCAGCCGGTGAGCCAGCCTTTCTTCTGCTCGCCCGACAAACTGTCTCTGTTGTTCGATTTGCTGTCCCGCGCGGCGTCGGCTTCGGCGGCTTTGCGGAAAGCTTCGTCTGCGGCGCGATCCGCTTGGGACTTTTTCAAGGCGGCGGCGCGGCGCGTAAGCTCGTGCATCTCGTCGTCGGAGTCCTCGCCGGGGAGGCGCATTTTCTTTGGCGCGGGGTTGGCGGTATCGGAGGGGGATTCCGGGTCGGGTTCGTAAGGTTGGTAGGTCGAATAACTCGGTGGTTCGTAGCCTCCTGACGTTGGAGGAGCGTAGCCACCACCGCCGCTGCCGTCTTCGGGATCGAGTTCTGGTTCCTGTGCGGTGAACGTGCCGCTGGGGGCGTCTAAGGGTGCGCTCTCTGGTTCCTGCACCGCAGGCGCCTGCTGCGCTTGCACGAGCGGCGAGGGGGCGGGGGAGTAACTATACATCGACCCCTCATCCGCCAAAAGCGGACGGGGCTCATAGCTCCCCACGGAGCTCGTATCCTGCGCTGACCCTCGCCTCGAAGCAGGAGCGTAGGGCAGACTGTTTTCCGATCCTCTACGCATGGCTTCCGGTCTTGGAACCCCAAGACTATTACTCGAAGGCGCAGGCGCGTAGCGCGCGGATCCAGGACGCTGGGGTTCTGCGGCGGGGAAGCCGTGGGCGGCGAAGGAGTGCTGGCCTGGTGGTGCATATTTCGCTGTTGCTCCGAGGCTTCCGGAGGTGAACTGGCTGCCTTGGCTGGACGGGGCGTAGCGACTCGGTCCGCTGCTGGGCGCGAATGCTGGCTGTTGGGGCACGGTGGAGGTTGGGATGGGCATGCCAGCGCCCATGGCAGGGTTGTAGAGTTCTGTCCCGCTGCCTGTGCGCGACAGATCCGGGGACTCTCCACTGACGCCGCCAAATGGCCCTGCTCCGCCTTCGCTTCCATGGCCGCTGGCATTAGACTCGGAGTCCTCATCTCCAGCGACGAACTTGCTGAACCAGCTCGCAGCGCCAGACGAGACTTTGTTCATCGCCGGCTTAGAGAAGAAGCCCGCCTTGCCATCATGCGGCGTCTGCGCGAGGAAAGCGCTAAACTCCGCAACCGCGGAGGTGAAAGTCGGATGGTAGTAAGGCGATGGCCGTGTCGTAGAGGTGTAAGCCGACGTGATGGCGTCGCAGTAAACTTGTGCTTTGGTCTTGAGCCCGGAAGCCGCCAGGTTCTGCGCGTGGATGAGCTTATAAGCCTGCAAATGCGGCAGATACGGCGCCGAGTTCGCCTGCGCAGACAGCGAAGAAGCGTACTCGTACACCTCCGTCGCCAGCACCGCATCCAGATCCGGTCCCAACACCCCCTCCTCATCTTTCACCGAATGATTGCCCCCAATCAACACAGCATCCACGCCCTCCTCATCCTGCCCGGACAACTTAACGCTCTGCCGTGCAAACAGCCAACACACACCCGCCGCCTCCACCCTCCCATAACCCTGCAGCAACTTACCCAGCGCAAGCAGACTCTGCACATCATTCGCCGTCCGATTGCCCACCACCAAGCCCACAGTCTCCCGCCACTGATCTAAGCCCTCCAACGGATCGCCTCCGGCCCTCTTATCCTCGACCCCAATAAACTGAAACCCCGCTCTCGCGCTCGGCGGCACGAGCTCATCGACGCACTCCTCGCTGTTCCCCGCGAAAACCTGATACAGCGCCGCCGTGCTCCTGGCATCAGCGCCCACGCTCTTGACCTGGCTCCGCACGAAAGACTGCACGATCTGCTTCCAACTCTCCGGACCCAGCGTCGAAGCGATCAGCATCGCATGACCCCACAACTTCTTCTCCTCAGCGAGCCAGACCGCCCTCTCGCGTTGGCCCTCGAGAAGCGCCTGCCGAATCTGGAACAGGACCTTCTTGTCCACTGGGTCTGCGGCAGCGGCCGCGGAGCCGGGGGATTGGAGATCAGCGACTTGCGCCATCTGTGCGAGGTTGGGGAGGAGGATGGCGCGGGATTCGGCTTCAAGGGCGGGGGTGCCTTCGAGGACGCCGTCGTGGGAGACGAAGACGCGGAGGAGGCGCCAGAGGAGGAGTTTCTCTTCGGTGCGTTTCCGGGTGGTGGGGTCGAGGGTGGGGTGGAGCATGACGCTCTCGGTCTGGCGGTCGAGGTCGGAGATTTTCGTCTCGAGCCAGGCGAGCAAGTCTTTCTTTTGGCGCTTGCTGCGTGCTGTGAGGGGACCGGGAAATTTGGCGGTGCGGTCGTCGAGGGGCATGAAGGTGGTGGCGTCTTGGATGGTGATGGGGCCGGGTGTGCATTTGACGGAGGGCATGCCTTGGCCTGCGGCGTAGAAGGGCGTTTGCTTGGGGGAGGTGGAGAGGACAGTGCCTGAAGCGCTCCACTTGAAGATCGGGTAGCCTTTCCATCGTTGCAAAGGATCCTGACTGCGCTCGTCTTGCGGTGCGGCGAAGGTGAGGTCACGCGAGAACTGTCGGCGATGTGGAAGTCCAGACCTTGTAGGCAGAGCCGCTTGCTGTGGTTGCTGCTGAGGCATTCGTCCAACGCCAGCTGAAGAGCTCGGTCTTCCCATCTCCTGCAGCACTCTCGGCCTCTTCATCGCAGCATCCGGACTCTGCGTTCGTGGCCGCTGAGTAGGCGGCGAGAAGTTCATCGGTGGCTGTACCATGCCAGGATGCTGCATGACAGCGTCAGTCGATGGAGCATACCTAGAAGGCGGCGGCTGCTCGGGAGGCGTCATCTGCTGCTGCTGTGGATGCTGTTGCACACTTGCTCGAGGGGGAGAGCTGGGGAGCGGTTTGTCCAGATTCAACCCGGCGAGCGGACTACTCGTTCGTGGTGCAAATTGGTGGACGTTGCTCGGCACGGATGGGTTCCTTGGCTTAGCTTGCGCTGGGGCTGGCATTGACTGTGGCGCTGGCGAGTATCTTGCTGGTGCAGCTGACGGAACCTGAGCAGCTTGCGTAGATGCTGGTGCTGGAGAGTATCGTCCGGAGGCTGCGGGCGGAGCAGGTGGTGTTGACAGCGAAGACGATCCAGCGGCAGACACTGGTTGCTGTTGTTGCGGATTCGGAGAATATCTCGTCTTCTGCACCGGAGGCATCTGACCAGGTTGAGGCTGCAACCCTTGTGCTGGTGCTTGTACTGGTTGTTGCGGCAGCAAATCCATCTGCTCCGGCTTTCTCAGCCCAGCATAAACCGGAGGCTGTTGTTGCTGCACTGGTGGGGTCTGAGGCAAGTTCGCCTGCTGTTGCTGCATCTGCTGCGGCATGTAACCAGTGTTCTGTCTTGACCCAGCCAACGAAGGCGGACCCATCGAAGGCGGCGGTGTTGGCATGCCTGGCACACCACCTTGCTGCTGTTGTGGCGTGTACGCACCGGTCGGTCTGGCTCTGGGCTTCGCAGTCATGGGCAGGTCCTCGAAGAAACCGCTGCTGCCCTGCTTCGGCGTACCTGTTGCTCGCCCTTGCGGTAGTGCGCCAGCTGGTTGACCTGCGGTGGTAGAACCACTCGACTGCGGAGGAGAGAGGCTGCCTACGCTACCAGTCACATTTCTTGACGGGAGTGCTTGCGGTTGGCCAGGCTGGAACGAAGACGACATGCTGCTAGTCCGTGGAGGAGGCGCAGGAGCCGAACCCGAGACATTCTGCTGCGATTGATGCGGCGTCTGCTGCGGTCTCCGTCTGGGCTTGACTACCTCCATAGGTAGATCGTAAGGAGACTGATATCCACCCTTCGCTTTATCGACGAAACTTTGGGCCTGGTTCATCGCGGGTCGTTGCAGGGGCTGTTGAGCTTGCCCGTACTGAGGAGGTTGCTGGACTGAGCCGGCAATAGTGTAGATATCGTCTAGACCTGTTGACGGTGTGCCCGCTGAGCGGCCATGTTGACCACCAAAAATCTGCGTAGTCTTTGATGAAGTGTACTGTGGCCGCTGTTGTGGAGCCTGGTAGGCGTTGGGTTGCGATGCTCCTCGCTGATGCTGCGGAGCTGAGGGTGCCGGCGCTGGCTCATCCTGTAAAAAGCCATCGTCATCGTCTCCTCCACCGAAGAACGAGCTCGGGTCAACACCTCCATCTGTGGGCGTGTCCTCCAAGAGTAGCTCGTCATCATCTAGAACCTCTCCCCACGCTGCGGCCAGATCCTCCTCCTTGACCTCGCCCTCTTCTTCAGGAAGAAGCTCATCGTCATCTAGAGAAGCCACCTGCGCTGACTCTTCTGCCGCTATTTGCTCTAGAGCTTCTCCGTCCGCCGGTATTGGTTGCTGCTGGCTCTCATGATCTAGCAATTCTCCAAACGTCCTGTCATCGCCCGCAGAAGGCCAATCATTCGGTATACTCTGCTCTTGCGGCTGCTTCGGCACGACTGGTGAGTCTGAGAAGTTCGAGGTAAAGGATCGGTCGATCTTTGGGGGCGCTGCCACAGACTTGAGTTGAGGATGTCGCGGTGAAGCTGCACCGTCAAACTCCAGCTTCTCCTCGTCCTCCGTATTCTGGACCGGGAATGTGGGCTCCCTGCTCACCAGCCCAGGTGTAGGCAAGGGTTCCTCGTCATCGATCAGAGGCGCGTCTGCGCTGGGCTCGATAGCCTCCTCCATTGCCGTGACTTCGCCTTGGTGCTCGTAATGCTCGGACGGGCTGCTCATGATGCGCTCCATTTCCGCGTTGTCCCTCTCTCCCGCACCGCCCGCCTCCACATCTCCATTCGGCGCTTCCGTCTCAGGCATTGTCTCCTCGAGTGCGACCCTCTGCTCTGCCATGGACTCCAAAGGATCTAGAATCTCCTTCTCCTCGTCCTTGCTCTCCGGCCTTGGTAGCGCCTCGTCATCCTCTTCCTCAAAGCTATCAGCCCCTCTTCGGAACGAGCCACTAACTTCGACATGGTGTGAAGGCGTTCGGCTCAGCTCCTCCGGTGTCGCGTCGTCCTCCTGCACATCTATTACCGAGAGCACAGATATACTCTTCCTCCGCATCGGCGATAGTGGCTCGTCCATCTCCGCCGCCTCCACCCCTCGAAGCGGGCTCTGCTCTTGTTCTATCGGCTGCTGCTGCCCCTGCTTCTTCGGGGTCGCGCCGGAATATCGGTCGAAGAAGTCGTCATCTTCATCCTGCTGATTGAACTCTGGCATAGGCACATCGCTATCGCGTCTCAGTGCCGGGTTCCATGAGGCGTTTCCCTCAGGTTGCGATCCGGGTAAATGTGTCGCGGTTCGGTCGTCGTCGGTGACGCCTGAAAAGTCCTCCCTACCGTGCTGTTGTTGTACCTCCATTGTGAAGATGTCGCGGAACGCTCAAGAATGCCGAAAGAAGAGAGGAGGAGTTGTCGTGGTGGTTGTAGCGCGTCAGCATGCAGGCGTTCGGCCAAGGTGGCCACTTCCGAATCGTCGCTGTCGCTCTGTTCCAGTAGTCCAGTCGTCGTTTATTAGGACTGTACCGCGACTATACAGACTCCAGTGATCCGTGGGAATATACTACAAGCATCTCTAATGAGAAAGATAGAGTGTCGCGAAAGAGGCGAGATTAGGAGAAGGGATGCGAGGTGACGGAGCAGTCCGCCGAATATCGCACGGACCACCTTACCCTGACAGTCAGACGCATGTGAAAGGACAAAGACTCCAGATCCAACACCACATTACCCGGCCACACCACCCCTCCACACCCCTACGGAAGACGGCGAGATCGTTCACTGAAACGACAACCTAATGGTACTGCAATAACATACGCCCAACTGAACATCCACTCATACTGCGAACCGGCGCAAATGCGGCATGTCCGCCCCCATCCAGCATAACGACCACGATTCCGATCTCGAACTCGACCTTGACGAACTCGACCCGCAGACCACTCCCCGTCCGCCCTCCTCCCAGAGGCAGAGACGACAGTCCAGCTACGACTTCAGCCAGCGCATCCCGTTAAGAAACCTCCGCTTTGGTGGCCGGCGGCGGCCTAGACCTGAAGATGAGGATGCGGAGGACTTGGAGGCGCTGGTAGGCGACGATGACCATGACGAGGCGGAGCGGAAAAGGGAGAGCGCAGGCCATGGCGGCGATGATGCGCCTCTACTCTCCAACGGCAACGGCAGTATAAGGAGAACACCCTCCCAATCAGGCCTCTACCAATACCCCGAGATCCGCACCCGAAGACGAAAAGGCATGATCCAGAAATACCTCCCCTTCCTCTCCCACCGCGCCACCTCCCTCGCCCTCCCCACAACCTCCCCAGACGACGACTCCACCGACGAACCCAACGACCCCTCCTCCACCCGCGCAATCCCCATCGGCCAATCACCGCCCACCCGCCTCTACCCCGCCAACGCCATCTCCAACGCCAAATACACCCCCTACTCCTTCCTGCCCCGCACCCTCTTCAACGAGTTCAAGTTCTTCTTCAACCTCTACTTCCTGCTCGTCGCTCTGTCCCAAATCGTGCCTGCATTACGAATCGGGTATCTGAGCACGTACGTCGCGCCGCTGGCGTTTGTGGTATCGATTACGTTGGGGAAGGAGGCTTATGATGATGTCTTGAGGCGGAGGAGGGATCGGGAGGCTAATGGGGAGGGGTATACGGTGTTGCAGTTTGAGGAGGTGGGTGGGTATGGGGATGGTGAGGGGGTGGGGAAGAAGAGGAAGGTTGGGGTGTTGAGAAGGAGGACGAGGGGGAAGAGGAGGAAGGTGGAGGATGATGAGAGATTGAGGTTGAATGAAGAGGAGGAGAGCGGGGTGGAGGGACAAGGGGTGGGCAGTCCGAGCTCGAGGGTGAGGGAGGTGGTGAAAGCGAGTAAAGATTTAAGGGTGGGAGATGTGGTGGTGCTGGGCAAGGATCAGAGAGTGCCTGCGGATGTGGTAATTCTGAAGTCTTTCTCAACCGACACTGGGTCCTCGACTACCGTAGAAGAGGAGGCTTTGTCTGACACAACTCTGGTGGACATGGGCAACAATGCCAGGGCACCGGATGCCAAAATCCAGCAGGAGGCGATGGCTGGCAAAGACTTGGACAACGACACCACATCTTCAGATCCGAGTGGTGGAGGAGAAGCATTCATCCGCACCGACCAACTGGATGGAGAGACAGACTGGAAGTTACGACTCGCCTCTCCACTCGCCCAAACACTCCCTGCAAGCGAATACGTCCGCCTCCGAGTCACAGCCGGCAAGCCAGACAAGCGCGTCAACGACTTCGTCGGCACCCTCTCCCTGCACCCCAAATCCACCAACCCCAGCGCCTACGACCCTCACATCGACAAACCCACCTCACCCTCCCACCCCGAACCCTCCGACCCCAAATCACTTCCCCTAACCATCGACAACACAGCCTGGGCCAACACTGTCCTAGCCTCCAGCACCACCGTCCACGCCGCCGTCCTCTACACCGGCCCCCAGACCCGCGCCGCCCTCTCCACCTCCCCCTCCCGCTCCAAAACCGGCCTCCTCGAATTCGAAATCAACTCCCTGACCAAAATCCTCTGCTTCCTCACCGCAGCACTCTCCTTCATCCTCGTCGCGCTCGAAGGATTCGATCCCGCCAACCCCTCCTCAGACGACGACCCCGAAGCCGACGTGAGGCACATATGGTACATCACCGCCCTGCGCTTCCTCATCCTCTTCTCCACCATCGTGCCCATCTCCCTGCGCGTCAACCTCGACATGGGCAAAAGCGTCTACGCCTACTTCATCCACCGCGACCCGGGGATTCCCGGGACTGTGGTCCGCACGTCGACGATCCCGGAGGATTTGGGACGGATCGAGTATTTGCTGAGTGATAAGACGGGCACGTTGACGCGGAATGAGATGGTTTTGAGGAAGGTGCATGTGGGGACTGTGAGTTACGGGGGCGAGGCTATGGTGGAGGTTGGGGGGTATGTTGGGCAGGCTTTTGCTTTGCAAGATGCGAGTGGTGAAGACCAGAGCAGTGGGAGTAGTGGTGAGCTCTTCACGCCTTCCTCGGGGATGGGAGGGTTTGGAGGTGCGACGACGAGGACGAGGAGGGAGATTGGGGTGAGGGTGAGGGATTTGGTGTTGGCGCTTGCGTTGTGCCATAACGTTACGCCGACAAGCGAGGAGGGTGAGGATGGTGAGCAGACTATAGGGTACCAGGCCAGTTCGCCGGACGAGATTGCTATCGTACAATGGACCGAGCAAGTCGGGCTGCGACTGGTCCACCGCGACCGCAAAAGCATCAGCCTGCAATTCGTCGCCGACGAGCGGATCGTGGTGAAAGTTGAGATCCTGAACGTCTTCCCCTTCACCTCCGACAGCAAACGCATGGGCATCATCGTGCGCTTCTCCCGCAGCGTGGATCGCGTACGGGACGACGAAGGCGAGATTGTCTTTTTCCAGAAAGGCGCCGACACAGTCATGACCTCCATCGTCGCCGCGAACGACTGGCTGGATGAGGAGACCGCCAACATGGCCCGCGAAGGCCTCCGCACACTCGTCATCGGACGCAAGAACCTGTCACAACAGCAATACGCCGCCTTCATATCCGCCTACTCCAGCGCCTCACTCTCCCTCCAAGGGCGCGATGCCGCAATGGCGAAAGTAGTGAAGCAACACCTCGAGCATGGCCTCGATCTGCTGGGTGTGACGGGCGTAGAAGACAAGCTCCAACCCCACGTCAAGCCCTCCCTCGAACTCCTCCGCAACGCCGGCATCAAAATCTGGATGCTCACGGGCGACAAGGTGGAAACGGCGCGCTGCGTCGCCATCTCCTCCAAACTCGTCTCGCGAGGGCAGTACATCCACACCATCGCCGGCTTGAAGCGGAAAGAAGCCGCTCTCGACGCGCTACAACTGCTGCACTCGCAACCGACCGCTGCGCTCCTCATAGACGGCCAGAGTCTCGCAATATACCTCACCCACCACAAAGAAGCCTTCATCACCCTCGCCGTCCGCCTCCCCGCCGTGATAGCATGCCGCTGCTCCCCAACCCAAAAAGCCGACATCGCCCACCTCATCCGCGCCTTCACCCACAAGCGCATCGCCTGCATCGGCGACGGCGGCAACGACGTCTCCATGATCCAAGCCGCGGACGTCGGCGTCGGGATCGTGGGCAAAGAGGGCAAGCAGGCCTCCCTCGCCGCTGACTTCTCGATAACGCAGTTCTCGCACCTGACGAAGTTGCTCGTCTGGCATGGGAGGAATAGCTACAAGCGCTCCGCGAAGCTTGCGCAGTTTGTTATTCATCGCGGGCTGATCATCTCCGTGTGCCAGACGGTTTTCAGCGTCGCCAGCCACTTCGAGCCCATCGCCTTATACCGCGACTGGCTGCTCGTGGGCTACGCGACGGTATACACGATGGCGCCCGTCTTCTCCCTCGTGCTGGACCGGGACGTCGACGAGGGGTTGGCAAACCTCTACCCTGAACTCTACAAAGAACTCACGCTCGGCCGCTCGCTCAGCTATAAGACCTTCTTCACCTGGGTCGGGATATCCATCTACCAAGGCCTCATCATCCAAGGCGGCTCGGAACTGCTCGTCCCCTCCTACTCCACCGTTACCCCCAACGCCAGCACGCATGCCCTCACCACATCCCCCGGCTTCAAGCGCATGGTCACGCTCTCCTACACCGTCCTGGTAATCAACGAACTCATCATGGTCGCCGCCGAAATCACCACCTGGCACCCGGTCATGCTATTCAGCATCCTCGGGACCGCGGGGGTGTTTTTCGGGAGCTTGCCGCTGCTGGGCGGGTACTTTGACCTCGCGTTTTTGATCACGTGGGGTTTTTGGTGGAGGGTGTTGGCGGTGGCGGGGGCGAGTTTGGGGCCGGTGTGGGGGGGTAAGGTGGTGGGGAGGCGGGTGAGGCCGGGGGGCTGGCGGAAGGTTAGGGGTGTGTGATTTGATCCAGGAGGTGAGCGAGGGAGGGAGGTTTGGATGTGCTGGGTCTACTATCGAGCTTTTGAGCGATTTGCTCGGGATCCCAGGCTGGAGTTTTTTGTTGTCGTTGTTGTTGATACCCCTCTTCTGCAGTGTATTGGCTCGGCTTTTGTCGTTGAGACTTTGACTGTTGAGTTGAGCGGTACCTGCTACATTACGGTATGGCAGCCGATAGATGACTGCCGGATCACGCGTCTGCTTTCCTCGTCTCGCCGTCGCGAACATCTCCACATGATCAACAATAATTCCCCGTCGGCGCTCCAATTTTCATCTCACGATCTCCACAAGGCGTGGCTCGCTTACGCCTCGTAAGGCTGAACAACGTGCCCTCTTTCTCAGCGTACATTTTCTCCCACGCGCGTTCGTATCGTCATGGTTCGTCAACCCAAAACATCGTCTTCCCACCAGCCAGGAACACCGTTGCAATGATCCCGTCCGTCAATCCTTCTTTCTCGTTAAATTGCCGGAGATGGGTCCTGCACGCGCAAGCCGCTTGGGTCATCGCCATCGAGGACAAAGATGTCCACGCGAGAAGACGGTCTTGGACGGTCGCCAATGGAGAATATTGAGAGGGCTTGCGATTGAGCGCATGCTGTGCGCCCTCAACGCGGCTATTCTTGGGTGCGTTTGGCACTGTCACGAGAAACGATGTCCGGGGAGGAAGTGCTTTGACAGCAGCGGCACTCCTATATGCGTGATCGGGGGGGTGGTGGACCACTTGTCCTACTGCTGCTAGAAGCGTGGGCGTCGCGATACGAATCGGCTTCGCACTGCGCCAATGGACAGCAAAGTCGTGTTGTTTGCCGCCTCATCACGCCAATACCCAAGAGCCATACCACCGGCATCCATCGCCCACGACTACAGTAAACAACAGCCCGACTGCACTCCATCCCGGCACGTGGTTCGCCAAACCCAACGGCGTGCAAATAACGGTCCCGGCCCGTCCGCAGGCGACCAGGTCCACCCCTGCGAAAACCCATTTTCGACCCTGCCGCAACGCTCTTCTCCACCGCCCGCCAAAAAGCAACACCACGCGCGCTCGCAACACGTCCCAGGAAGTCGTAATTTCGATCAAGGTTTGCGGACTGCCCACCATGTCCTTGTCACCGACGCGTAGCAAGCGTAGGTAGTGCTGACATGTCCACCTTTCCCTCCTTCTATGTCGCTGTTGACGAGATGAACCTCACGCGTTCCAATAAACATCCCCTTCTTCTCGTCCCACAACCCCCACCGAAGCCAATTTTCGCATCTCCAATCTGGGTCCGCGAACGTGACCGCAATAAGTTCTTTTTCAAGGGCACACCCAGCTCCCGTATCCGCCGCGCGCAGTGTAACGATTCGTCCTCTTCTTCTTCCTATCCGGGACGCGCACACGGCGACACAGCCCTGCAGCCCTGTCTGTTTTCTTTCTTAACTGTGCGCCGGCGACCACGTTGGCGAGCGCTACGCGTTTCTTCGCGTCATCAACAACATCTGCACGTGAAAAGCCATTGGGGGGCTGACTGGATGGCTTGACCTTGCGATTCTTCCTCTTCGAATGGACTTTAGATGCTGGAGGATAATGCCACGAGGTTTGTTTTGATGACTGAGGACTGTTACGACTCACGTGGGTGACGACTGCCACTTCGACCATCCAAATTACTTCACCACCAGATTCTCACACGACGATGGAACCCACCTTCTGGAGCAGACTGTTCAGCCGCAGCAACACCGTCTGGGTCTCATGCTTCCTGGCCGGCACCTCACAAATCGCACTCGTCGCCTTGCTGATCGGCATCATCACGAAAGACACCTCCCTCGAAAGCTGGCTGGAAGGCATCGCGTGGGCGGCATCAATCGTCCACATCGTCGCGCTGCTCGTGCTACCGATCACAGCGTTCCTCTTTCTACGACGTACGTCGAACATCGTTCAGACCACCTTTGGCGCGGTGTCGATTCTACTTTCTCTCCCGGCTGCCATTCTTTCAATCTACGTTCTGGCAAAAATCTGGGAAGGCCTCGACCAGCAAGCCGACCAAGACAAACTCGACGTCGGAGACGTACGAAGCATGTCACAAGCAGGCTTCGCCGTCTGGGCAACCGCAATCGTCGCTCAACTCGCCGTCTTCACACTCCTTTTCTGGCCACCCTTCCACCACAAGGACACCACCTCATCACCAGAAGAACCCACCACCCGTTCCTCCCCCGTCCGCTCCCTTAAACGGTCCCTCTCCATCCAACTCTCCGCCCTCAGCGCCCCCTCTACCCCACGCTTCGCCCGCTCATCAGAACCCTCCTCACCAACCACACCGACCCTCCGCTCCCCCTCCACCGCCTCGCTCCGGCACTCCATGGACCGCGTCGTCCGCCCCATGACCTCCAAAACCAAACTCCTGCTCCAGAAAGCGCAGTCCCTGCATTCGGAACGGCGGCACTCCCTCGATACGATCGGGCAGGACGACGATTTCGGCGACTGGGACACTTCCAGCCCGGCGGACATTATCCCGCTGCCTTCAGCAGAACCGATTATACGACCAACTACCAGGACCAGACTGCCGACGATCCCAGGCAGCCGTCCCGTCTCACCCGCAAACCCGCTGGAAGGACCTTTCTACCCCGACGGCGAAGCCGACGTAGCGGAGCAGGCGTGTGCGCCGGATCCTTCGCTACCCAAACCCTCCTTCTCCTCCCCCTCCGCAACCTCCTCAGTCCGTCGCGATAGCAACAGCAGGAGCGACAGCACCGCCAGCTGCACCGCCAGCCGTAGCCCCAGCTGCTGCGACAGTACTACTGTGGCAGACGAACATCAACAACGCACCATCCACCCCCTCTTCCGCCCCGAGAGCCCCGCGCCCGCGCCTGCGATCCGCTCGCCGGGGACGTGGGTTTATGGGCATCCGCAGGGGGGAAAGGTGTGGGATCCTGCACACGGACCGCGGCCGGAGACTCCGAGGAGTCGGCAAGGGAGTTTTAGGGGGGTGGGGGGTACGTCGGGGGCTGAGACGGGAGAGGTGGGTGGGGTGGGTGGGGTGGAGGGGGGATTTGTGTTGAAGAGGCCGGCGCCGGCTTTTGCTGAGGAGAGGGGAGCGATGGGGTGAGGTGAAGTGTGGCCAATGGAAGACGAAAGTGATGAGATGTGAAACGCAACGAGTAAGGTTTTGGACGAATGGGATTATAGCGAATGTTTCTCGTTGCGAGACGGAGATCTGCACCGAAGAGCTATGAAGCCAGTCGATGCTCACGACTACAGTAAAGCGGCGCAAGAGTCGAGGCTCAACTGGACTTTGCGGCGTTCTCCAGCCTCGCAACAGCTCAACAAGCGATTTTCAGCGACTGCACTGGCGCCACCGACCTCCGCACCCGGAGACGTGAATCGTCCAGCCTTGCAACACATCATCGACACGCAGAATATCAACCCCAACACCGCCCCGACGAACTGGTGCTCGGCTCGTGAGCCTCGAAATAACGGTTTCCAGAGGTCGATTTATTTCCCTTCACCACCTCGGCCGACTCGAGTGCTGCTCTCTTCTCGAGCTCAGCAACGACGTGAGAGGTAAAGAGCAGCCGCTGTACTGGCGTGGTTCCACGACGAGTGGTTGGAGCGCCGGTGATCTCGGCTTCAGGTCTTCGGTCGCGCCACGCTGGGCCGGGGGGTGGGGGGGGCCGTAGCCGGAGTCGTTGTCAAGTCAGATCAGAATGGTGCATCCGGCCTGGCTTTTATATTGGATCTAAGAAGACAGATGTGAGGATTAGGTACTTTCTCCGGCTTACGGCATAAGGGGGAAGGCAAGTGCAGTGGCTGTGTTGGCTGCTGGGGTGCTCATATCAAGGAGAGGATGGACTTGGGATGCAGATATGTAATGAATAATCAATGATCTCCAGCGCCGAGATGGGTTTGGAAGGGAAAAACAGCGGCTGTACTGCCGGTCTATATCTTTACGTAGAAGAGAAGGACAGTATCAAAGCGCTCGCCATACCAATGCGGATCGAGAAGGAACCGGTTGCTTGCCCTGCTCTGACCCATCTGATCGTCGCTGAGCACTCTGAACTGGTTCGAATGTTCACGGACAACTGCGATGTAATGCCCTTCAGTGGGCGCATCGCCAATGTGAGCGACGACGCCGTTCAATCGATATTCGAGGTTGGATCTGTAGCACACGTTAGCAATGTTCTCGACGCAACCGATCCCTCGACGAAGTCTGAACAGTCGCTGCAGTGGCAGCACATCGGACGCCGTCGAGGAGGAAAGGAAGGGAAACTTAGCCATCTGCTGTGTAACTGCTCAAGTCCAGATGCTCAGGATAGTCGACATGGAGCTTTATCTTCGTCTGCGTCATCACCACCTCGCCCGTGCCCTCCTCTTCCTCGATAGCATATTCCTGACGAGTAAAAGTGGCCACCAGCACCTCCGGCGACTGCGTGATCTCGTAGGTCGGCACTCGCTCCTTAGCACCCAGCAGTTGAGCAGTACAAGCTGGAAGCTGGCACGACGCATCGAGACCATATCCGCCGGTAAACTCGTTCATGATGTAGTTGTCGAGATCCGCAACCCAGTCCTTGCTTTGAGCCATGTCCAGTTTCAGATCGTATGCGACTGGCATCTGGCCACTGTTGATTCCGCCGCAGTCTTCGCAAGTCCAGGCGAAGTCTCGATGGACGTTGAAGAGGAGGTTGAGTCGATTGGACAGGCGATGCTCGTTTTCATCCAGCCGGTCCTGCAGGAACAGGAAGAACTCGTGCGGATCGCCTTGTCGTGTAGTCGTTGCGTCTGGGAACCCGTTGCCAGGCCCATCGTGCCAGATGGCTCGGTCAAGGAGGTGTGCAGCGCGGTGTGGAAAGCTGGTCCGATGCTTCTCGTTCCAGTATTTGTTGACGAACGTTTGGAGAGCGCAGACAGTACATCTGCGTACTCGTAGATCGCACGTCTTCTGATGGGGAATGGCACCGAGATAGTTGTAGACCGCTGGAAGATGTGCCAGGCATTGGAGCAGCGAGCGGCGGTAGCAATAGTGGTGGGGGTTGTGGAGTCTAGCAGGCCTGCGGTATCTGAGCCCAGATGGGAACTTGGTAACGCGGCCAGCGCCCTTGATTACCTTCCAGGGCTTCGATTTTGGATCGACTTGAGCTCGAGCGAGGGCTGCCGATTGTGGTTGTGTCGGAGTCGGGGCCGCAGCAGTGGTTGCGGACGGGAAGGCGAAGGGTATGGTGTATATACGTCCACTCCTGGTGGTTCCGTCGTGAGGGTTGGCTGCCATGGCTTTGGTAATGATGATAGCTTGGTTGGAAAAATATCGAGGCCGTCAAGGCACAGAGAGACAGGAAGTGAATACAGCAACGAGACAAGAGACAAGAAAGCAGGAAGAAGAGAACATGTTTGCGTAGTAGTAGGCAGGCGTGCTTTTGAACGATGGCAAATTATTGTTGCTATAGTCGACAATGAGATACGTGCCGAATAATAGAATGGAGTGAGATTGACAAAGAAAGTCGAGATATTGTAGATGAAGTGAGATCCTTTGTGCTAGTGCTGCCAATCTCACATCCAGCCCTTCGATGGACGTCTCGAGGAGGAAGACGATCTGGAAAGTTTTTGGAGCATGAGATACTGCTGTGCGGCAGCTTGGATGTAGGAGAAGGTGCTCAAACCAAACGATATCTTCAGCTAAGTAGCGAACTTACTGTAGAACAGAATGCACGGGTCAAAGTCCTGGCGAAGCGTCCCCGGCCTGAAGCACCGAAGGGTAAAAGGGTCAGCAAGTGTTTCAATGGCGAGGAAGGGTTCAAAAGGTCTCCGAGCGCCACTTGCAGTGTGATCGTGTCTTGGAGAACCCTTTTACCTATGAGTACTCACTTCTTAAGCTCCGTCACATTTCCCATGCCCGTAGAGATCTTCCGGACCTCGTCGTCGTTGATGGTCCGGAAAGCGATCCCCTCGAGTTGTCGAACAGCTGCAATATAATGGCCAGCTTTCAATGTGCCGTCATGAGCAACAACGCCCTGTAACTTGTACAGCAGCGGCTCCTTCTCCCGTGTGAACTCCCCAAGATCCATCAGCTCCTCGAAGATCACCTCATCGGCGACTCGTTCGTTTTTCCATCGTCCCTTGGCTTTCTTATTCGATCATCCCTTGGCTTCCTCGACTCGTCGCCACCTGGGAATGACGATCACGAGTACCTCTGGCGCTTGGATGATGTACTTTCGTCGTGTCCGTTCCTTCCAGTAGTCCTCGTCCTTGCCGTACTTCTTGAAGCATTATTCAGATTCGCAGTACATTTCGAGCTTCTGCTCATAGGCGTTGGCACGGAAATAGGACATGATCGATCCAATCATCCTCTCTGGTTCCAAAATGTTGGCAGTGATCCCCCAGCCGTGTCCTGCTTCCCCAGGGAGGTCTTTGGTGAGGCTGATTTGACCGCATTCGTCACAAACCCATTCTTGTTCGTGCCGAATGTTGAATAGCTCTTCAATCTTCAATGCCGCGTCCGTTGGTTCGGATGCTACGAGCTCATCTAAAAAGTAAGTCAAGAACTCGGGAGCATCGGCCTGGAGGCTTTTGGCGAAGAAAGTGGACAAAGGGTGATCGGGATGTATGTTGTTGTCCATGGTATTATAGGCCGCTTCCATAGTATCGGTCAAGGCCTGCTCGGCCTGCTTCTCAGCTTGATCGCTCCAGTAGGTATCGAGCAGATCCTTCAGTGAGCGGGGGACACAAACGGCCTTTGGAACTTCGCAATTGAGGTGCACGTGCTCGAAATACAGGCTGTAGGCGCGCAAGTGCATCAGGCATTGGAGTACGGCGTTGCGGTAGCACATGTTGCCATCGTTCCTGAGCCCGCGGCTTCGTAACGTCGAATGGCGACCGGTCCACTTCCTTTGCATGCGAGGAGCCTGCTTTTGGACCACCTTGCCGTTTGACGTCCCGGCGACAGCACTGCCGGATGGACTGGTCCTTGGACTGGTCTTTGGGCTGCTTGATGATTTCTTTGCTGATCCGCCTGCGGGCGGACTGGCACTCGGAGTGCTGGATCTCTTCCTTCCTGTTGCTCCACCGTTTGAGCTATTTTCAGCGCCAGTAGCCAGCGGGCTGGCACGCTTCTGAGGGCTCGGACTCTTTGTTGCACGACCGGTGGAACCATCTCGTTGTCGTGAACCATTATCCTTTGGCTTAGGACCAGGTTTGAGAATGATTCTCGGAGCCATAACAGTCAGTAATGAGCGTGGTTGGTAAAGCAGAGATGAGGCGATTGACCGAAGGACCGATATAGTGTTTTGCCTGAAGAGTGGCCAAGATGTTGCTTCGCAGGGTTGCATCCAAGGAGGAGTCGGTATACGAGAACAGTAAAGATACTATGGACAGATGGGAAGAGGTGCAAAGATGTCTTTCTGAAGGAGAAGAACGATGCTCAGCGCTCATTTCGAGATCATTGAGATGGAAGTATCTCACCTCACCATTGAACAATACCGGTTGCCAGTAGAACAAAAGCAGGTGATGAAACTCACTTCCCACTTCCACTTCCGCGTCGAGTAGAACCAGACAAAGAGAGTGACATATAACAGTAGAAAACCGCGCCTTTGTTCTTCGAATTCTTCGAATTCGGCAGAGCGCCAGTGAGGCCGAGATGGTAAGCAGGCCTGATGAGCGTGCGGAGTGTGCATAGCGAGCGGTCGTCGTGCAGAATCTGTCGTGGAAGTAATGACGTGAAGTCGAGGCAACGCGCACAGTGCTTCCTTGAAGGAGTGTAGATGAAGTAACGTTTCCTGCGTCTTCGTGTCAGTGCATTCAAACCTCACCTCCGGCGGGACTCAGTGTCCCAATGGCGAGGCCAGTAGTAGGGTCTTTGCACGGTAAAAGTCGTTGGGTGCCATCTTTCAACTCCGAGAACCCGTGGTGTATCTGCTCGATAAGCCTGCATTCCACCAAGTACGAAGAAAGGTCTATGAAACGTGTCGAATGGAACTTGGGAAGAAACATGACAGGGAGAAAAGTGAAACAGTGTAAAGAAGGAAAAATCAGAAATCGAGTACCTCACTCACTTACCTTCCTGTAGCACAGCAGATCAATGTGGAAGTCTTCGACCCCCGGGTGGCCATGGGAGCCCATCTCGACTCTCGGGCTCAGAAGCTCCATCACATTGCCATCTCCTGGCCACGACTGCGTAACCACGAGGTCGTTCAAGGTCTTGAACTGCTTGCCGTCGGGCTGGCGCACTGCGGCGATTTCGTGCGCCGGCACATCGAGGTACGCAGTGACGGATTGTAGTTTGTACAGCAGATGTACACCGTCTTTTGTGGACTCTCGAAGATCGATGGTCTCTGCGTGGCGGTCAGCGCTGTCCTTCTTATAGTCCCATGCAAGCCAGTATATTAGCAGGACTTGTGGCGCCTCGATGATGTACTTGCGGCAGGTGTATCTTCCATGTTTTCGGCTTCCTGGTCTGCCGTGTTTCTTGAGTTCGAGTCTGCTCCTGGCCATGCTCGGTTTGGTCCAGAAAGCGCTGCCGTCGCCTGTGAGCGTTGCCTCTTCCTGGTAGCTGTCGTCGCTAAAGTATGCCTCGAGTGATTCTGCAGTCCGCCATGGCTCGATGATGTAGAGATTGTTCGGGTAATGGGCAGTCTCGTCCCAATTCTCCGTGTGACGGAATTGGCGTTGGCAGTCATTGCAGGTCCAGACAACTTCTTGTCGGAAATTAAGCAGGGTCTTCATCATCGACCTACCTTTTTGTTCCTCTTCTTGTTGGAATTGGTCCAGAATGTACCCCAAAAACCTATTGCTATAACCACCCTTATCTCCTTGGAAACATCTGTGCAGCGGGTGGTCAGCAGGGACTGTGGCTTCCAGTGTATCGTGAAACCTCAAAGCATCCCACCTTAGAAGGCTATCGTCTGAGTTACTCCAATAGGTGTTCATCAGATGTTGAAGCGCGCACAGAACGCATTCATACTGGCCTAGCCCGCAATCGGTGTGACCGTTCTCAATCAACTCCCTCAGCTCAGGCTGGTTGAACAAGACTTGGAGTACTGCATTCCGATAGCAATAACCCCTGGTGTTGACGAGGCCTCTGCTCCACCGCTTGGTCTCTTCAATGATCGTGGGAAGTCCAGATGGAGCCGGGCCAGAATCATCCGGCATGGTCGTCGTGTCTTTAGACTGGGTAGCGTCAGTGCCCGCACTGATATCCATGGTCTTTGGGAAGAGCTTGTCAGAGATAGAGTGAGTAAGTATAATGGGTGTGAGGCCTGCCTCAGGGTATACTTCTCAGCCGTGGATGATTCGGATAGGAACGTCGCAGATTGCGCAGAGCGCGGCAGGCCTACACACCATACTAATAGTACCGCTATCATGCTCAGAAACAATGGCGAGAAGCCCAGTATAGAACAAGGCCTTGTAAGCGCAATTCTTTCAGCCACTCTCAAGGCCATAAAGAAGGAGCGAAAGCAATGGAGACAATGACATGTTAGCGACCAGTAGGAGAGCCGCAAGAACACGTTGTGAATGGGAAGGTCGATGATGGAGATGAGAAGAAGCAGGAGGTGAGGTTGAGCGTGGAGTGACATCTGCGAAGGCGCTCGGGCCAGCCACACTCTCTGCCAACCACCCATTACTAAGGTAAGGTAGTGACATATCACTCTCGCAACCTTCAGATACACTACAATCAGAGTAAATCGAGCCTCAATGTCCAAGGATCCGGACCATGACCCCTCAGCCTACGAAGCCCAACACGTCCACACCGTCTACGAACAAATCGCCTCCCACTTCTCCTCCACCCGCTACAAGCCCTGGCCAATAATCGAGCGCTTCCTCCTCAACCTCCCCCCAGGCTCCATCGGACTCGACATCGGCTGCGGCAACGGCAAATACCTCGCCGTAAACCCCAACGTCTACATCCTCGGCTCCGATCGCTCTTCCAACCTGGTCTCAATCGCGAAACAGCATCAACCGCACTCGGTGCTGGTGGCGGACATCCTGGACCTGCCGCATCGGGAGGGAGAATTTGATTTCGCGATTTGCGTGGCGGTGGTGCATCATTTGTCGAGTAGGGAGAGGAGGGTTGAGGCGGTGAGGTCGGTGTTGGAGCCTTTGAAGGGGGAGGCGAGGGCGTTGATTTATGTGTGGGCGTTGGAGCAGGAGGGGAGTAGGAGGGGTTGGGCGGAGGGGGATGAGCAGGATGTTATGGTGCCGTGGGTGATGAAGGGTTCGAAGAAGGGGGTGAAGCAGGGCGATGGTAAGGCTGCTGCTTCTGATGCTCCGACTGAGGACAGGACTTTTCATCGGTATTACCATTTGTACCGACGTGGTGAGCTGGAAAGCGAGGTCCAGGCTGCTGGAGGTCACGTACTGGAGTCTGGCTACGAAAAAGACAACTGGTGGGCTGTTGCTGCAAAACCGCCTGGTTGAGTGACTATTGGTGGTCGTCATTCATCTTAAGCTGTGCGCACCCCCTTCCTTGAATTCGGGTCCACCTGGAAAAGCGTTTGCTCTTGCGAGGCTGGCCATTCAACTGAGTTGCACCTCATCCAAGGACTTCACCGTCCGGTGTTGAACGTCACTACCATTTCGGTGTGGTATCGGCTCATTGCCCGGACGTTCGACAATGACCGAGCGCATGCCTGCTGCGACAGCCGCATCGCACTCCTTAATGTTGTCGCTGAAGAATAGCACATCCATCGGAGACAGCTGGTCGCGGAAGTCAGCTCTGATGCACTATTACCAGCAAAGACGGTCTAGGGACGAGGATGCTGGGTAAGACTCACCTCCAGCGCACCCAAAATCGTCATGTAGCTGTTGGCCTCAGTCTTCGGTCCAGCGTTAGTGGTATCGAACCAGTCGCTGATCAACGATTGCAGGTCTTCAGTCTGGCTCTCCGCCATAGCAGAAGAGGCATTAGAAACTTGCACATGGCCGAATAGTAACTTCTGCGCAAACACGCTGCCAGAAGAATAAATAGCCAACTCAACACCCGCCTTCTTCCACTCCTTCAACTTGGGCACAACATCGTCGAATAACGGCGTCCCATAAGCGCCAGTCTTGTAGCCAGTCTCCCAGAGGTAGCCTTGTAGGTTCTTGAGATAGGCGACCTTCACGTCTCGCTTGGTCAGGTCTTCGACGTGTGCTTGGAGCGCCTGTGGTGACGTTCGCGCTTCTTCTGGGAAAGCATCTTTATATGGCTTGAATTCCTCACTGTCCCATTTTGACTCAAGGACTGCTGGTAAGGCTGTCAGAGCGTACGGGAACAGTGTCTCTTTGACGAAGGAGATTGGACAGATTGTTCCTTCTACCGAAGCATGAGTGGCCGTGTAATATGTTGATGTTGTCTGGTATGGCACAAACCAATGTCCAGGAGCACGCATTTGACATTCTCCATGCCGGGAATAATTCGTCAAACTCAGGGCATCGGAGACTCGGTTCGTAAGGCTCGAGCAAAGCGAGATTGGATTCTTGCGGTGTGCATGAGATTGTGTTGAAGTGAGATGGAGTGGATACAGAGTGGATCGTCAGGCGGACGGACCGCGAATTAACTCTAAACGTTCTTGCCTTTTGACATGGTCGAGACATCTTCAAACACTTTGCGCGGACAACATACCGCCGACAATACCATCGCAACATGGTCGCGGACAGTGTGTGACTTGGCAGCAACGACATCGCCATCTGCGCCGTCACAGCGCGCATTGTTGCGATGGAAAACTACACCATCCAGACCACCGGCTCCAATCTTGGCTACTCCTGCACAATGCAAGCCAGCTCGTGCTAGAACGGATGCAGTGGTACCTGAAGACCAGACCCATTCTTCCGAGTCGCTCCAGCACGTCGACTACTGCAATGCAGCAGTATGCTTAACCCGTAAAAACTCTTCACTACAGACACCTTCTATTCGTCGCACATGCAGAAGGAACGTTGCAGAACTGGTTTCAAGTCCACCTATAACAGACATCGCCATTTCACCGCTTATCGCCCCTCGATGGCCTCGACTGTCCGCTTGTGTAGGAGTGCAGGACGCTTGAGACATCCTCACAGCTACCCGAGCCGTATCCGACGGCAACGAACGGAGTCTCTGAAGTCTCCAAGGACTGTTGATAGTCTCGGCCCGCCTCCAGACGGGAGCGAGTCGTGGTTCGATATGCGCAGTTGGAGAAGAGGCCTGAGCGCTGCTTTGTCTATCGGTGGCTTGGAGAACACGTGGGAGCCGCCAGGAACAACCAGCATTCACCAAAGGAGATTGCGCTGACGTTGGTCAGCACTGCTTTGGAAACGGCAGTTGTCCAACAAAGCATTTCCTGTTCTGTGCCGGTCTCGAGGGCAACTGCTACCAGCAAAGCACCGACGGCCTTGATTCCGGGGGGGCTTATGCAGCAGCTGCAGTAGCACCTGGAAGCGGATAGCTAACGGATCTGGGTGGGCTGGGTCTCGCCTCGATTCGCCGGCGGGTATGTCTGTCTCTCAACAGTTCAAAGACAGCATCGAGGGTGATGTCTGTCGATTGGACTGGACTCGAGAACACACCGCAACGACATGGTGAAGCATCGAGCACGAACACGGGCGTGCCGATCGGTATCTCTAATCCCACGTTCTCGCGCAATCGCTTAATCTTATACCGGAGGATTAGACCCGCCGTGGCTGACAACACCATCGATTGGCACTCAAGTCCAGACAGACGACAACTTTTGCCGCCGAGGAGGGTTCTTTGAAACGCCCCTCTCTTTGCGTACGAAGCCCGAAAGGGAGCTGGAGGCGCCTGTTTCATCAGACAGCAGCTTGCTTCATCTCCGACTTCGGCAAGGTTGGACAAAGAACCAAGGACACGTGTCACCCGACCCGGCTTTGCAGAGGATGGTGCGATGTCGATGATGCGAGAGTCTTCCAGGCGCTGCCAACTCGATGGCTTGTCGGCCTTGAAAGGCGCCCGGCAACGTGTCCTTGAGCCCTTGGCGACATCGCCATCCGAGCTCCCGCATGATCACAAGCCCAAATTAGAGAGCTAGTACCGAAGGGCGGTAGTCTTTGTCTGTAGTGCTGTTATCCCTGTCCACCCAATCGCTGCGCCGCGGTGGACGTCGAGAAGCTTCGTCGTCGCATGTTGCTGCCCGCTTTCCCTCCCACCAGCACAACATCTTCTACACCGCTCGTCCTACTCATTAACTCGCCTACCTGCTGCATACCAATGGCCTCCTAATTGCACCCTCGACTGCACCTGTCGTCTACGAGAGCTCTCGTGATCGCTCCTTCCCCCCGCCGACGAGCAGTGTTTCGCCGCTGTTTCCGATCAACATTCCACTCCTTCTCACCTGGTGACACACCACGACATCACACAACACCCCTCCGTACGACCTACCTTAAACTTCACTCTACCTACTCGACTCCCATCACACGAAGAGGCTCTATTCAATGTTATAGCCTGACGAGTGCATCTGACCAGTACAACGGTTCCTTGGAGCTCCGTGCTTCGTCATCGCCATCATCAGCCTGCTTCGCAAGCTCGAGCTCCAGGCAGGGGTCATAACAGACACCACCTCCTACGACAAGCCCTTTGGAAACCAGCTGTTCTTTGCCGCTCGATAAGAACACGGTCCAGCACAGGCATCATCGGCACTAGGCACCACCGCCACCACTACTCCTTCGACTCATAGCTCCCGCCCTACCGACCTAATACTACCCCACTACTTCTCTTCTACCTGGGCATACTTGCAACTACAACTCTTCTTAACGCCTTCACGAACCTTCCTTCGATCTACCTCACGACCACGACTCTCCTCATTCCACCCACAGAAGCCGGCTTCTCTCAACCGGACCATACGAACCACAGCACTTGTCCTTCGAGCTCTCGCTAGGACCCATTTGATACCACCAATGAAAACGACAACGACACTCTTTATGTTCCTTTGATTGTGATTGCCAGCAAGCGAGCGCGTATATATTGTTATCTTGGAGACCTAAACCGGACTGCACTGGAGCGGATTGAACTGGAGTTGACATTACGGCGGCCTGCTACCCGAAATCTGGAGTTCCTATTGTATCCTAGAAGTTGCGATTGCCATTGCACAGTGCGTGCTTGATCTTGCTTGATCTTGTTGTTTGAATCCTCGCTGTTGCCTGGGCGGAGGATTCGAGAAAGTTAACGGCTTGGACTGGACCTTCTTCGGCTTTTTGCAGTGCTGCTACTGCCTTCCTGCGTTGCCTGTTGCTTTTGATTATCTGACTTTTGAGTCGGCGGCCTTATCTTACGACACACCTTCACCCGCGGACTCGACCAAATGGACTGCATGCGCGATGGCTTCGAGCAAGGCAAACTATTGGGAGTGCGCTTTTTAACCGTCGCTCCTCTCAACCATGGCTCCTTCGGCATGGTCTTTATCGCCGAAGATACCGTCACCGGTTGCAACGTCGCCATCAAGTGCATCACCAAGACCGACGCCATCCAAGGCTCCACCTGTCCCGCTGCTATTGCTACCGACGACCGCTCAGAGGAGCTCGCTATCCACTCCAAGCTGCCTTCCCACCCGAACATTGTCAACCTGATCCATCACTTCGAGTCTGGAGCACACCAGTACATGGTCTTGGAGCTGTGCAGCAATGGAGACTTGTACGAGGCCATCCGCAGCGGCCGCGGTCCTTTGGAGACGGAGCATGTGCGTTCGATCATGCTCGAGCTTATTGATGTCGTCGATCACATGCACTCACATGGTGTCTTCCATCGTGACATCAAGCCCGAGAACATCTTCCTCACCGCGGACGGCACGATGAAGCTCGGTGACTTTGGTCTGGCTACTACTGAGACCTGGTCGACTGAGTTCGCGGTGGGCTCCGATCGCTACATGGCCCCGGAACAGTACGATGCTTCGGTTTATGGATACGGCTACTCTCCTGCTGCCGCGGACCTCTGGGCTTTCGGCATTGTTCTGCTCAATGTTCTGTTCCAGCGCAACCCTTTCGCTGCGCCAAGTGCAAAGGATGTTGTCTTCGCTGATTTTGCTCGGGATCGCCAGAACTTGTTCGACTTCTTCCCCAAGATGTCGCAAGACACCTACGACGTTCTGACCCACTGTCTTTCTCTGGATCCTGCCAACCGTTCACTCGGCGCCGTGCGGGAGGCCTTGAAGAGTGTGGTCAACTTCACCACGGACAGTGAGACGTTGGACGAGTTCTGCAATGAGCAGGCTGACTGCTTCCCTACTGCTGGTCGTGAGCCTCTGCGCACACCTTCGATTAGCAGCCCCGCTATGAACGGAGACTCCTTCCCGTGGCAGTCTGCTCTTCACACCACGCCGCAGAAGGCTGAACGCCAACTGTCGACCATGTACGAGGAGGAGCCCGAGCTATTCCCTGGGTCTGTCAAGAGTGGCAGCTGGCAATACGCGGACAACGACGTATCCTCTCTGGCTTCCAACCTCGACTCCGGTCTCGGCATGTCGTACAAGTCGAGCAAGTCGGTCAAGTCTTCTGCGACCAAGGGCACTTCCAGCTTCTTCCCGGGCTCGCTGCCCATCAGCTTCTCGCGTCCGGCCAACAAGTCTCCTTACAGCACTAACGGCACTGGCTTCTCTAAGAGCTGGAGCGACTTGTGGGAGGAGGATATGGAGATGGAACAGCAGGGCCGCTCGTCTTGGGAGTTGGAAGAGGACAACATGGAGGACGTCAACCGTGTCGACACTATCAAGCCAAGCACTCCTCAGCTCCGCACCATCAAAGAAGACGAGCGCCAGGGCAGCTTGACGCCGCGGCCAGCTCTTGCCGACGCCGACCTCAACACTCGCTCCATGAGCCCGCTTAGGAAGCTAGTCGAGCACGACAAGGCCAATCCGGAGTCGCCAAAGCAACGTCAAGCCTCCGCCTTCGATCGCTGGACGTCCCTTGGCATTAAACGTCGCGCTGCCCAAGGAAGCACTTCCGGCACCACGACGCCGACTCAGGCTGCCCCAATGCCGACCCCGAAGAAGGCCGCCACGCCAATTCCAGCGAAGACAAAGTACTCCGACGCCTTCGCCAGCTTCACCACCTTCGGCAGCAGCAGCAAGAAGCAGAAGTCCTCATCCGGTTCCCGTGACCGCGCGCTGGACTGGCGTCAAGGCAGCCCGACTCGTCTCCGCTCGACTTCCGTCAACAAGAGCCAAGTCTGGGAGCGCAAGGGCGGCGAGATCAGCCCAACGCACACATGGGAACGCGACAACAACTGGCGCGCGCACAAGGCGAAGAAGTCTCCTGGCCTCGGAGCAACGACTCCTGAACAGCACGAGCAGAACAATTTCCTTAAACCCGGCGTCGACGATGATGAGCCGGAGTGGGTCGGTGGATGGCGGGATTTCCGCCTCTGATCCACTAAATTTTTGAGTGGGTGGGAGTCTCTCCTTTGCTTTTCGGACAGCGAAGGGGGACTCCCATTTGCAAACCTCTCGCCCCTTTGTATACGACAATACCCCAGGAATGAATTGATTGATACCCCCTTTTCGACTTTGTCTTCGAACTTCGACTTCGACTTGTTCTCTTTTGTGGATGGATGGATCAGCATGGAATGGGCAGAGCTCACGGATGGAGTTATTGTGGGATGGTTTGGGAATGGATGGGATGGGATGTGAGGTGAGCGCCTGCTGGCACAGAATGCTGGACCGATACCACTGAGGACGGAAACTCGACTCGACTCTCTTGTTTGTTATATCACCTTTTTTTTCTCCACCACGAGCGAGAGGACAAAGTTGGACATTGTGGGTTCTTTGCCATGACTGGGTGGTGAAGGGAGGGGATGGGGTTTGTTATCTGTAGCGTAGACACTCCCGCCGCCCTCGAAAGAGGGGCGAGGGGTTGGAAATGCGAGGATTTACCCACTCAAAGCTGTCTCACATTTCTTGGTCCGCGTGTGAAATGTTTGTCTTGCATGATCTAGAGGGCCGGTGGAACGAAGCTCCATGCTGTCCAACAGGCGTGAAGAACCGCTTGCCGTTTGCCTATCGTCTTCTACCCACCACGAGTACCTCCAAAACCACCTAGCAAGCAAAAGCCTTAGTCCATCTCCTCATCAGGCCAAAACACCCTCACCCCCACCCTAACAACACCACCCCAGCTCTCCACCCTCTCGCGAAGCCTCCTCACATTCCGCTCAGGACTATACTCAAACTCCTGCTGAATGCCCAACGTCCTCACCTTCGCTCCCGACGCCGCCACCGCCTCCGCCAGCGTCTCTATCAGCCCCAAAGCCAGCCGTTCGTGCTGCAAGCGTTCCGTTTCCGGTAGACGGGAGATACTCCCTTGCAGACCAATCTCCAGATGCCGGATTCGGGACAGCCAGGTTACGTCCCGCAGTGATCGTCCTAGGTCGCCGCAGGTGTCGATGATCTCGTCCTCGTGGTCGGTGGATGTGAAGATGCGGAAGGTGTGGTGGTCGTACAGGACGGGCGAGGCTTCATTGTAGATTTTCCGGCAGGTTTTAGTGAGAGCAGCGTGAGCCCAGGCGCGGGAGTCGGTGGCGATGTTGCCGCGCCAGAGGAGGAAGATTGGGACGGCGAAGGTGCTGTTGTGGAAGTTGAAGACGTGCTGGTAGATAAGGAGGCGAAGCTCCGGGGGGATGGTTTGCAGGAGGTAGCATTTTGAGAGGTTGGGCATTTGGTCTGGGATTTGCTGCATAACGCCGATAAGCGGAAGGTTTTGGTGTCCTGTTGAGAAGAGAGGCCGACGCTTGGTGCGAGCTAGAGAGACAGCAGTCATGCGAAGGTTCCCATTCAGATAGGTGGATGGCGGTAGGAATATGCGCCACAATCCTTCTGCCTCCGTAGAAACATGCCAAGCGTGTTCGCCAAAGACCGCTCGGCTGTCCAACTGATTTGGTTGTATCAACATCACAGCTCCGCGACATCGCGCCAGTCCGGAAACAATGATCGTCGTCGCCTCCGTCTCCCTTCAAGCAACCTCTCCATAAACCGCCACGGCTCATTCCTCGGATTGAAAGAGGTAGGGTCGCCCGGGAAGAACTCAAACGTCATGTCAACAGTCAAGATCTTCACCTTAGCCTCTGACTCCTCGAGCACCGCCGCAAACTCCTCCGTAAGACAGACGGTCCCCTTCTCCAGCCTAGAAGAAGCCGCGTACCAGTCAAGAAAGGTCACATCTTTGATATGCCGGCTGTTAATCCTCGCGAAAGTCGGTACGACATTTACCAATGCAGGAACGGTGTTCTTGAGATGCAAGCGGCGGATGTGCGACAGGTATGGAGCAGAGGACGTAGTCAGCTGCGCCGAACGCAAAGGCTCAAGGGTTGTTGCGATGGGAAGATCTCGACGTGGAAGTTTGTGGTATCGTAGACAAGGGCTGCGGCCTCGTCATAGATCGTTCGGCATGTCTTGAGGAGGGCGAGGTCGATGCTGGACTTGCGTGTGATCGAGAAGGTGAGCTTGGTTTCTGACTTCAATCGTCACATCAGAACTGGCCCGAGTCGCGAAGACGCAGCCGTACATATGTAGCCCGAGCTCGAGTGGAAGGCTTTCCAGAAAGTGGCATTTCGGTGATTTCACCATGTTCTTGCTACGGAACTGGAAAGAGAGGTACAACTTTCGTAAGAGTTGGATAGTATGAGAAGTTCTCACCTGCCAAACACGTTTTCTTACCTCGCACCTCTGCTTACCCTCGCCTCGCTGGTGACTTGCTCGTCACAAAGATTTGCCAGCACCCAAATAGGGAGCCTGAGCGTGTCGAAAATCGATGGCTAGAGACTGGTGAGGAAGACAATACCCGCATCATTGCCCGATTGCTCTCCGTTGAGATTTCCAGCAATACGAACCAAATTTTCGACTCCGTATCAGATTGATGACATGAGTTGGTCGGAATTACTCGCCTCGCCAGAGATAGCACCTTTTCCGCTTGACCTGATTGCGAGTGGCAGACGGGGCATGCATTTCCGAAGCCACTCGTCCAACAACCTTTTCCAAAGAAGTGAAGCACGATCGTACGTATCGGTGCATGAAATCCCAGGTTACACGCAGTCGTTCATTTTGACTTGGATGCAACAGTTGGGATCACTCGCAGCGACTGCTCCTGCAAAGGCTGAGGTAAGGTAGACCATTGCCTCGTCGTCTTTCTCTTGCTTCATATCGGCCCAGATATTGAAGGACCGAACGTGTGGGGTGTAAGGCGGATATATCAAACTCTGCTTCGAGGCATGCCGTGCGAGAGAGTCCCGCGGATTCGAGTGCGATCTATAGCATGCGATCTCGACATAGAACTTCTGCGATTCATATGCGACTGGAGTGGCTTCATAATGGATGGTCTCGCAGGTCTTGTGAAGGCCGACGTGGGCTCTTGCCTTTTGCTTGACTTTGATCTTGAGCTCGTCCTTGATGATGAGAAGTGGGTGCGTGTTGGGTTCGTTGAACACATGTTCGTAGATCTGAACGCGGAACTCTGCTGGGAGTGATTCCAGGAGGTAGCACTTGGTTGTCATCTCGGGCTTCATTGTCGCTGGGACGGGAGTCAAGATCGCCATGTGAACATGTTGCAGTGTGGTTTGATCAATTTTGACCTTACTTTGCCGCCCAGATCAGAACATATTGCCGTCCAGGTTACGCCTCAGAGCATGAGCATGCGGAAGGTATTTGACTTCTACATTCGGCAGCTGCTGGCCACGACTTCTGTCTGCCACAAATCGTGACATACCAAGATTTCGATCTTTGGAAATTTATTTTCTAAGACCGTCACCACACTCCACCCTCCACACCACTCGCCCACCATGGCTTCCGACGAGATCGTATGGCAGATCATCAACCAGCAGTTCTGCTCCTTCAAGCTCAAATTACCAGGAAACGACCGCCACCAAAAATCCTCAAAGCAGACCTTTTGCCGCAACGAGCACAACGTCACAGGCCTCTGCAACCGCCAGTCATGTCCGCTTGCCAACTCGCGATATGCGACCATTCGAGCAGACCCCACAAACCAGCGACTATACCTGTACATCAAGACCGTCGAGCGCAGTCATCTTCCAAACAAGTGGTGGGAGAAGATACGATTGAGCCCGAACTACACGAAAGCGCTGCAGCAGATCGATGAGAGACTGATCTACTGGCCGAAGTTCCTCCTGCACAAATGCAAGCAGAGGCTTACGCGGTTGACGCAAGTGAGAGTGCGGGCACAACGGTTGGCGAAGGAGGAGGAAAGGTTAGGCGAGCACATGGTCAGCCGGATGGCACCGAAGGTGAGAAGGCGAGAAGAGACTCGTGAGCGGAAAGCAGAATCTGCGGCGAAGATCGAGCGGGCTATTGAGCGGGAGTTGGTGGAGCGGTTGCGGAGTGGAGCGTACGGTGATCGGCCGCTGAATGTGGAGGAGAATGTGTGGAAGAAGGTCATGCGCGGGCTGGAGAGGTCGCAAGAGGGTGAGAGGGACGTGGATCTGGATGAAGGGATCGAGGAAGACGGAATCGAGAACGAGTATGAGCGTGAGCCTGGTGAAGCGGACGTGGAGTATGTGAGCGATATCGAAGGCGAGTCGGACGATGACCAAGACGACATGGAGGACTTTGACGACTGGCTTGGTGGGCACAGTGCGGACGAAGACGGGGATGAAGAGGTCGGTTCGTCTGAGGAGGGAGATGAAGCAGGCGACGAGGAAGATGGCGAAGAAGAAGATGCCGCGGCACTCAAGAGCAAGCTCGACGGTCTCAAGCGCAAGAGAAGCGGCGCACCTCCACCGAAGCCTCGCAAGAAGCCTTCGAAAGGCCCGAAGACCAACATCGAGTACGAGTATGAGTATGAGCGGCCGCAGCGAGAGATGCTACTGGCGAAGTGAGGGGACGAAGATGCCAATGTCGCCTCTCAACCTGCTCCAGTGTTCATGGCGCAGTGCATATCAACCTCAGGCTGTCTTTTCTACGATCGCTCGCAAACTTCAGATGCATGCGCTTGGCCGCAAGGCAAAGAGCGCAGAGACAGTCTGGAAGCTTGGCATTTTCGCCATCTGCCTTCCTAAAACAGTATAGCTCGAGGCACAGTACGACCTCGACCTGTGGGACGCCGGCGGATGAGCAGGCTGTGCTCTACCTCACCTCGAGGCTTAGGCTGACGGTGGGATTGGTAAATACTATCAAATAGACAACTGATTGTAGAACTGCATACCATCACTCTCCAAATCTATGGTGAGAACTCTCAAACTTCTCTTCAACGTTCATCACTCAGCGTAATCCACAAAATGCGTGAAGAGCGTGCGAAAAGGTCTTTGTTATTGGCCCAGCCTTTCGAGGCAGCCAACGTGCTGGAAGTCCACGACGAGATGGAAGGGACCGGATCCAGCATCAACAAAGTCTGGCACTGGACACTCAAAACCGTGACAAAACCACGTTCAGACAGCCTCGATGCAGCAGAGCAAGGCCGGGCGACGACCGTCGAAAACGAAAGCATACCAGCTCACGACGAACGCACCCCTCTCCTCTCCACCAAAGCGATTCCATCCGACCCATCCGATACCACCCACAACAAGTCCCGATGGAACTCCCTACACCTCCCCCACCTCAACCTCATCCAGCTTACCTATGGAACGCTCTTCGCACCCGTGTACGCAGTCTTGGCTCTCCTGCCTCTGCTCCCCTTCTGGATCTTTGCAGCTTTTCTGGTCTATCTGGTCGGTACGACGGCGAGCGAGAGTTTCTGGATGTACTGTGGATGCTTGGCCGTGTTGCTGCCCTTCAATCTTATTGGTACGGCGGTCATTGTGAGGAGGGTGTGGATGGATTTGTATGGGGAGGGAGACGGTGGGCCGTGAAGCCGGACCGAGTTGTGGGATAGACTTTTGCTTACCCATTGCGGCTGGCTGGTTGGAAGACTCGGGATCGATAAGGTACTGCTGACCAGCCGAGCACGCCATCCATAGTCGTTTTGGTCGTGAGGGGGAAGAAGAAGGAAGGAAGCCCATGCTGCTTGACCTTCCCTCCTACTCAAACGCCACTTTGGACTGCACGACCGCCAAACATCAAATGGCCGCAATCATGAAGGACTCCAAGCATGACTCCGTGATCTCGAAGCTGGAGAAGAAGATGGAGAAGGTGGAAAAGGTGGACACATACCTGTCCTACTGGACTGTAGTCACTGGCCCGTGAGTTGTACTCACTATTATCTCCTTAGGAGATACCTTCAATCAACGACCCTCTCACACTTTCAACAGGCGCGCCTGGATCCACGGCCACAAGCTCGCAGTCAGGCACCGCATCATGGTCATCCCGGGCAACCACCCGCAATCGCCGTGGGCAGCAAGGACGTTCGAAGAGTTCTGCGACAACGTCTTCTTGTGGTCGACCACTAAAATTGGCGACCACCGTACGTTCTCGAGTATGGTGTTGAACACCACATGGCGTGACGGTTCTGAGGATACGGTGGCGGATGATGACAACTGGGTTGAGGTCTTCGACAAGGTCACGAAGCAGGGTCTTGGTTCGATGGCGGTCCTTCTGACGCCAGTGGAGGTTGAGGAGGTGGTGGAGGAGAGCAAGGAGAAGGATGGAGAGCGGGAGACTGATGGAGGAGCAAAGCGCTTCGGAAAGCGCGTGTTGAGAGCTTTCTGCTTCTAAGCCTAGCCACTGCTGACTTAGTCAACGTTGTGCTTGAGAGGGAGTTTCGGAATATACCTAATAAATGCGACAGAGACGGCCGCATAGCTTCGCGCGTTCGGACAGACCTCTTCTAAGCCCCTTCAGGCTCGGAGAAGCAATTTGCAGTGCCCTGAACGATTACAATTAAAATCTTCTCACTCCTTTGTACACGCCGGACGCCTTGCGCTCATATCTTACAGCCCTTACGCCCATCTAGAACAGCCAGACATATACAAACAGGAAGAAGATGAATGCAAAGAAGCCCAGCCAGATCCGCCAGCCTATACCTGTCCGCTCGGCCATCCGTAGCATGCGGTTCATTGTGCCTCGTAATCGATTCCTCGTGCCTTCGAAGCTATCGTTCATCTTCTCGGCGAAGGCTGTCGAGTCTCGGATTTCGTCGCCTATTGCCATGGTGATCTATGTATGCATTAGCCGTGCACCTCCGCTGGTACTTCGCAGTATACGAACATTCTTCAACATCTTCACCTTCTCCGTCATCACCCCGACCTGCTCGTCGTTCTGGCTCTCCAGCTCATTGTACACCGAGTCCGCATATCTGCCCTTCTTGTCCGGCGTGGCGCTCCTAAATCCGCCGTCTCCGCTCATCCTCCCTGGCCCATCCAAGCCATTGCTGCTGCCAGGATATGCGCTGAAGCCTCCACCCACCGGCGGCTGCGCGCTCAAATGCGAAGACGAGTCATTCGGCTGGGATGTGAAGGCATAGGGTGAGCTGTTGTTGCCATGTATCGTGCTATACGGTGCCGTCCGCGACGAGGGTCTTGCTGGCGAAGGAGTTGCCTGGGCTGAAGCCGGCCTGGAGCGGGTTTGGGCGTCGTAGTTGGAGAATAGCGCGTCGCGCGCGCTGCGTTGGTGTAGTCTACATACTCGTCGTTACCATGTGAGTTCGAATATCGAGGACAACATGCATACCTTGAGGACATTTTGGTGGAATGCTGAGAGAAACTCCCGTTGGAAGCCGCTTATATTCAGCCGAATTAGGAAAGCTGTTCATTGTTCGCGACTCCTTTCTCACCCTTGTCTCTACACTTCACTCCATCACATGTCAGCAGGAGCATATCTTCGCATCTAAAACAGAGCCAGAACTATACACGACAGTCAACGGGCGTGTATCGAAGCCAACTTATTGCCATGCTGCTCCAGCACACCACGATACTCGACGGTTGGACTTGGCTACGCAATGATAATCGAAGCACTAACACCGACTAACCATAGCGAGAGCGGCATGTCACCCCATGGGTGCTATCGGTCTGGTTTGCTACCACGATGGCGAGTGGACTCATACTATCACACTGGGGCGATGACCACAACTTCAACGTCCAGTCCTCATGCCCCTTAGGTAAGCCATTTCCGCATTTACTTTTCTTCAAGACTAAGAAATGCTTTGCGACACTCGGGTATATTCCATCTCAAGACCCTCATCTTCGTTCCGCTCGTGGGCAGGATCGTACTCACCTCGAAGCAACATGGCATTCCGATCTCAAGCAGAACGGTGCTCTCGAAAGGCCGAGAGCTCATCAATCCCGGTGATCACTATCACTCCTGCCTCACCAACCTTTGGTACCTTGTCAGAGGTCCAGGCGAGGCACAGGGAACCCCACTGCCACCACTTTGAGCCTGTCGAAGGACCGACAGAACGATTGCTGGTCCCCTTCGATGATGGCAAGAACCCCAATTCCTTGTCGACGCAGGGCCGCCGGGTGAGAGATGCTAGCCCAGATGCAGGTATAGTGGCTAAGCTCAAGCGGGCTTGCTCGTCTCCATACAACAACCAGGGCCGGAAGGGCATTCGCTGTGGCTTGAATAAAAGTATTACGGGCATCATACCATGGACTGGCCATAAACGGTCCTCTGATGTGGTCGTCGATGATGTTGCAGAACCGTTCGATCCTAACTTCGAGGGGACTGGCTGGTGGCCTCAGCCCGGTCATCTCTATGGAGCCTACAATATACGGCTGAACATAAGGCAGTTCGACAAAGGCAGCAGCGCGCGGTCAAGATGTCCCATTCTGTCAGGCCTACTCAACTCCCGGGTCGACCAGAACATCGAAGTCGATCTTGCCGAAAGCTACGAGGAAGTGTACCGCAAGCTAGTGCGGAAAGCTCTACGGATCGCTATCACCGACGACCTCTTGATGCCCGGGGACATAGCTGGAGACATATTTCATGTAGTAGACGGCAAGAGACATTTGATCACGCCAGCGAATTGGGAGAGCGAGAAAAGAGAGTGGTGCGCTGTGCCTGGAATTCTGATGAGGTTCGACTTCTTCATCCTACCTAAGCATACCAGGGTATTGAAGGGAATGGGCAGGAAAACGGCCGCGTGGTCGAGAATGTCTAGCAGGAGTATATGTGCTGCGGCTCGGAAAATGGGGAGGACGGTTGGAAAGTGGTGTAAGGGCTTCGACATGTGCGGTATGGCCGGGCTGGATGAAATGGACGAGCAAGAAAGGATGGCGCTTCGAGAGCTGTCGTGGCCATACATGGGAGAGTTCGGAAGATGAGGATGGAAGTGCTGTCGCCTGCCTATTTCTGGTCATCGACCCGCCGACTACAAATGTCCACCATAAGTGCTGACCCTGCTGTGTTGTTGAACGCTCCGATGCGATGGACCTTTTCGTCAGGAGTGTCAGATATGGCACGTTTTACACCATTTCTTTGCGCTGGCTGGTTCTTGGCGACTAGAGAAGCACTCCTGGGCGATGGATCACGTGCTATTCTTCTTCAAACGCCGTCATTACAAGTGAATGCAGCGTTGGTCCCGAGCTTTCGGCAGCTCTCGCACTTATCCGGCGCATATATGGCAATCAAAAATCACCTCTTGCAGGATTGTTTTCCATACGGTTTGCCTGAGACGCACCAAATGTTTTATTTTGTCTGAGACAAACGTCAACTTATACTGCAAGGCGACATACGGGGCGCAGCGTGACAACAGAACATCACCTGCGACCTACCCGAACGTACACAACCATCCACGATGACTAGACTCATCTGCCACCTCTGCCGCAAGACCAACTTCGGACCGTATCCAACAGAAGACAAGGTCCTCGACCACCTCCGCTACGACCACGGCCTAGAATGGATCTGCACCTCCAAAGTTCCAGCCATCCGCAAGCGCCAGGACGCAGCCTGGGAGGTGCTCTACGAACGCGTTGAAGATGCGCTCGACCAGTTTCAGCAACGCCAAGCGCGCAACTGGGAGGCCTTCGCGGCCGACCCTTCCAAGCCCCTGATCCCAACTCAGCATGGCGATCTCGTCAACCTCCACGAGAGACGTGAGGCGGTGACGTCTATCGCAGAGGACGATGTGGGTATCGACCCGGACGGTGACCGTGGTCTTGACGACACCCGTGGGCTGGACGAATTGAGGAGGAACCAGCAGTTCGAGCTGAAGACGGAGGGTTATGCGACCAGTTTGCGCTACAGCCACAATTGTGAGGCGGCGAAGATGGACCGTGAGAGGGTGAAGGCGTTCTTGGCGGCGAAACCCGGGACTCCGTTCGGCCGGTTCATGGAGGATTATGGAAGAGATTTGCGCGCGCTCTCTTTGGAGGATACCGCCGTCGACTATGCGGCTGCTCGGGATGCTGATCTCCGGGCTATGGGGGTTGAGCTGCGGAACTCGCCTGCGACTAAGGGGAAGAAGGACTCGGAAGCTGCGTCTAAGGGCGTTGCGGAAGGTCAAGATGTGGTGATGGGGGAGGATGTATCTGCAGAAGTTGACGCGATCGTTGGTGGCATCGATGAGCTGTTGAACGCTTTGTAGGTGCTTGGTGCCAGGACGTCAACCGCTGAGGATGATGGAAAGCTGAATGACACGACAGTTGCTGCCCCTGGATCTGTGCTTGTGTCACGGAGCATTATGATCATTTCTTCCACAGTCTCCAATGCAGTAGGTCATGGCTTGCTCATGCTTCTACAACCACCTGACGAATTGATGTTTTCACCACTTTTCTCTCGCTGACCACACCAAGACAACAACGACCAACCTGCCGACGTGCGCTCTGATAACAAGGAAGCCACACCTGGTATTCATCCTTCTCTTCAAGACATCAAACATGACATGCCCTCTTTGTCACCTCCTCTATCTCAATGGCATACACCTCACAATCTCAACATTCTCTCATTCTCACAGCGGTCTCTCAAAAATGCCCCAGCTCACCTGTCCAATCCCAGGCTGTAAGGAAACGAGAGCCGAACAGAAAAGGATCAACTCACACCTACGCTCTGATCACGACTGCGCCATTCCGAATCACCATGGCGGGAACATGAACAAGCTCAGGAGGGAGCAGCAAGCGTTCTTCACCAAGTGGTTGCAGAAGCATGGCTACGCAAGAGATATTTCGCTGTTCGAGACCAGGAAGTATCTGGCGGGAAGCAATCAGGAGAGCGGTGGGAGTGCAACCGATGACGACGGCGACGACAGTGCGGAAAACGCGATCGATGATCTGGGCGCTGAAGCCGAAACAGCCGCGTATGGAAGGTCTGCTAGGCGTCGTTCGGTACGTCTTGAGGCCGCTGCACAGCCTGACAAGGTTGTGAGCAGTGTCTTGACCTTCGAAGAATCGCATGTGGTCGCTCGGGCACGTATGAAGAAGGCGCTGGAAGACTGGCTGGTGCTCGATGGACTCTTGGAGGAAAAACGGGTTCAGAAGGAGCAAGAGGAGGAAAGGCTGCTTCAGAGGTACAGGTGAAGCGCAAGTGATGATCGAAGCGGCTCGCAGAAGTCTTTCGTGGAGCAAGGAGAAACACCACCTCAGTCAGCGTCCTCCAGCCATCCGTCTCTCCGGACCAGTCGGCGCAATCCAGCGAGCGTCAGGCTCACAGCTCATCTGCATCGTCACCGCCCCTTCTTCGCCTCCAACGCATCATCCCAATACTCAGGATAGCTGGCCTTGTACCCCAGCACATACCCGCCAAACCATCTCCCCACCACCACGCCCATCGAATAGCTCAGCGCTCGCATCAACCAGTCGGGCCCGAATGGAAACGCCAAACTGACTTCAGCGCTGTCGAGAAAGATTAAGAGCTGCGGCAGTGAGGGATTGACGTTCTGGTAGTAGCAGTCGTCCAGGTAGGTGTAGATATTTCTGAAGAATTTCGAGCTTGCACCATTCGCTTCTGGATCGTCCGAGCCGCTCTTGGGTGAGACTGTTGTTGAGATCTCAATTGTGCAAGGGCCGTCGTATGTGTCGTCCACTTTGAACGTGTGTCTCGCTCTGGCGGGTATGCGGACGGGTTGCGGATCAGACGCAGAGACAACCGTGTCTTTGCCCTCTAAGGTGAAGATGTAACGTCTACGCATCCTTAGAGACTGTAGTGAAGGATCAAGACAGCCTCCAGACTCACCCTTCTTTCACGTGAAAGAACTCCTCCTGATACCAGTGCCCTTCAAGACGCCGTTAGCAATGCCTCCCTTCCGGAATATGTTCCAGCAGAACATACAATGATACGGCGGCGTCAAATAGTTCTTGTCTTCCGGAACCTTCTGCAAGGCAGTCGGAGCATGCGTCGTCTGGATCTCCAACACACTCAGCCCTTCCGGTGGCTGCACCCATCTCGTAGTTCTGATGCCGTTGTACTGCTGGAGAGTGTCAAGCTTCGCCGTCTCGGTCCTCTTGACGTGGAAAGGCATCTCGCGAGCTTGCTGGAAGCACGAAAGGATGGAGCAATGGTAGATGTTATGTGGGCGGATGAGTACATATATGCAATGCAGAGTGCTGACGCCGTAACCTCCCTGCTTTATATAGCGGCTTAGTGAGGCGATTAATCAACGTAGCCTACTGCACGATACCATCGAAAAGATGATGATGAACAGAAGGTCTAGGGGGCGTCTAATATTGCTCCGCCCTTGTGAGTAGTACAGCACCCGATGCCATTCCCGTGCCCTAGGTGGACCTACCATTACTGGCCGCCGGGCCCGAACTCCTAGATATGCAGCGGCAGCAGGAATACGCCACCGCGGCTACTACTACGACCGATCGACGATTGTGAAGTTGGCCCCAGGCGAGCTGTCTCGAACGATAGTCATGGCTGGGAGGGGTGCTTGGTCGACTGTCAGGTCGAGATGCGAACATGGCGGCTCGTACAATTGACCGGATAAGGTATGGTTGTCGATTGAGAGTTGAGAATTGAAGGGAGGGCGGATGGCCTTCAGCAGCTTCGTCGAGCCACCCAATAGATATGATTGATAATAGACTCCCAACGATGCCAACCAAGATTCCAAAGAACAAAAACACCAGCGCCATCGCTAGAAAAGCAGCAAGATGCCCATGCCCAAGGGTCCCAATCCCGCGCCATCTACACCCCAAAACAGCCAGACAGACATTAGTAGTTGGTATGTACAATTAGTGTAAGAGCGTCAACATTCCCATGTACCCTCACTTCTCAGAGCTCGTAGGCGAAGGCGGCACAACAATAGTCGTTGGGGTAGGAAGCTGCTCAGGCTGGCTCTCGCTGCTCCCGCCACTGGACCTCTTAGTCTCAGTGGCCTCAGCATCGACATCTTCGCTCCCTCTCGCCTCGCCAGTCTCTGTCCCTTCTTCCGTGATGGTGCTGTGCGCGGTATTATCGACACTCCCACCCGCTGCCCTCCTGCGAGCTCGCCGGCGTGCTCGCTCATCATCAGCGCTCTCTCTTCGTCGACGGAGGCGGATGCTGTCGTCTCGTGCAGGCGCGTCACCCTCGCCGTCGCCGCGGAGACCTTGCAGCATCGATGCGGCGCGGTCGGCGATATCTTCTCCTTCTGATGTCGGGCCTTCTGACGAAGGATCCTCTGATCCTTCTGTCTTCGTTGGACTGAGCAGTCCGCTCTCGTCGATGTTCTCGCCTGTCTCTGGGATCTTCTGGCCCGAAGCGACGCGGACTTGATGCTTATCCTTGAGCCTGGCCCGGCGTCTGCGATCCCTTTGGTCTTTCGCGGCAGGTGCAGCAGCACGTAGCTTCTCAAGCAAGACGTCCATGGCTCCAGTCGAGGCCGGGCTGGGTGGGCCGCCATCCGCGTCCGCCTTTGGTGCTGGCTGGGACTTGATCTGCATCTGCTGCTTGCGGCGCATGCTCTCTTCGTTGCGCCGCCAGACCTCTTCGAGACCCAAGTTCTTCTCGTGCGATTTCTGCGAACTCCATTAGCATCCATCACGTCAGAACCAACCCCAGCAGTCAGACATACCTTGTACTCCTGCACGAAATTAGCAAGTTTGCCAAAGAACTCCCTCCGCGCATTCTCATCCTTCGAGTCATCGCCAAAGAACACCAGAATATCATTATACACCCGATTCATCTCATCGAGATACAAACTCAACTGCTCCGCCTTCCTCCTCGCCTCCTTCATACTCCTCTGCACGACCTGCGACACGCGGTCTTCAGGGTGGAACTTGCCCGGATCGCTCAAGTTCCCCGCATCAAGCGACGCCTGCACGTTGTTGACGTTGTCAATGTACTTCTTCGCATCGCTCTGCAGCTGCTCGATGTTGATCTTCTGCGCCGTGATCACACCCCCGATGTCGTCGGTGAAGCCTTCGTACTGCGGGTACTGCTTGCGGACGACGCGCTCGACGTAGTCCATCAGGGTCTGCTCGTTGTTGGTGTCCTTGACCATGCCGAGGCGGGCGAGAGAGGAGAGCTTGAAGCCGTGGGCTTGCTTGTTGGTGTCGTTCATGTAGTTGCCGATGTCCAAGATGAGGCCGAAGACGGGCATGAGTTTGACGGAATCGCGCAGGCTCTCGCTGACGTCGACGACTTGTTTCAGGCGGTTGGAGATCTCGTCATACTCTGGCTCGAAGTTCCTGGTAAGAGCAAGAGCTCGCATGCGAGCCTTCCAGTAGTGATGCAGCTCGTAAGCCGTGTAGAGATAGATCTGGTCTTCCTTGGTAAGCTCAACAGGCTCTTGCTCCCGTGGCGTCTTAAGCGCATCGGGGCCAGTGTAGTCGCGAGCATACGGTGCCATCAACTTGGCGACATTGTCCGGGATGGTGCAGAGATGCTCCTGCATCAAGAAGTCCATGACGGTACTGTTGTCCAAGATCTCCTTGTCGCAGTGGATGATCATGCGAACAATCTCGTCTGCTTCAATGTTGCTGAACTTGGCCAAGGAGATTTGCATGGTATGCATCAGATCACGGGAGATGAGTTGCTTCTTTTCGACCTTGCCCTGCTTAGCCTTGCTCGCGCCAATCTGCTTGATCTCCTTCGCCATGAACAGCTTCTCGATCTCGTCCAGGATACCCTTCTTCGACAGCTCCTGGTACTTCTCCTCCTTCTGCTCGAAAGTCGGAGTATGCGCAGCCCACATAGTGGGTTCCAAAGCGTCGATCTTCTCCCAGTGAATGGCTTTGAGCTTCTTCTTCGGTCGAGGCGCAACGGGTGTGAGTGGTGCACCTGGGGTGAACATCTGCTGGTGAGGCAGGAAACCACCAGACTTCGCACCAGGCATAGGCGGAGCATTGGGTATCATCGGCGAGCCCGGCATACCAGGCGGTGGAGGTGGAGGTGGAGGTGGACCGCCAGAGAATCCAGGCATCGGAGGAGGCGGTGGTGGAGGCGCGCCACCAAACCCGGGCATTGGCGGGGGTGGAGGAGGTGGAGCACCGCCGAAGCCTGGCATGGGCGGCGGAGGAGGTGGTGGTCCACCATCGAAACCAGGCATAGGTGGTGGTGGAGGTGCCTTTGGCCCATCGAACTTATCCTTCGACGGCTCAGCATCCGAAGGCGTCTTCGGGCTTTCGCTGTCGAGGCTAGGATGACTGGGACCCGTAGTGATACCATCACCCTCATCATCCGAGCCATCCACTCTAGCGGCCTTTGAGGTAAGCTCAGCAAGCATACTCTGCTGCGCCGAAGCAACATTGCTCGGCACCTTCGGCCTGCTCATCTGCACTATCCGTGGCTTCTCGAACACGATGTCATCCTCTTGCTCCTCGCCCTCTTCTTCCGTCTCAGCGTCAGTCTTCGGAACAGGCTTCCTCTGCAGCCTCCCTCTCGGGTGGGCTGTACCCAGGTAGTCGATCTTCGCTTGCATGCCCTCGACATCGTTACCCATACCCGCACCCTCCATCTTCTCCCGCAATTCTCGCAGCTTGTCGGAGGGATTAAACTGCTGCCATTGCTTGCCCTCGAGCTTCGCCTGCGTCTTGGCCCGCTCGAGCTGCATCTCCAGACGGTCCATGAGCCGTTCTCGATCCAGGATACCTTGCATCTGTACCGGGTCCGCGCTGGCCGTCGTCTGTCCATTCTTGCCGCCTTTCTTTGCCGATGATGCAGCAACATCCTGTGCATCACGAAGCATGAGATACAGCTCTCTGGTCTCTAGCTCGTTCCGTTGGAGCTCCTGTGCCCGTATTCGCTGCAACTCCGCGACTTCAGCTTTGTACGCATCCGTCTGGCGCTGTTGAAGATCCATGATAGCGGCTTGCTCGTCGCATTGTCGCTGCAGCTTCCGTACCATGCCTTCAGCGCCCATCTCGACCTTGGATTTCATCTCATCGCGCTCCGCAACCGCAGCGTCAGCAATGAGGCGAGCCTGGTGCGCATCTTCCCTCGCTTGTCGTGCTTCTGAATCGGTGTACAGCTTGTCCATCAGATTCTGAACGGTGAAGTTCAACGACTGCTTGAGATCCATATCCGGCAGTCTCCGGTCCATGGCCACATAGGAAAGCATACTGTCGACAAGCTGGAACATTCGTAGCCGGTCATCGCCCTCGTTGTCCCGTATGAGTAACAGATGCTGCAGTGCGGATGTGAAGTAGTCGCCAGCTCTACTTCCGGCCAACCTCTGCTGTATAGCTTCCGCAATTTGTGCCGGGTCGTTCAGGTCTTTGCCTTCGCCCTCAAACGAGTCGTGCATAGAGCTGTTCTCCCTCTCCAAGAAGTCTTCGTAGTCGATGGCTTCGTTGGACCGATACCGCTCGATCTGGGTATCGATGACCTCGTACTGGAAACCCTCCATCTTGTGCAGTATTCGCTTCAAACCACATCCCACGAATTGCGCACGGATATGACATCGTAGCTCCAGGTCTCCAGGCTTGTCCGGTGCATCAACGATGCTGTTCACGAGGAACAGCGACGTCACGGCGTACTCCATGAGCAGATTCTCCATCCCAATGCCACCACTCCGCACCTCATCCGATGCACCCACGAGCGAGCCCATCTTGCCACGACCATCGATCGTGACTTCGACAATTCGCATCCATGCGTCAAATCGGCCGTTCTCGCCTTGCTGAGCTTTCAGGTGGTCCATAGCTGTGAGCACCTTAAGATGACCCTTGCCATCCGCCCAGTGACACAGAAACGTGAGCAACTCCGAGACAAGCTTCCTCGTGTTGAGCCGGGGCGACGTGAGCGAGCCCGCGAGAGCCATAACAACCGTATCATGGTGCACCGCATCATCCGCGCCATACTTGCTGTTATTCAGCGCCTTCAAGCACTTCACAATATCATACTCGCGATCCAGATCCTTCTCGCTCGTCGTCCCACCAGCCGGCGCCGGACCAGACTGCTGCCGCTTGTTGAGCCGGATAAGCGTATTCGTGAGCGCAACCTGCCCCTGCGCTTCGACGAAAGTCTTGACCCAGGCGATCGGCTGCGTCCGCAAGCTCACAGACAAGCTCTGCAGCTGCTTCTGAGTGATGGTGTTCTCGAGGACCCTCTTAACGAACCATTCGGGACTGCCCTCCTCATCCATGCGGCCATAGACCGAGAAGGTCTCATTGTTACTGGGACCTGGCGGCCGGTGGGTATTTCGCCTTTTCTGCTCGCCTTGCCATTCTGCCAACCTGTCCTGGTGGACAAGCGTCCACTTCTTGCTTATTGGATATGCCTCCATTTGTCTTCGTGCTTGTTCTGGTAATGATTTCCATCCACGCTTGAGCATCAACTCCAAGAACTCTTTCTCCACTACTTCATCGGGCGGTCGTCGTTGGTTGAAAGCGTCTGGGGCAAATGAGGTGGTACTCGAGAAAGCCGAAGGGTTGTTCGCGCTGAGATGGCTGTTGTCGTGCCGTGATCTGCTCGTAGACTGTGATAAAGGTGGCAGTAGGCTCCCGTCCCCTCCTACACCAGGGAAAGATGTTTGCGATGCGTTCGGATAGCCTTGAGCACGCCCTCGGTCGTAGCCAGAAAAGTTCGATCTTATACTCCCGTGGTCGCTGGAAGATCGTGAAGGCGCGTAGCCGTTCAGCGTAGTCGCGTCGCTATCGACAGACCGTCCCGTGGGTTGCCGTGCTACTTGGGTAGAGTGCGAATGTGACCTCTGCGAATACCCACTCTGCGCCGACTGGCCGTCCCAGGCCGGATACTGATGAAAGTCTGTGCCCCCTTTGTTCAAGTGATGCGGCAGCGGTTCTCTTCCTGTCGATGGCCGTTCTCTTTGCACACTCTCCACATGCACCGGCTGCCGAGTATCGTTGGACACAGAGTCGTACGGTATGCTCGTGATCACGCCAGACAGCGACTGCAGCGGGTCCTCTCCACCGACAGGTCTTATCCCGCCCCTGCCGCCTCGCTGTGCTTCGTCGACCGTCGATATAGAGCTCCGATGCGAGTGTCGCGAGCCGTTGCCGTTCGTGAGTCGAGCATCGTGCGAGAAAGAGGCCATGCTGGCATTATCCGGCATGGGAGGGGCGTCATTGTTCCCTTTGTCCTTCTTGCTCCACGCGAACAACGAGCGGCCGCCGCTCGACTGACGCCCGTTCTTATCGCTGGAGAACATGTTGGGCAGCGTGTGCGAGGTGGCTCGCGTGCTGTCGACTTGGTGTGGCCGCCGCGCCAGTTATCGCGTAAAAGAGTCTCATGTGCCGGCGGTGGTCGAGACTTTCGGTCCCCCTTTTTACCTCCAAGACGGCCCTTCCAACACGCTACAACGCTTCAACAAGGCCCGCTGAACCGTTCAAAATCCCAAGGTGGTGTCGAGCAGGAGCGCCCGAATCCTCCAGGCGGGCACGCTTGAAAACAATCCCAGCGAAACAGCCGCCGATAGCCCGCTCCTTCGCCTTTGCCTCGGGCGGTGCAGCAGCACGTGTCAATATCAGATAGATACCAACACTGCGTTGTCGTGTGTCCAGGTCCGGCGTGGGCGATGGCGAGTCGTGTGTTGTGGTTGTATGCACGAGAAAGTACATGTAGTGAGTCCGAGCATCTCACCCCGGCCGTGCAATCAAAGCCCAGAACCCTGTTCCCCTTTACAGGTCAGCCACACGCGAACGTCCCTACAGGCCGCTCGGGTGAAGGCGGCTATCTGAAACTCATGCACGATATCCGTGTGCCGAAAAGCCTATGTTCACTGTGCCTATAGTAAGAGGAAGGAAGAGTATACAGAGACATTAGGAGGCACTAGATGCATTCGTTAGATGGGCTTAAGTCTTCTAAATCAGCACGCCATAGCGTGATGCTGGACAGCATATGGTTGCAGCTATGTACATGTACTCTCTCCATATGTTTACTGGGTTTTAAGTACAGGTAGCATTGGTATCGTCAACTCGTACCACGATCGACGGCTAGAACGTCCTCAGCCGGGTTCAGCAACTCACAACGCCCGACACCCTCGCTAAAGATGCAGCATGCAGACAATGAATTGCTCTTCTCATGCACTGTAAGAGCTGATGTAGTACTGGAACACAGTCAGTATGCGTAACATGGAGGCAGTGCTGTTAGACCCACCGTCAACACCGTCTCTCCCACCCCATCCTCATCCCCACCCGTATAAACATACAGCACGATTGCATGATCATGAGAGAAGCAAGCAATGACCCTCCCACCCAGCCGTCCCACACTCAACACCCTCCCCCAATCCTTCCCGTCCACTCGCACCGTCGACCACCCTTCCTCACTCTGCCCAGTTGCGTCGCCTAGCATCTTCATTCGCGTGCTAGGGTGATTGGCAAGTCCTTCTTCGCCACCCGCCATCTGGCCTGGGTCCAGCTCAGGGTTTTCCAGATTCGTCCAAAGAGAGGAGACATGGAGGCTGTCTGTGTTGAGGCTAAGCCGCAAACAGCCGTGCATGTTGCCGCTGAGTTCTAGCTTAGGTCCTGAATTTCCACCAGGGCGAGTGCCTGCTTTTGTGGACAAGGCAAGCCTCGTGAAGCGATCGGAAATGCTCTTCAGCTGCATCAGATTCGGAAGTACGATGTGGACTTCAGGCTCTCGACTCCTGGGCTCATGAAGACCTTCGACAGATGCTGGAGCGAGAACTCGGACAGGGATATCCTGGGTCACGGTGGTCTCGCGATCCGGTCGACTGCTGAAGAAGTCTGCGGTCTCCTCACGGAAGTGGTCATCGAAGCCATCGCCGGTGTGATCTTCGGTATCGCCAAAGCCATTCTCTCGTCTGTTGTGGAAGCCGGAGGAGGTCGGTGGAGGTGCCGATGAAGTATTCATAGCCAGAGTTGTGATGGTCAGACTGAGAAGAGGAATGCCATCCTTCTTCGTGAGACGGATGTTCGCCGCAATAGCATTCTGGGCGCTCTTCAAGGCCCGCTGTAACGGCGCCAACGGAACTTCAAGGTTGATGGTGTTGTCCTCCGATGCCGACTGGATGGTGTACGTCTCAAATATGGAGTCAATGGACAAGACGGACCAGACCTGAGTTCCTTGCTCCGGGATGACGGTGAAGTGGACGGCCTTGGAGTTGAGCTTGACCCAAGCGATGTGGCCCAAGGAAGCGAGAGAGGCGACAAATTTGTTGAAGGTGTGGATGTTCTGGATCGAGGCTTTGAACCGCATCTTGAGTCTTGGATGCACTGACTGTCTTGGTGGCCGTTCTCGAGAGTCTGGTGTTGATGCCGATCAACGGAAGATCATCCTTGGTCACGAGTGGCACAAGACAGAAGCCTGTGTAATCGTCATCTCAGCATCGAGTCAGCTAGTTCGAATGGTAATCTGCCTGCGAGCATCCATAGCCGCTGAATGGTTTCTTGACGATCCGGAAGACGAGACTTTGATGCCTGCGGCCTGCTGCGCGACTCATGCACCCCAGATTCTGATTCGCGCTAGTGATCGGCGCTAGCGTGCGTCATTCAAAAACGGAAGCTGTGAGTGCCTATTCATCGGCGTTGCCAACCTCACATTGCGCATGCACCACACTCTTACAACAACCTCACTCATTCGTTGCATGGCGAGAACCCAGTATACCGAGTGTAGTAATCAACATGTCCGCTAAAGGCACGAAGCGGCGCTCCGCCAGGCAGGTGGCGGAGCGCAAACAATCTCGATCGATCTACTACGAACCGTCCAGCGACGAAGACGAAGTCGCAAGCGACGATGGCGACCACGCAGCAGAGCTAGAAGAGCCTGCGCCGAAGCGAAGGAAGACCAGACCGACCAGACCGACCACTCGAGCCGCCGCGCAAAACAAGCGTGAGACGCACAAACCTCGAAGGACGAAGAACAAAGTGCAGGACAGGAAGAAGCAGTCATCAAGCAGGAAGTTGGGCGCGCCACTGAAGCCGAAGATCAAGAAGGAGCCAAAGTATACTGGGCCGAGCGACAACAGAATACCCGACTGGACAAGCCTTCCGATCGACATCCTGCGAGATGTCTTCACATTCGCTTTAAACTCAACTCACGACCAGACGACGAGTACCAGCGCAGATGTTTCCTGGCTCATGCAGGCAGCGCGAACATGTCGCGCCTTCTCTGTGCCAGCGCTCGAAGCCTACTACCAGGCGCCGAAGCTGCGTACGACCTATCAACCCCACTACCTGCTCGAGCTGCTTCAGATGCCCCAGGAAAAGACGTACGTCAACTATGCCGTGAAGGTCAAGAGCTTGGAGATACCTGTCAATCAGATCGCATACTCGGCTGCGGGCAAGGAACGGCTCAACCTGAGTTCACTGGTACGAGTACTACCACAGCTACAACACTTGCAGGTGACGCACCCGCAGGACTCCCCACCTTATCGCCTACACAAGGCACAGCGATGGGAGTATCCGAAAGACATGTTTCAGGCACTTGATGAAAGTGGTGTGAGGCTGAAAAGCTGGAGGTGGACATCTTCTATGATACCAGCGGCGGAGGTATTGGACGCCAACCGGTACATAGGCAAAGTGTACTCGAGGAAGGCGTTCGAATACGTGGAAAACTTAGCGCTGTGTGGCTTCCAGGACTACGATGATAAGGTCTCTGATGTCCCTGATGGCCGACCAATACCGCAGGCGGACGAAGAGAAAAAGACTCCGGGACTTGCAACTGCCTTGTCACTGCTACCACATCTAAAGGCACTTACGTTTGTGTCCTGTGACTGCATCATGAACGATTTCCTGGAACACCTTCCACATGGCATTGAGAGACTGCATTTTAACAACTGTCTCGAGTTGACAAGTACCATGCTGAAGGACTACTTCAAGGTGTCTGGCTCACAGCTGCGCGAGCTTGTCATCAATCATTGCGCTTCAGTGGATCTGACATTCCTTCCGCCCCTCAAGGCGCTCTGCCCCAAACTGGAAGTGCTCAAGATGGATCTGACCTACTACTCTGAGCGCACCAACTACAATGACGCATGGGCCATGTACGACCACCTTTTGAGCGACGATGACGTACCCACTTGGCCTTCGACTCTGCGCCATCTCGAGCTTGTCAACCTCAAGAAGTGGGAAGCGGAAGCAGCACAGAACCTCTTCCGCTCCCTGGTAGAAGGCGCGAAAGACTTACCAGCCTTGCGATACCTCGTCCTCCACGCTCACATCAGCATCCCGTGGCGGGATCGAGCACAATTCAGGGACCAGTGGATCGACAGGCTCAACACTGTCTACCTCCGCCGAAGCGAAGAGCCAAACCAGTTTTTGGGATCGCTGAGGCAGTACAAACTCTACAAAGATGCTGTGGCGGACGGTCGTGCTGTGGCGAGCCCTATTGATTTGGACACTGACGGCGAGTCAACCACGAGTCGCCGGCTCTCTCACGTCCGCATCACACCGCGCAAAGCCCTAGCAGACCCGGAGACCTTTGAACAAACCAGCCCAACAGCGGAGAGACCACAACGGACAGCCCGGCGCAGCGCTCGCGTAGCCACCCGCGCAGAGAGTCTAAACGCTTCTACGGCCGGCGACGATGACGAGTCGTCGTCAGAGGCCGACAACGAGTCCGACGACTGGAGCAAGCAGCCCGAAGTCTTCATCCAAGGCCTCTGCAACGTCGTCGACATCCGCATCGACAACCAACGACCAGCCGAGAACCAATTCACCGAGGCCAACTTCCTTGACAGCGAGCTGAGCGGAGACGAAGACTGGCATTCCGGGGCGGAAGACGAGGACGAGGGCTATGCTTGGTGACTACCCGTGCATAAGGGGGTGAAGCTGAGGAGGAAGTGGCTGCCTCGATGATTGACATGGAGAATATGTATGTATTGGAAGCACGGAAGGATGATTGATCGGGCAATGTCGGGAGGATATGATAGGATGAATTGAGATGACAAGATGGATGGGGTCCCAAGACTGCGGCTATGGCTTGTATGATGTGCATATGCATGCGATATGGACAAATGGGATGCAAGGGTACAGCCTCGCGACGGGCAGGCCGTGAAATGCTGTGTAGACTGTCAGTGCGTACAGCGATGTCACGATACCGTACCTTTGAGACTTCTCACTACGAAAAGTCCGTAAGGCTGTGTCGAATGTGACGCTCTTCGTGTCATTGGGGGCTGAGTTTCTCAGCTGACGATCACGTGAAAGCGCCGGACCGATTTGCCTCTTTTGGCGCTTTGCACTTCAGACTTCACGAGATCGTGATGCATCGGAGCTAGGTAACCTTCATCCGACAGCAGGTCGATGCAGGGCATTGGCGTATGGAGAAGGCGATGCATCTCAAACAGACTCCGGTGTCTGCACAAAGCGTCAAAATCATCCTGCCTGCTGGGCGCGACCAGTCGGCCCTGGGCAACACGATGCCAGTCTGAAGGCATTCGACATCTCCCAGGCCTCAACCAGCATGGCAGGCCCGGAGCACTCAACAGATACCTAAGCACAGCAAGACATGTAGAGCCAACCATCTATGCCCTCTCAACCGCCCCCGGACGCGCCGCCATCGCCATCATCCGGATCTCAGGCGAAGTATGTCTAAGCATCTACCAGGCCCTATGCCCCCGCAAGGAGGCACCGAAACCTCGTTATGCAACGCTGAGGAGCCTGTATGAGCCTGACCGGCCGCCTACACCGGACAATGTGCTGGACTCCAATGCGCTAATATTGTATTTTCCGGCCCCACGGACGGTGACGGGGGAGGATGTGCTGGAGCTGCATGTTCATGGTGGACCTGCGGTTGTTAAGGCTGTGCTGGCTGCGATCTCTCGATGTTCAGGTTCAGGAACTGTTCGCTATGCTGAGCCCGGAGAGTTCACCAGGCGGGCGTTCATGAACGATCGGCTGGACTTGACGCGAGTTGAAGCATTGGGTGATACGCTATCAGCTACAACCGAGCAGCAACGACGACTATCGGTTCGAGGGACCACGAATAATCTTGCGAAACGCTACGAGCAATGGCGGCAGCAACTTCTGTACGCCAGAGGAGAGCTGGAAGCTCTGATCGACTTTAGTGAGGACCAGCATTTCGACGAAAGCCCCAATGAGCTCTGTGCTTCAGTAGCTGCCCAAGTCGAAGTTCTGCGAAGGCTCATCCAAGCTCACAGTAGAAACGCTGTCCGGGGAGAAATGCTCCGCAACGGCATTGCCATCGCCCTCCTCGGAGCGCCCAATGCCGGGAAAAGCTCCCTGCTCAACTGCATCGTAGGCCGCCAGGCTGCTATCGTCAGTCAAGAAGCCGGGACGACACGAGACGTGGTTGAAGTAGGCATTGATCTTGGGGGCTACTTCTGTCGTCTAGGTGATACTGCAGGTTTGCGTAAAGCCAGACATGAAGCAACGCAGTCTGCGCAGATGCAGGAGGTCATTGGGCAGATCGAACAAGAAGGCATGCGCCGCGCCAAAGAACGAGCGGCTGAGAGCGATGTTGTCATCGTCGTGCTCAGCTTCGAGTACGTCGATGGAACGTACCAGCTGTCCCTGGACCAAGAAGTGATATCCTCCGCCGCGCAGCTCGTGCAGGAAAAGGACAACGTCATAGTCGTCATCAACAAACAAGACACCGCACCCCAACCCTCAGCACGAGAAGCCGCAGTGCAAACAGTAATGCAGGCCCTCCCAGGCATCAGCGCCGACCGCATCCACCTCATTTCTTGCAAAGAAGCTGCCGAAGGCACCCCTGCCCCCAGCCCTACAGCCTCACACGCAGGCAACATGCAGACCTTCCTGAACGGCCTAACCAGCCACTTCCACGACATGACCGCAGCCATAACCCCCGACGGCACAAACGACGCAGACCCCTCGATCTGGCAAGACTCCCTCGGCGCCAGCGAGCGTCATCGCCTCCTCCTCGATCAGTGCTCTGGGTGGCTGGATGCGTTCATCGCTGAGGTGCAGCAACCTGAAGATGCATCAGCAGGGAACGGACAGAATAGCGGGGAAGCGGACATTGTCGTAGCCGCCGAACACTTACGGGCAGCTGCAGATTGTCTGGCGAAAATCACCGGAAAAGGCGAGGCGGGGGATGTGGAGGAGGTGTTGGGGGTGGTGTTTGAGAAGTTCTGTGTTGGGAAGTGAGTAGGTAGATAGTGAAGAATGTAGTATTCACAATCAATGTAAATTTAAGCAGAAGCCAGCCTCCTTGCAAAACTGTCTATGATCCTGCCACAGTTGGTGCCTCCCAGGGGCGATGATGTCCCAAAAACTCCTTGAAATGCCTGATGATGCTGCCTGCGCCTGCGAATGCCAATGCTCAATCGCTATCCTAATGCAAAACTCCCAGAAAATGCTCATCTAAACCCCAAATCAAACTAACTCCTCGCTATGCCGCTATCATCGGTGATGTAAATGCTCGCTCAGGAACGCTGTCATAATGCCGTGGTCGTGGATGCAGGTGGGTATCATGGTCGTGAAAGTCGATCAGAATGTCGTTGTCGTCAAAGTCCGTAAGCCGTTAAGATTACATGTCGTCGGATGGAAGAAAGAGCGTCGTCCTGACCAAAGCGCCGCCCGGTCGAAGGAACAAGGAGATCATTGCGGGCTGATCCATGTGCGAGAGGAGCTTAGTTGTAGCCACTGTGGAGATGTGTTAGTCATTGTTGGTTGTTTCGAAGGAACGATTCAGTGCTTACCCCCTGCCGTCATCGTCGCCGCGCTGCACGAACATGGTTACGATGGTTTGCTGCATTGTCGTGGATGTAGATGTGCTGTGTGCCTTGGTGCTGTACAAATGTGGTATGCTGCTGGAAGATGCGTGATCTTGTATGTCGGTCTTTCGTGTGCTGACTGATCGTGTGTCGATGAGGTGCTTTGGCTTAGTTGTATCCTCCACGGCCCATTTCTTAGTATGATGATATAAGAAATACGAGATAAGAGATGCGAAAGTGTCGTTGATTTGCTGAACAGCTGACTCAAAGGAGATAATGGAAACTCGAAGCGTACTTTGCTTGTAAGCTGGCTGGTGGTTGTAGTTGTGGTGGTGATGAAGTTGGCTTGAGCGACTGGCTGTAAGGAAAACGTTGACTCAAGGAAATATTATTGCTGATAATTGTAGTTGGAAGTTGTTGATGATGATGAAAAAGAAAAGATGAAACCAGGTCGATCCATCAGCCCTATATACCACTTCTCGCTGCATTCGAAGTATCTACTACCTTGTCTTCGACAGGCACCACTCGGATGCCCGCATCTGCAGTCATACTATTCGCAGAACGCATCCGGCACGGCATGGCCACGCCATCGGCATGTACCTGCATCGACAGCGTGCTACAATGCCTCTAGCACATCCGGTCCACCCTCGTGGCCTGCGCACCAAGGAAGCTAGCGAATCGATAGAGAGCTGCAGCATAATTCTTCAGAATAGGCGTCTTACCGCAGGAGCAGAGAAAGAGGTGGACTGGAGGACTTGGCCGGGAGGTATTTTTAGCCCCCCTCCTCCTTCCGCATGGGGTTAAGTCAGCACGTGCACCGCCTCAAAGCATCCTCTGCTACGCTCACCGTCCTTCGCGTCAGCCCAAACCGCACTCTTCCGGATGGACCCCATTGTTGGAAGTGCTGAAGCGAGCACTTTCTATTCGCGTTCACACTCCATGCCACATGACGATTGCCCGTCTGCACCATACCTTAATCTTCACGTGTGAATGCAGCAGAGACGTTTGAGAATCCTTTCCTGCAGCCCTACGGCATTGCTGCTGATCGTGCAGCCGCATCAAGGGCCAGGCCACGAGGTGTCAAACCAGAAACAGTATAGGACTGCCTGTGTGTGAGTAATAAGCTGCTCAGTCATCTCTTATCTTGCTGTCAATCTCATCTATACCGACTTTCTTGCTTGCTGCCCGACTTACCGTGCTTGCGTGTGCATACAGATCTATCCTCCAGACAACCCAAGGCCTCCCGCCCCGCCGGAGCTACTTCGGCGGGTTGTCATCAGATGCTGCAGTCTGCACCGTAATCAGGTCGTCTTCCCGCAGAGATCCAGACCGACCGGCAACAGCCGTGTGACTGCGACCAGAAGTGAGGCAAGCCATTCGAATGTGGTGTATTCTGATACACGGGAAAAGCACTGGAATTGGATGTGAAACTTTCCTTGGCCTGGCAGGACCTGATGACTTGATGTTTGACAATCATGATGAGATCTGGATGCAAAGATGCGATGAGGGCTAGTCGAAGTTGCAGCAGTCTCCCGGAAGACACTGTTTTCTCGTCGTCCATGACAAGGCTCGAAGGTAACGATACGACGCAAAGGCTGCGAATGCGAAGGAAAGGCAAGGCGATGTTGCGACTACACAGTAGCTTGCAGTCGGTCCTCTGAAGCGACCTACGTTGGCGGCTTGGTATAGCTGCCACCAGCATATACGAGAGCGACGTGACTGCGGGAGGTGTTGTCAAGCGCAGCATCAGGAGAGAAGAAGGATAAAGCGTCTTGGGTCAAACATTCGCTAGTAGCAACTACCAAGTGCAGCTTTTGGGCTGACGATACAGAAAAAATCTGCTTTCCTCGCCCTCACCCCAGCTCCTTCACGATGCATCCACATTGTTGTCCTGCTTCATATCCCCCTCATCCCCATCACTCTCCCTTCTCATCTCAACTCATCTATTGCTTGTTACGCTGGCCGTACGCCTTGGTGGCGTAGTCGCCCTGGTGCACAATCAAGTCCTCGGGCCTGTAGTCCTGCTTGCCGCTGAAGTACGATTCGAGGATGTTCTTCACACCGGTGGCGTATCGCACCTGGGCGTCGATCGAGGTACCGGACATGTGAGGCACGGTGGCGTTGCCGCCGCCCCATGGGTGCTCGGCGTAACGGAGCGGGTGGTCCTTGGGCGCTGGCTGTGGGAACCAGACGTCACCGCCGTAGCCGCGGAGCTGGCCGCTCTTGAGGGCCTCGGCGACGTCCTCCTTGACGACGATGGCGCCACGGGCGGTGTTGACGAGCCATGCACCTGCGAATGATCAGTATGGAGCGAGGTCGAATGAAGTTGATCAGAACGCACCCTTCTTCATCTTGCTGAGCAGCTCCTTGTTGAAGAGACCGCGGGTCTTCTCGTGGAGCGGGCAGTTGATGGTGACAACGTCGCACTGCGCGAGCATCTCCTCGAGGTTCTCGACCCTGCGGCAGCCAATCTCCTTCTCCTTCTCAGGCGAAAGTGGCTGGTAGTCGAAGTAGAGGAGTTCCTTGCAGTCGAATGGCTTCAGCCTGCGGAGCACACGCTCACCAATGCGGCCAACAGCGACGGTACCGACTACCTTGTTCTCGAGGTCGTACTCGTTCTTGGCGACAGCGGCGACGTTCCATTCACCGGCCTTGATCATCTCGCGAGATGGGACAAAGTTGCGGACAAGGGTCAGGATGGTCATGACGACGTGCTCGGCGACGGAGACAACGTTGGAGCCAGTGACCTCAGCGACGGTGATGCCGCCATTGGTCTTGTTCGCGGCGTTGAGGTCCACATGGTCGGAGCCGATACCAGCGGTCACGGCGATCTTGAGGTTCTTCGCCTTTGCAAGGCGCTCTGCAGTGAGGTAGCCAGGGTGGAAGCTGGGTCAGGTATTAGCTTGATGGCCGCCTACTGAGCTTTCTCAAGTATGGTGTTGAACATACGGTGTGGTGATGATGACCTCAGCGTCAACGAGCTCCTGGTCGAACTTGCTGTTCTCGCCCTCCTTGTCGGAGGTGGTCACGAGAGTGTGGCCCTGGTCCTCGAGCCACTTGCGGATGCCGAGCTCGTTCTCGGTGGTACCCAGCAGCTTTGGCTCTTGTTTGGCGTGCTCAAAGCCCTAGAAGCTCGCCGTTAGCTGGAGAAGGTGAGCATCAAGCCATTGGCAATGCCTTACATCGTACAGAACGAGGAGAACCTTGCCCTGTCGCGACGAAGTCGCTGTCAGCGTGCGAACACCTCCCAGGCTCGCCGTCTTGGCCAGCGACGCCCCGCGCAGTGCCGAAGCAGGCGCGCTGCTCTGCTTGAGCAGAGAGCTCGCGGGACGGGCGGCGCGGAAGGCAGATCGTGCAAATACCATTGTGATTGAGTGGAGAGTAGTCCTGAAGCAAAAGAGGCGGACGTTCAGAAGGCGGCGGAGGTGTTTTTGTAGCTATCGGAGAGCTCTTGAATAAAACAAGCGGCTGGTCCGTGACTGCCATCATCGTTGCGTTAGCGCCGTATCCTTCCATCCCGCCGAGCGACGGTCTCAATTGCCGGGTTTGGGGGCATTGTTTGGGATATTGCGGGGAGAGACTTGCCGCACTTTGCCTGCCTTTGCGAGTGTATGATGAAGCTTCGAAGAATGAGAACGGCTACGCGGCTCGAGATGGTATTTGACAGCTCCAGTCCTGGCGCCAGCAGAAGCTCCTCTATATACACTTTGACAGTGGGGATGCTTGGGTTATCATGAGAGCTGCACCATCGCACTCAACTCGGATGCTTGCTACTAACACCCCCTGCCGGCAGTCGTGGTGGATGCCCTCATGATCGGAGATGTCCACAGCTTCCCCACCCATCGTCACCGTCTGCGCGTCCTTGGCTGTGTCTATTTGATCTGCTGCTGTCCGTATCGAGCGAACGAGCTCATCTGCGAGTGTCGAGAAGCAATCTTCCAGCGAAACAGCTGGCAGCCCACGACAAGCAGTTGTGCGGGGAAACCAAGGAGCTCGTCAACATCCCGGCAGCGACCTGGATGCAACAACATGCACGAGCGCCGTCTCAGCTCAAGCACGAGCACTGCTGGCCGAACTGCAGGCTCCGAGAAATGTCCGTATCACGAATTCGCAACCCGCAACAATCGCAGGTCGGTGTCCCGAGGAAAAATGGCATGAAGAGACAGAGTTTGCGGAAGGAAAGGCAATTCTTGCTAGTCCAGGAACCAGCAATGCCAGACCAAGCTGTTTTCGGGGGGACGGAACAGCTGGCGAAGAATCACATGCAAGTCAGAAGGACGCGACCTCGCCAGCTCCACCGCTCTACCCGCAGCTCCCTGCGTGTTCTGGCCCTCGCGAATGTCAGGCGTGCATGCTGTATAGACGGACAGAGAGCTTCCATCTGGTCCTTTGGTGGTGGATGCGGCGGGAGCGACGGACTTCTGTGCCAGATTCGGACTTTCTACACGGCTGATCTCTTGCCCCACATCGCGAGACGCGTTGCACGAGAATTTGTCGCGTGCTCCAGGGCTCCAGATCTGTCCATGGAGAGCGAGCGCATCCTTCTCATGGACTGCGACAGTTTTGTGAAGTACAGACTGCACCCAGATTTCAAGCAAAATCTTGGTGCTGCGTAGGGAAGCAGCAGAAGTCACGACAAGCACTTGTACTGATCAAAAAGAGTCCCAAGGTAAGAGTGCAGGTCAGTGGCTACAGTTCAGTGTCTCTTTCTAGACTGTCCACAGATCTCGCTCTTGAGCTAACGGCCTCGCAATGCGCTGTCCCGGGCCGAGAAAGATGATCCAGAGCAGAAGCACGGAATTTGTCTTGTATTTCCTGCAGTGGGCCGAGAAAGATGGTAAGCATTGAGACCGTGGTATACGACCAAGCCGCTCAGCAAATCCAGGCGCCGTGCCTCGAAGTAGGAAGGACTGTTTTGTAGGCAAAACTTACATTAGCAGCAGTCTCTGCTTCACCAAAGGGGCAAGAGGGCACGAAACGGCGAACAGTAAGAGCAGAGCCGGGATGGGAACCACTGCCGTCAACTCAACTTCTCGAGCTTTCAAGGTTGGTCCTGAGATTCGCAAATTGGCGAGACATGCCGTTGGCGGGGCTGAGACAACTACTCGAGGGCAACACTTTAGCAGCCTTGGCTGAGTGCTAGCCATGAGGACTCATAACAGGCTCAGCAACTGAGACGAAGTACCTCCTTAACGAATGATCCCGCCAATTTGCGGTTTGGCACAACCAGATGGTTCTTTGGATCGGTGTTGGTGGAACGGGTTGTGTGAGCCTTGGTGTTGATGTGAGAAACAAAGCGCACACGGCCACACCGCATGGAAGCTGGCCTTTAGCTGGTTGCCGCCAGTCCAGCAATCTGTACAAGGCCTGCTAGGAGAGGTTGCGGATGCTGGCGCATACCACACCGCAGCAGAGCTGAGATGTGTAGCTCTTGGGAATGCTGCTGGTCAGCGAAGATGTCCCTGCAGCAGAAGGACACATCGTCGTAGACAGCCAGCCGACTGCGGTCTTTTCTGGTGGAGTATCGTCTTCGATGCCTTATCAGAATCTAAACTTCGCTCTTCAGCGCCTGTACACGACTCTACATCACTCCAGTAAATGTCAGCCATTTTTCGTAGTACTTTTAAGTAGATATGACCATTCGAGGCACTCCTAAAGGCCTAAAGGTTTAGCTTTTGCTGATGAGCCACACCTCTCTCTTCCATCACCACTTCTTTAATACTTCCGTCCTTCTTCATCGCCCGCAAGCAGATTGACATCAGCCTCCATCGCAGCTACTCGACTGGAATATCCAGGGCGCGACGATCTTTGCACAGCGCTCTCCGACTCATTCATCAAGTCCATCCCAAAGCACCACCAGGATTAATGTTCTTCGACGAACGCCTTCACGGCGCAAACGCAACCGCCGACTCGCAGCAAGAATGGGCCTTGCAAACATGGCCGAAGATTGAGCTGGTTTGGGCGTTCATTATCCTTCTCGATTTTGCGAGGCTCCTGCATATCGATCCGCTGGTGCTGCATGTTATGAGTTTGCTGGTGAAGACGATGCCGCACTCGGCCACGTTGGATGCGGGACAGTGCGGTGAGATGGGCTGTCCTTGAAGCTGACTGTCACTTGTCCTACTATTGGAATCGCTTGGCGAGGTGTTGGAATCAGACAATCGTTTGGTGATGTGTGCTCATATCCCTCCCTGCAGGGCGACGCCACAAGCACAGCCACAGGTGGGATGCAGGTGGGAAACCACGAAGTTCAACTCCAACGACCACTTCTGCTGCACTCACGCCCTGCACACCACCAACATGTCCTCCTACCTCAGCAACCTCCTCACCTCCACAACCTCCCGCTACCAATCCATCCGCCGCACCCTCCTCTCCAACGAAGAAGACGGCGACACCGAAGACGACTCCCACATCAGCCGCGTGCTGCGAGCCTACTATACGGAAAAAGGCCGCCCGTACCCCCAATGGCTCCCTCCCGACCCAAATGATAGACGAGCCGTCACGCCGCAGCCTCAACTCACATCCACATCAAGCTACCTGAGCAGCATCACCGGCGCCAAATCCTCCTACGCTCCCGTCCAGAACCAAGCTCAGCAACAACCAGGCGGCCGCAGCAGCCTCAGCGATCTCTGGGACCCTCCTGCACAATCACAACCGGCGCCAATGCAACCGCAATCCCTCCGTGCCGGACGAAGACCCGTTGCCGCCGCACCTGCACCCAGTAATCCAGGCGGTCTGGCGCCGCGGCCTCTGCCTTCGCAGCGCGCAGGGTCGTATCAGAGCATGCAGTCGAATCAGTCTGGGAGGCCGACTTATGAGACAACGCCTTCGACGGGTAGTACCGGTGGGACGGCGCAGGATAGGTTGAAGGCGCGGTTGTATGGGACGAGGTCGGCGAGTCCGGGGGGACAGGGGCCGTATGAGCCGCCGCCGCAGCAGCAGGGAGGTAATGATGGGGGGTCGTCGAGGAGGTTTGGGCGGTGATATGTGGAAGATGTGATTGCGGTTTAGCGAGGTGTTTGGCGCACGCTTGGGTTCATGTCAGGGTAGGATTTGGAAGAAGCATGTGAGTGGACAGTAGTCGGTTCAGTGGAAGAGTGCCTTGGATGATGGTATGAATACAACACTGTTTAGAGAACGTAGGTACGGAGGAAGCGAATGGTCATGTGAGCGTCGAGTCTCAGCCTCTTGCACCATTGTTCAACCTTGCCATTTCCCAGCGCAGCGGGTCCACGTCAACGAAGTCTCCTAAGGCGAGACCGCTCTCGACGATGTCATCCGACGAGATGAAGGCTCATGTCTCTTTGACCCATTGGAGAGCCGTTGGAAGACTTCGAGTCAGGGCACGGAACTGGTGCAAAGCGGATCGACATCTGCCTTGTCCCCTGGGTTGGGCTGACCATGAGTCCTCTGGCACATTCTCGAGCTCGGCAAATACTCGTAAACTGCCACATAACCGGACGCGCTTTTGAGGCGGCACGGAAAACACTGGAGACAAGGCTCCGTCGTTCTAGGCCTCCATTGGTCGATTTGTCGCTGTGCTGGCAGATTGGTGCTTGAGTATCTCGTGCAGTCTGCTTGACTTCCGAAGACACCACTACATCAGCCTGACGATGCATGTTCCTTCGAATTTCCATGTAGAATTGTACGGACGCAGTTGACATGTGCTGCTGAACATCCCCAAGCCGTTCCTGTCCTCTCATTGGCCGGAGCGATCCAGCGCTAGCAGGGACTAAGCGGCGTGCCTTCCCGCGCACTGTTTATTGCTCCCCACCAAGCGACGACAGTTCGAAGTTCAACCACGACGCGGCCTCCACCACTCCCTCTTCACCCTCCATCCAGACCCAAGCGACCCCATCCCGCCTCACCCTTATCTGTCACCGCACAGCACCGCCAACATGCGTGAAGTCATCAGTCTGAACGGTATGTTTACTCCTACCACACCGTGCCCCGCGCGCTTGACCGCCTGGTCAGGGACTGCTGGGAGAAACGAAACATCTACTGACTCTCGACGCGTTTAGTCGGCCAAGCCGGTTGCCAGATCGCCAACAGCTGCTGGGAGGTTAGTACACCCTGTGGAGAGACTGGGATGAGGACCATATTCGGCGCACGAGCGAAATTCGGCTGCCTAAGGAGACTCGGACTGACATTGAGGTGAAAACAGCTGTACTGCCTTGAGCACGGCATCCAGGTAAGGAACACAGACAAGAGTGGGTGAGAATACGTTGCTGACACTGTGAACAGCCTGACGGCTACCTCACCGACGAGCGCAAGGCGGCCGAGGACGACCATGGATTCTCTACCTTCTTCTCCGAGACTGGTATGTGCTTGCTGATACATGCTTCTTTACTCAATGCTAACATGAACGACAGGCCAGGGCAAGTACGTCCCACGCACCATCTACTGCGATCTCGAGCCCAACGTTATCGACGAGGTCCGCACCGGCACCTACCGCAGCCTCTTCCACCCTGAGCAGATGATCTCTGGCAAGGAGGATGCCTCAAACAACTACGCACGTGGCCACTACACTGTCGGCAAGGAGCTCATCGACCAAGTGCTGGACAAGGTTAGGCGTGTGGCGGACAACTGCTCTGGTCTCCAGGGCTTCCTCGTGTTCCACAGCTTCGGCGGTGGCACTGGGTCCGGCTTCGGTGCGCTGTTGATGGAGCGTCTGTCGGTCGACTACGGCAAGAAGTGCAAGCTGGAGTTCTGCGTCTACCCAGCTCCTCAGGTCGCCACGTCCGTCGTTGAGCCGTACAACTCCATCCTCACCACCCACACCACCCTCGAGCACAGCGACTGCTCGTTCATGGTCGACAATGACGCTATCTACGACATCTGCCGCCGCAACCTCGGTCTGGAGCGACCAAACTACGAGAACCTTAACCGCCTGATTGCTCAGGTCGTCTCCTCCATCACCGCCTCTCTCCGCTTTGACGGCTCGCTCAACGTCGACTTGAACGAGTTCCAGACCAACCTCGTCCCGTACCCACGCATCCACTTCCCTCTCGTCGCCTACGCACCAATCGTCTCTGCGGCCAAGGCTGCCCACGAGGCCAACAGCGTGCAGGAGATCTCCATGTCGTGCTTCGAGCCAAACAGCCAGATGGTGAAGTGCGACCCGCGCAACGGCAAGTACATGGCGACTTGCTTGCTCTACCGTGGTGACGTCGTCCCGGTGGATGTCCAGCAGGCCGTGGCCACTCTCAAGACCAAGCGCACCATTCAGTTCGTCGACTGGTGCCCGACTGGCTTCAAGATCGGTATCTGCTACCAGCCGCCACAGATGGTCCCCAACGGCGATCTCGCAAAGGTCAACCGCGCCGTGTGCATGCTGTCCAACACCACCGCCATCGCCGAGGCATGGGCTTCGCTCTCGCACAAGTTCGATCTTATGTACAGCAAGCGCGCCTTCGTCCACTGGTACGTCGGTGAGGGTATGGAGGAGGGTGAGTTCTCTGAGGCTCGCGAGGACCTGGCTGCACTCGAGCGTGACTACGAAGAGGTTGCTGCCGACTCTGCCGAGGGCGACGACGGTGCTGAGGCGGAGTACTAGACGACTACGCAAGACTGATCTGGGCAAGACGCGGTGTCGCAAGGCACTGAAGATGTTGATTGAGCTTGGCGTGGTTGGCGAAAAGATTGCATGTTTGGCAGTATAGCGTAGACGGACTGGAGGATACCACCCCGGCAAGGCTGTTCTTGTACGGGATGGCTAACGACAGTCAATGCTGATACTGCTTGTTTTCGTTGTCTCTAGTCAGAATGAGAATGGCAGCTGTATACCCACATCGCGAATCAATGCCTACATGTCTTTTGGTACTCAGGCGAGCACAAGTGCTGCACAAAACCCTTGCAGCGGAAGGCCTATCTCCAAGTGCCGGCAGAGTTCACTACAGCTTCTCTTTTGCTGCACCTGCACACAGCCACACTCAGACCGCCCATCGTCACCAAACGGCCGATAGGCGCGTCAGTCGTCAGCAGTATGGCCACATGCAGCTCTTCTGTCCTCCACCTGACCGTGCAGGCGCAGAAGGAGCTTGAAACCAGTAGTGTGAAATCATTTCGCAACCTCGTTTGACCATCATGCTTCCTTCTTTCCTCTTGCAATAATTGACTTCACTATCTTTCCTCTACCAGTCCCTTCACCTTTCTCAAAGCTTCTTGTGCCACAGCACCTCGGCTACACGCGAACGCGACAGCGAAACCAAGCGCAGCAGAAGATTCCCAGCTGTCGCAGCACACACCTGAACGAGGAGACGAGAGCAACTGCGTCGCCAACGATGGATCTCCCTCCTACGCCAGACGCAGGCCCCGACCATGGCCCGCCTTCACTGCCACCCGGATGGTGCGTCCGTCCTCTTTCTGCTCTCGTGAACGAATACTTTGACCGCGCGTTAGCGAGCACATAGCTGACAGCGCCCTGGGGTGATTGAAGGATTGCGCAGTGGGATGCTAAGTACGTCCTACCTACACCTACCCTTTACAACCTTGCCTGGGTGGTTGGCATGTGGAGTGAAGAGCTGAGCTGATATCTCTGGGGGTTTGAAGATCGAGAAAGTACTACTTCGTCCAGATAAGCACCGGCGAGAGCACGTGGGAGGTTCCGACTATGGCTGCACCGCAGGTCCCTACCCCTGGGGGCACGCCTGCTCAGGGCAATCCTTATGGTGCGCCGAGTGAGGGGGAGGGGACACGAGGGATGGGCGGACAAGAGAGTGATAGGAGTCTTGGGGTAAGTGGGAGAACAATGGAGGTATCAGGCATGCGTTTGGCTGACGGTCGAGACGCAGAGCATGATGATGAACCAAGTCATTGGCGGCGGCAAGCACTCGTCGTCCCAGCAAGGCGGTCTTGGTGGGCTGGCGTCGCAGTTCTTGGGCGGTAGTAGCAGTCATGGGTCTAGCAGTGGAGGAAAGCCTTCGTCGTCCTCTGGACTTGGTGGACTGGCGTCGTCATTCCTGGGAGGATCGTCGTCGTCCCATAGCGGCACTCCTTCGTCTGGACAACATGGAAGCAGCAGCTCTGGTCTGGGTGGCTTTGGTTCGATGGCGAGCAACTTTCTGGGAGGCCATGGAAAACCAAATACCAGTGGTAACCAATACGGCTACTCTCACTCTGGCCAGACTGGAACATATTCTGGCACTGCACCGCCAGCCTCGTATCAACAGGCACACACACCGAGCTCAGGTGCGTACGGCCACCAGCCTGGAGGATACCCGACGCCAGGACCACAGCATGGTGCGAGCCCGGCGCCAGCGCAGTATGGTCACAGCACGCCAGGCTACGGGCAACAACAGCCTGCCTACGGCCAACAAGCTCCCGCCCAACATGGTGCGCCAGGAGCCTACGGTGCGCAGCAAAGCAGCTACAACCAGTACCCACCACCTCCACCGGGTCAGTCGCCTTACGGAAACCAATACGGGCAGCAGCAACATCCATACGGTCACCCAGCTCCATCTCATCACGATCCACACGGCCAGAGCTCTTATGGTCATCAGCCTAGCTATGGCGGCCAGCAGTCCTACCCGCCGCCACCATCATCGCAGGGCTACGGACAGAACCCAAGCTATGGTGGCCATGAGCAGCAGCATGGACAGGGGCAGCAGTATCAGGCTTATGCGCCTCAGCAGCAGCAGGGAGGATATGGATTCCCGGGCCAGCAGGGGTATGCTTCGCCGCCGCCGAATCCGGGGTGGTGAGTACAGGTGGTGGGAGGATCAGAGACTTAGTGGCATGAGCGGATGAGAACTGTTGCTTTACCGTGTTAATGCGTGCATGAGATTGATGATTGAGACGCGTGAATGGGCTGCATAGCGAGTGCTTTTCTCTCTGGGTGTATCTATGGCGATGTTTTTCCTCGTGTGCTGAACGGAAAGACCTTTGTGATCTAAGATGTCAAGATCTTCCGTCTTTTGTTGTACATATTCGCTGGCCACGCTGGTTGTGTTTTTCGCGAGACCGAGACGAGGGCTGTCACATGACTGCAGGGATGATACCGCTCGAGACCTAAGACAACGCTTGGCAAAACCATCAGCAAGCCAACATCACTCGCCATACCTGTTGTCGCCTGTCGCATCCACGAAACACTCTTCCCTTATCTTGCCTACTCGCCCCTTTACCAGATCCGCCTTACCAAAAACTCCAACCTGACTCTCAACTGCTGCGACGCATCACAACCCCGACCGCAACTGAGCAATCGCCGCTGCGACAATGAATCCAGAGTAGTAAGTCGACCCAGGCAGCGAAAGACCACATGAGAATGTGGTTTCACATGCTACGTGACTTTCAAAACGCAAATGACTGACTCGCCGGCCTACCGCAGCGTCTTCTCCGCCCCTCCAAACCCACCTCCTTCCACCATACAACCAACAAAGTCCAAAGCCGCACTCCAACCACGGAGATGCCACCGCCTCAGCCACCGCACCTTCTGCAGAAGCAGAGCAAGATGTCGGACCAGGAGTACAACCAGCTGATACCTGATGCGTGCAGATACGACTATCTCTTCAAGCTTCTGCTTATCGGTGACTCGGGTGTCGGAAAGTCCTGCTTGCTGTTGCGGTTCGCGGACGACACGTACACCGAGAGCTACATCTCCACGATCGGCGTCGACTTCGTGAGTATACACATACGTGCTTTGGAAAGCTCAGGCTGACAGCGAGTCAGAAAATCAGGACGATTGAGCTTGATGGCAAGACGGTGAAGTTGCAGATCGTACGAGGCTTCCGACACGTCACTGCGGAGGTCTAACAAGAGCTGACGTGAGTTTCTAGTGGGACACTGCTGGACAAGAGCGCTTCCGCACCATCACTTCCTCCTACTACCGCGGCGCCCACGGCATCTGCGTCGTCTACGATGTCACCGACATGGACAGCTTCAACAACGTCAAGCAGTGGCTGCAGGAGATCGACCGCTACGCGACCGAGGGTGTGAACAAGCTGCTGGTGGGCAACAAGAGCGATATGACGGACAAGAAGGTTGTGGAGTACACAGTGGCGAAGGTCCGTATATCCTATACACTCTATTTGAAAGGCATGATACTAATACGCCATACAGGAGTTCGCAGACAGCCTCGGCATCCCCTTCCTCGAGACCTCCGCCAAGAACGCCAGCAACGTCGAGCAAGCCTTCCTGACCATGGCGCGCCAGATCAAGGAGCGCATGGGCAACACGACCGTCAACAATAAGCCCACCGTGCAAGTCGGCCAAGGCCAGGGCGTGCAGTCCGGCAGCGCTGGCGGATGCTGCTAAGCTTGTCAACCGCGCAGCAAACGGAGTGGTCGTTGGAGGACGGTTGAATATCACATGGCCATTGTTCTATATCCGGCGGGCGTTTCAAGCATGCTAGACTACTGCTTCTCTCTCTCTGCTGGTTGAGTTGGGGGCTTTCTGGCAGATTTGCATGGACAGCCTCAGAGGGTGTAATGGAATCTTCGGGGCGAGCCTGCGCTGCAGAGGCTGTTCAGTAGCTACTGGAGTTCTGTGGCGTTTGGTAGTTTCGAATGTGGGGTGCATCAGAATGGAAACGTATCTTCTGCGTCCTCTATCCCCCGTGGCTGTCTGTCGTTGATCTCTTCACATCATTCGAATCGTCGTGCCTGTTTATCGTGAATCTTGTCCCGCGTACAATCCCGTCCAGGAAGGCAGCGACTGCCAAGCCATATCTCAGCGCTAAGAGCAGGCGCGTGCACTGGTGTAGCACCTCCAAGACCTGTCGCTCTAGACTTCGCTGTCAGCTGTGCTCACGCAACCTACGAGAACGCCAGAACCGGCTCGATCTGACCGGATGAAGGCCCGGAGACGTCGCACTGGCCCGTCATTAGTGACTATTGCTCCCGCACGCCGCGTCTTAAGTCGCTCAGTACGACCTGGACGATGAAAGAGAACCTTTGATCGCGCATTCGGACGCATGCCAGGGCCAGACAGCCTAGAAAGACTTCACTTGCGCTGTGTCGCTCAGTTCCGACCATTTTCATCATTCACTGGGATCACGACTCTTCGAAATGAACTACAACCTCCGCGACCACTTGCTTTCCGTTTCCGCGCCGCGACCTCATTCGTTCCACAACACGACAGCGAACCCCAGTTGCCATGGTTGAGACGACAGCAAACCACAAACGACTGGTAGGCAATGTATGTTTGCACCGCGCATTAGCCCCCGAGCGACGATTTCTCCGGCGCAACCTGCGTCACATTCTGGATTCGCACGAGAGTATCCTTAGACGTGCTACTGGCGCCAGAGACATCGCTGAAGCGCATGAGGGCATGGTCGCGAACGAGAGGACTTCTGCTGGGTGGAATTACCCTACTACGGAGATGTTGGAGTGTTTGATGAAGGGTCAGAAGCCGCTTCTTTCTGTTGAGGGGCTACGCATTCAGCATCCGAAGTCGAAGGCGGCGACAGTGAGACGGTCTGAACGAAGGATGGGAGTGACTGATGGCCTGGAGTGGCTTCCTTCGACAGATGTGGGGTTCAGCCTGCCTTGCAATGTTGTCTTCAACATAGTCAACTCTGAAGCTGGCAGTGAGAGGAGGGGAATCTACCATGAGACGAGGTCGGCGACCATCAACGGAAAGAAGGAAAATGGAGTATCTGACTTCGATATCGAGCTGGATCAACCCTTGTCCATCCCAGTGGAGAAATTGTTCACCGTCAAGGAGACCGGCAAGAAGCCTTATCGCTGGAAGCGAACGGTAACGACCAAGTATGACCTCAAGGTCATGATTCGCTGCCAGGACAGCGAAGACACTGCCGACCTACTGTACCAACTCGAGGGCAACGATGCAGCCGGCAGGAATCGAGACAGCTACGCGGGAACAACAGCAGGTGCCGGAACACTCACAGCTGTCTGGGAAAAGCTTCCAGAGTGTCCTCCTCCTGGCCATACAATATCATTGGTGCGCCCGAAGGAAGGCAAGGTCGGCCAAGCTTCGTCGCTCAAGCCACTGAGTTCTGGGTATCAACTTCAGCTAGCTATGGGCTGGACTGAACGGAAAGGTACCGTTCTGGAACGGTACAACAGGAAGCGCGAGACTGTGAGCAGGACAAGTAGACAGCTACCGACGCCAACAGCTTCAGATGATCTTGAAAAGGAACCGCAGCGATGCGAGGTCGTCTACAAGTATCAAGACGGGCTGTACACCAGGACAAAGACAGTGGAGGGTCTCACTTGTCCTCTCTGCCCCGGCGCACCTGTGCAACCGTCAATGAGCAGACTGAGGCTGCATTGTGCGACTTACCACGACCACTTCAAGTTTGAAATGGAAGACGCCGGATTGTCAGCAAGAGCCATGGGACGCTACACCGTGTGGATCAGCTTAGGCGCAGAAGATTCGACGGAGAAGGTGAGGAATGCGGCCGATCCAGCTGAACAGATGAACTGGACCGCACCGCACCGACCTTTCGATGTCGATGCGCAGCTTGATGGCGAAGACGACTGGATGGGCACGCGGCCCAAACGGAAGACCGGGCGAAGGAAAGGAGCCAAGGCCAAAATCAACGGTGCTTCAGCCCACGGCACACCTCAGCCTGTCCGGAAACGCCCTGCGCCAGAAGAAGTTGAGGATTTGCCAGACATGCGGCCTGCCAAGCGTAGAGTGCCCAACGTACCAGGCGTCCGATTCTACCACACCACCTCGAAGCAAGTCATCGAGCCCGGCTCGCTGGTCTCTGACAGCGACGAGGACATCGACGAGTCCTGGCATAAGGAGAAGACCAGCCATGTGCTCGAAGAAGCCGGCATCACCGGCGCAGCGAGGGACTTCTCGCTCCTGTGGGACGCGCATATGGAGCGCGAGCAGCCTGAATCGAGCCTCTTCGTGAGGGAGGCACTGGTGCGGTTCACACGGCAGCGTCGGCAGAAGTTGCAAGATCCGGAATGGCAGCGACTATTCAAGGAGAAGTTGCTGCTGCTTCATGAACACAACATCATCGGGCACGAGACGTTCTCATACTGTCTTGAGCAGACAAACGGCGGACACAGAGCTCCGACTTCACATCATGAGACGCCTGCAACCGCGGGAGCTGCACCGGATCCCCAGATGGGTAATGGAAGAGACGGAACACCCGGTCTCAACGGCCACGCAACGGGTAGGGAGAGGAAGAGATGGGTCAACGGGAAATTCGTCAGCTTCGACGGCGATCGTAGCGTGACGCCGTCCGTCAACGGCGAACAAGCAAGGGAACCTCTGACCAACGGAACGGCGAAGGCGAAGGGTAAAGCGCCTAGCATAGCCACACAGAGTACCGCAAGCGCGAAGGTGAAAGGACTGTGCTTCTGTGGACAGTCGGCTTCGTGGCAGATGGGGAGTATTGCTTGTGCTGATCTGGTGAGTTACTCTGTTTTCCAAGGAGTTTGGGCTATGCTGATTTGTGGTAGGGATGTGTCCAAAAGGACTTCCACCTCGCTTGCGTTGGCTTGGAGCAGAGGGTGCACGGATGGCGATGCCCTGATTGTGCTTGAAAGGAGTACGGCGATAGAGAGGGCCCTAGGAGTGTTTATGGGGAGTTGGGGCAATGCATAGCGATACCTGGGTCTAACGTTCTACCTCACGGGTCCTCAACGTTGGGGGGTGTTCAGAGTCTAACAGTCAGAAGAAGCCATCATAACCATCATCAACATCAGCATCATCATTCTTGGGTATCTCATCCTCTAAACCACTCCATCACCAATTACAGCACATTCCTTGGATCCAGCCCCTTCACCTTCGCACTCTTCGCCTCCCCCTCAAACACAAACTCACTAACCAGTTTCCCCGTCCCAGGTCCATTCTGGATCCCCCAACAAGTATGCCCAGCCGCCATCCACAACCCCTCCACCCCCGTCCTCCCCACCAACGGCCCCCCGCTGCCAGCATTGACATTCGGCAGATAACACGCTTGCCTCGCCGTGACCTCGCCATCCCTCAACTCGTCCGAGATGGAAGACACGTGGTCCACGATATCCTGACACCGGGCTTCGTCGCACTCGACGAGGTCGGTAGAAGCAGGCAGCGGGACGAGACGGTCCCCTTCGCCGCAGGCGTAGACTTCGTTGTGTGGGCGGGCGTAGATTTCGGGCGTTACGGTCTCCGACCCTTGGGAAGAGGAGAACCATTTGCTGCCCGTGGGTTTCTTCTTTTTGGCGTCTTTGGGCGGGAGGGCGATGTGCGTGAAGAGCGCGAAGGCGCTTACGGGGCGACTAGGCCGGATCGTGACGGAGTGGGCTCGTAAGGCGGCGATGGGGGTGGGTGGGTAGACGGACTGGGTCCAGGGGCCGGCGGAGAGGATTACGTCTGTTGCGGGGAGGGTTGTGGGTTCGTTGGAGGATTTGTCGGTGTATGTTACGCTCTCCACCGCGCCGGAGGCGGAGTAGTTTATCCCGGTCACGCTGGCGCCGGTGCGGATATCTGCGCCTTTCTCTGCCGCGAGGTCCGCCATGGCGGTTGTGAACTGGTAAGGGTGGACTTGTGCCGTGGTGGAAGGGTCGCCCATCTCGTCGTACACGGGATCGCAGTCTGGAGAGACCCAGTCGAGTTCCTTCGGCATGCCGGCGGCTTGCAGCTTCGCCATGGCCTCTTTGCTGCGTTTCTGCAGACTCACGTGTGCTTCGCCGTTGCGCTCTGCTTTGGTGTCGCCGGCTTCGCCGTCCATCTCGGCGTCTTTGCCGTTGACCGTGCTTTTACTCGGCTTCTCGAACGCTCGACCTCTGCAGTCCACTTGTCCTACATGCAGTTTCCTGTACCCCCATCTATCCGCTCCGCCATGCTCTTTGGCAAGCTGCTCGTGCAGTCGGTAACTCAGTGGTACAATGCTGCTAGGATATGCCCATAATGCCAGAAGTCCGCCAGCTTTGCCCGACGCGCCTCCCGCGATCTTGGTAGCTTCGAGGAGGGTGATGGTGTGTTTGCTCGGGTCGTATGAAGGGTGGCGTGTGAGGAAGTAGGCAGAGGTGCAGCCTATAATGCCGCCGCCGATGATGACAATGTTCTTCTTCTCGGCGTCTGCAGCCATGGTTTGGGAAGTGGTGATGTCTCTTTCTCTTGAGAGGGAAGGAGGGGAGCGAGTAGAGAGGCGTTTCAATGCCTTTGTGGCCAGACTGAACGAGGATATGAGAGAGTGGAAGAAAGGAGAAGAAGCAGAAAGGATACCGACCAAATGCTTCACGAGATGTTTGCCACTGTAGTTGAGCTTCCTTTCCTGGAGCTACGTCACAAGCTCGACATCAGTCGCTTCAAGTACTGTTCTCATGCTGTTCGTATGCCGTCTATCTACGTAGATAAGGGCAGCATGACTGGAGCATAAGTAGACTGCTCCTCGACGAGGCCAAAGTAGAGGTGAGGTCTGGAAAAGCACAGATGCACAAAGCTTCTCTGAAAACAAGCCACATTTTATTTCATCTCGCCATAAGGGCATACACCACGCAGTCGACCTAGCTAGCAGGATGCCGGGAAGTAGTCAAGCACGTATTGGTGTGTGGAGTTAAGTGAACAGCCGCTCAGCCCAACAGAGCATCGCATAAGCAGTAGCACACACACGCCCATCACCAGCACAGCGCGAAACACCCGCACCCAAACTGACTTCGCCATTGCTGAATCTTGCCATCTAAGCCGTACCGCAGAGTGCTCGCCCAACCTCTCAACACGCTCGCTGCAATGAAGACTGTTGTTGTGATGATGTTGCGGGGGTGGGATGCACTTAGAAGCACTTCCTGTGCACGATGGATGGGCCGGACTCGTCGTACTCCTGCTTGGAGATCCACATCTGCTGGAAGGTCGAGAGCGAGGCGAGAATGGAGCCACCGATCCACACGGAGTACTTGCGCTCCGGTGGGGCGATGATCTTGACCTTCATCGAGGATGGGGCGAGGGCAGTGATCTCCTTCTGCATGCGGTCGGAGATACCTGGGTACATGGTGGTGCCGCCGGACTAAACACACGTTAGCTTTGACAATGTAGAAGATGTAAAACATAGCTTACCATGACGATGTTGCCGTAGAGATCCTTACGGACGTCGACGTCGCACTTCATGATGGAGTTGAAGGTGGTGACGTGGATGCCGCCGGATTCGAGACCGAGGACGGATGGCTGGAAGAGAGCCTCTGGAGCCCGGAAGCGCACGTTGCCGATGGTGATGACTTGGCCGTCGGGAAGCTCGTAGGACTTCTCGAGGGAAGAGCTCTGGCTGGCGGTCTGGATCTCCTGCTCGAAGTCGAGGGCGACGTAGCAGAGCTTCTCCTTGATGTCGCGGACGATTTCACGCTCGGCAGTGGTGGAGAAGGTGTAGCCGCGCTCAGCAAGAATCTTCATGAGGTAGTCGGTCAAGTCACGGCCGGCCATGTCCACACGCGAGATGGCGTGGGGCAGCGCGAAACCCTCGTAGATCGGGACGACGTGGGTGACACCATCACCGGAGTCGAGCACGATACCAGTGGTACGACCGGAAGCGTACAGAGAGAGCACGGCCTGGATGGAGACGTAGAAGGCGGGGGCGTTGAAGGTCTCGAAGACGATCTGCGTCATCTTCTCACGGTTGGACTTGGGGTTGATGGGCGCCTCGGTGAGCAGGACCGGGTGCTCCTCTGGTGCGACACGGAGCTCGTTGTAGAAGGTG